TGCGATATATATCCAGTGTTCTTTCAATGTGTTGGATAATTTGGTAATGGGTTTGTTACCGGACTGCATTGGCAACTGGAAATTATTTCATTTATTTAGTTGCTTCATTTATGGTTTGCCTGCGTCATCAGTTCGTGAGAGACATGCTGTGTCAACTATTTTTATACTTCTTTCCTGCTCACTTGCATTCACTTACATACGTAGCAACGAAATGCGAGATTCTAATCGTAGACAGACATTCTTGATTATCTGCATCCGAAAATAATGCTAGATTTTTTTTTTGCTTTTGGCGATTGCGGTGGTCACTAGCTTTCCTGTTCCTGGCTATATTTATTACCTCCGGTTGGTTACCAAGAAGGTCGGTTACGTCAAGCGTTGCATTGTGCATTCGTTCAATCTCTCCCAATTATTCCCGATCAACGAATGACAACCTCAGTTGGAGGAAATAGCATGTGGGGATTTTCACATCTACGTTCATTTCGCTGATGCTAAACCGAAATTCCAATTTTAACAAAAACCTGCTCGTGTCCTGCATTGTTTGTGTGCAACTTTTTGTTTGTTATTTGAGCAAGGGCTGGTGCTTTTTGTGCATGGATGTTTATGTCGCTGGTGGTCCAAAAGTGAAAGTGTAGCATAATGAAGATGAGAGAGCATGATAGACGGAGAGGAAAGGGAGGGATGGGCAACTCTTGCCTTGTGTGTCATGAATATACATGAGGGTGTGCAATGCAATTGAGCAAATGTAGAAAGTGAGTGGAGTTGAGTAGATTCAGAATGGTCTCGTCCTACATAATGAGAAGACGACAGAACAGAGGCAGGCGACGTTTCTACTAATTGCGTGTCCGAACGAGATAAAGAAGCTGCTTTCTCTGCACAAAAACGCTCCTGTTACCCGCTATCCCGTGTCCTTTTATTATTATCTTCCTCATCTATAAGCAAACAGGGTCCCACACACAAGGATAACATGAAAGCAACTAAATCGGTAACAACAGGGAGAAAAACGACGTACAACTGTTAAAATCTCCTCGTTATACCTTTGTTAGTTAAAATCCTGGGAATTGTACGAGTAATGTACCTGGCGAGTAAATATATGTATGTATGGCACTAATGGGCCACGTTCCCCTTTTCTCTTCTGATATTTGAGTATGTATGCACTAGCCTGTCTGAGCTGTGAAAATATGCATGAAAATATGCTACAATATCAATTTCTCATTTTTCATGAACTGGAATAAGTTGAGAGGCGAGAGAGACGAAGGAATGAAATGGGTTGAATTCAATCCCTCACAATTCTCACAAAAGACTCAATTTGCGAGAGTTAGCACTTTGAATCAAGTACGAATGAAAGAAAAAACGAAGCACGAATTGGGCAGAACAGTTGACAATTTTTCTGAAATGAAAAAGACGAATGCAAAGCAACCGGATGGACCGGCGACGGACTGCATATACGTATCTATACATACTCTATTTATGTATAGCCATTTCAAAGTCATATCCAGGTTTTCGGTCCTCGTCCGTTTTCACTTAGAACTCGCAAGTACTATTCTCAGATTCAGAATACAATGAACTCTCAAACCGAACAAAAAAAAATCTGGATTGACGATGTCCGACATTACAACTTTACATGATATATATGCAGGGAAAACTCAAAAATGGGAACTTGTGCCCTTCATGTGTAAGCAAGGCGGAAGGAAGCATGTATTTTCGTGAGTGCTGGTAAGAAGGCAAAGAGGAGAAGAATTGGCATAAGCTTGGCACAGAGAGCAAGAGGTTAAAAGGATATAAAGTCTCAATTTCTGTATTCTTTTCCTCCTCTTCGTGAAAAGGCAAGCACTCTCTTCTGCGTTTTTCTACTTTTGTAGCAAAAGAGCCTTTGGCCTTAAAAAATCTAATTAGTTTCACTGGGTTGGATTCCAACCAAATTTTATGAGCCGTAGCAGCCTTCCTGTTTCTCTCGTAGTCTCGGTTTCTTTCATTCTTTGACTGAGCACTGCAAAAAAGTGGCAACAAAGGACGAGGAGGGAAACTTCTCAAATTGCATATTATTATTCTACAACCTATCTTTTCAGCCATCCCGTAGCCTGTCACACAGCGGACTATATGGTTCTTAATATGCATTATAACAATATTTGCCAAGATCACTTAAGGGCGAGAAGATGAGAAGAAAATGACAATCCTATTCTACTTTTTTTGCATGGAGGGCCACGTTACACTCTGCGTGCATATCTCTGCAAACAACAAGCTAGCCCAATTGGTTACCCAATTTTAGGAAAACTCTCCTCGGGGTCTTCATCTCAGAAATTTTGTTATTTCCTACCCGGCCTCATTTAAAGTCACCTAATTACTCGGGCTCGTCTGGAAAATGAGGCCTGTGTGGCAGATAATGATAACGCGAGCAGCCAACATACCATTTTTTGCCATCCTACTTTTCCTTTCTTTTCTAGATTTTCTCTTGTCCTAATGAAGCTAGTTCGTTATTGGTAATTATCACGGGCTTATTTTCTCTACGACTAAGTACTATATTCTACAATATCCCCGTAAAGCATGGGAAGCATATATTCATACATATCTTTGCTCACTTATTTTTTACCATATAAGAACCGCCATAGGGGATAAAGAAAGCAGGTCAATTTTTCAAACCGGTCTCGTTAATTTTATAGAGTAATTGTTAACAGTCGCATGCGTGCAATATAAGGACTGCAAACTTTTGTGGTCACAATTAGGACAAAATAATTGAAATAAAAACTGGTCTATTTATCATGTATGTGTTCCAGTGAATGTTCGTTTCCCTTAGTTCGTTTTCACGACTCAAATATCCTGCCACGACACGGTCGTAGCTTTTATATGTGCTTTTTACAAGCGAGCTACATTTTAACCATGTGCATACTAACTAACTAACTAGGTGCAATTAGGCACAAACGAGGAGTTTATTTTATTCCGGACCTAATCAGTTGACCAGAAACCGAAATTGGTTTCTATTTTGTGAGAGGTAACAAAAAGCAAAAGGGTGGACAAACTAGCTTTAAAAGTGGCTGAAGGAATAAAGTATCGTAGAATTTCTTGCACGTGCTCGACAACATTGTGAAATTTATACGCGTTGTTATTGCTGTTGTTGCTGCACCTGAAAGTCACAGGAAATGCGCCCCCAATGACACTGAAAAATGTTGTTCGGACGTGGCATGTTAAACGTTAATACGATTTTCCGATAGATAAGATTTTATAAGACGACTTGGTTAATTCACAATCCCCAAAAAATCTTTATCTTTATTTGGTATCAAATCCTAACGTTCACTGCAGCAGTACACATTTCTACTTGCCCAGAACTACTACCGCACAGGCACATGCTTTCCTCCTGACTTTCTTCAATAATAATACCTCGTAATCAGAAATGATCTTTGACAGTCTGACACTTGGCTTCACTCTTCCTTGCCCTTTGTTTGCAAGGTGTGTGTATATGCACTGTGTGTTCGTAGGTGTGTGGGTGGTTTGATGAGAAGAAGGTGGATCACGATCACACACCACGTAAATAAATATAAAACAAATCTATTTTCATGAAATATTGTTTGGCATCACGAGACTTTCACTTCTACGTTCGTACGTATGAGCACACATCACGAAGTGGGAGCGAAAAAGCAACAGCGCGAGGGTGAAAAGACACGTTGGGATTTGTTGTTTCTGTGTTGTGATAAGTAGAAATGATTTCGTGGCGTCGTCGTCCTCCCACATGGAGTGTGTCTATTTCCTGCTTGTGCGTACATATAATATGATCCTGGAAAGTTTTCCTCTTCTTTTTACAAACTAGTAAATACAGGGCTAAAAATAGGGAAGAATGGATATACGAGGACGAGGTTGTGATGCATGTGCTCCCCGAATTCCCGATAGGAATTATCTTCCATAAATTTAATTTGGTTGGGACCCAAGTTTTTACACTCCTCTTTGAGACAGTTACATGATCAAATCAAATATTTGAGCGAGATTCCTTGCCTGGCTGCCTCGCCTTATGCCACCACCTTCTTCTTCTCCTTCGTCTTCACCCCCATTAGTAATTGTACAAGTATATCGTTTTCCAATAGGGACAAGGAGAAGAGGATGTGATGAAGTAATAATCTCTGCATGTTGAACTCTTCAGCCTCAGTCTCAATAGTTGTAGCGGAATACCAGACTTTCTTCTTCTTCTCCTTCTCCCATATCTGCAGCCACCGACCTCGTACATTTATCACGAACCTCTCCAACTCAACCACGAGATGTTCTTTTACGCTTCGACTGCCATTCGACTGATAATCTGTCTTCCATCCACCCACCACCGACGGAGGACTAGTGTAGGCTGCACACTTGCTCGCTCTTATCTGCTTCTCCACTCTGAAAGTTGGTGGCTCTGCTACTTTCACCTTCTTCACCTCTCCCCTGTCGGACTGTAATCTTGCGGTGCAATATTTTACACAGGACTTTGGAATACTTTCGTAGCTTTGCCTTTGCCTCCGCACTATCTCCGCTGCGGTGACAAAGAAAATGGATAGATTTGTATGAGATTGTGCCTTGTTTTCAGTTCAATTATGTGGCTGCAGTACAAAATTACGATTGGTTGGGCAAAAGTAATAGTCCCATCTAAACCGTGCCGTAATTAACTTTAAGTTACACACACACACACACAAAGGCTGGACATAATAATAAGTATGTTTTAGTTTTAGATGCGTGTGGGTAATTAAGTTCGGCCACCAGGAGGAACATTAGTCACACGAGCAGAGGATGTAGCAATGCTGAATGTCTGATATAAACCACGATTTAGGAACAAATTGAGGTTCAAGGAAAGTAAAGTATAAAGTGATCGATATCTGGAGTCACGTCTCTTGCTCGTCGTCGGCGTCGTTTCTCCTTCTTGGAGGAGAAGCCATATAAAGTTGGGAGAACATTTAATCTTGCAAAGTTGTACCCGAGTGGAATTAAAAATGTCAACGTAGATTGATTTAAACGTGCAATTAAAGGTTCTTTATTTGATTCTTTAGGTTAATCGGAGGGCTAGGAGGGCCACCAACGTCTAATCCGGTGTTAACTGGGATTCCTCAAGCACCTGTGAGTAACAGTTTTTCGTATTTTTTCAATTAAAATAAAAATAAAATCACATGCGTATCCAGAGTATTTGTATACAAAGTCAAATATAAAATATTGAAATATATTAAGGTAGCTAAAATGACCAGGTTAATTTTTGGAATTGAAAAAAAACCTGAACTTTTCCTTCTAAATAACTTTATCCTGGGATTCCTTGTATAAATATTACTTGTTATGTTTATTAGGTGATTCTTCCCGTGTTCCCAACCTCTCAACCCCATGGTGGACAAGCTATCCTTGCAGGGAATGGGACGACAACAAATTCTCGGTCTCTTCAGCGAAATCAATACTCTCCGTCAAGATTTACTATTCAGAAAGACTGTCATGTGTCAGATCGTTGTTCCTGGAAATGTATTAGTATCGCCCTAATCATACTCTGCGTTGCTTTAATTTCCATCCTGATATACACTGCAGGTAAGCAATCTCTATATTTCATCATCCTGTGTAAACATAGTTACCAGATTCTCTTACTCTCAATCTCTCTCTCTCCGTGTGGACACTGTGTCCTCTCCGTATCGCCAGCTACTTAAGCATACATGTTCTCCAGTCTGTCCATCAAAAGTCTCAACGTATTTACTTAGCCAAGCCATCCACCGGACGACTTGACAAAAAATGGCAAACAGAATGGATGAGAGTTGATGAGTTTGGTGGGTGGGTTGTTTTACAACAAACTATATTCCGAGAATAATCAACCTGACCAGTGTGGCTTCATCCCTGTAAATCTTTCTTCCACCTCAGTAGCCCCACTACCACTAACAGCTCTTGACTATAAATGAGTTAGATAACCCGATTGTCCATGTCCAAGACGGAGCTATTTCTTTCGGTCAATTTACGGGAGCGGAAATGAGAAGATGGGTGAACATGATAAGGTGTTCTCAAACCGGCTTAGAAAATGTGTTTTCCCAGCTCAAAAGTGGGTCTAGCTCATGTTCGCTTCACTCTTCTTGTGTCTTTTTCCTTCCTTTACTTCCACTGCACCGAGTTTCCTCTTGCACACCGCCGTAAATGCAAATAACACCTTTGGGAGTGAAAATAAGGGCAGATAACAACAGCCATCCTCCTTTTTGCCACTATGAGTTGTTGCTGCAACTGTTACTTTTTTCCAAAGCAATTCCGTCCTCTTTCGCTCTGTTTCTTCAGGTGGTATATACACACATAAGACTACGATGTTACTACATACCGGTGTAGACATCGTCTTCCTCGCTCTCTCTCCTGTGCTGACTTACTTGTGTAATGAGGAGAAAGTCTTTTGCAATTCCATCACTATTTGTGTTGTCCTCGTTGATACATACATCAGTTTGTTGATGGAATAACCAACTGTGCTGATTGCGATTGTGGAAGAATTTTGCTTGAGCAATCTTCCACAAGTAAATAGAGACGAGCTGGACTGCGAAAAAGAAAATTGCGTTTTCAGGGATTCTCCCCTTAATTACGTTTAATCACAGAGGAACATTGTGGATTTAATTACGAAGACAAAAGCATGACGCAACCCGTCTAAAGAGTTTCTTGCCCTTTTCTTATGTATATGTATATGATTGCAATCGTGTTATCTACGTAGAAAGTAGGCAAAGATATTTCCTCAGTTTTTATAATTACTCGTTTCGTTGAAAGCATAAATGGTGGATTTACTCTTGGGTCTGGTCGGGAGGATCAGATTGCCGCGATGACGTGGAATTCTCTGAATAAAAATGTAGGATTAATTTTGACTTATGGAGAAGGATCTTGAGTAATGTTATGAGATTTGTAACGTCATCTTCATGCTTTTGAGGGTGCTTCGGCTGAATGTGCATGAAAGCAAGAAGGCTATAGGTTTTCTCTCCTTTTGCCACTGCACTGCATGAGAGAAGGTATTATTGCGTAATTACGACTTCATGCGAATTAGGACTGATAGTAAAATATAATCATTGTTGGAACCTTTATTATATGATCGTGCAGTTGTTTGCTAGCCTGCGTCGTTGGTTTATGAGGCCCATACCTACTGCTCCTGAATACTTTGCATGAATGTAATGGTATGGAGATCACGTGGCAGTTAAGGGTTCAGTGTTGAAGGGACTTTAAGTGAAAGCTAAGTGTAATTTGGGCCTCTTAGTATATGGAGAAACAATGGGATGAATGTGTACATTAGACTCCATTAGATTTACATATCAGGCTGGAATCAGTTGTAACGAGGTGCTTGTACGATATCGCTACCAAAATTATAGCTCTGATGCTCTCAAACTCGTCTTATACGCAGTTGTTGGTGGTGCTCGTTACGCGGATATCCTGGGTTTGCATTAGCGACTAATTTGTACTTGTTTAGCGAAAGACAGTAGCTGTTGCAGCTTTACGATCGATCCATGTTGGCATCAGTTATTCAAAAATAATTGCTTGGCAAAAAATACTTTGGATGGAAGAAATAGCCGATAATAACAAAAGGTATGTATACATGCGTGCAAAAAGCAACAGATATTGACGAAATGAACCAAACAATATTAACGTTAGGAGCTGCTGCACATGTGTAAGTATATAATAATTGGTTTAATTGTCTTTTCGACTGAATAAACATAAAGTAATTCTGTGCGTTCGATATGAAAGAAAAAATTAATACTGGTAGGAACGTCAAGAACATGCAATTAGCTAAAATATGGGGAAAACGTGTCCCAACTTATTTAATGATGATAACTTTATTTTTTTCTCTCTCTCGATTGCTTGCTGCTGTGAAAACTCAGAGTGGAAATGGTTCTTTATTTCTCTATTTCTATGTTGAGTAAGAAATGACTACAGAATTACTTCATTGACTCGAAGCCCTTGTAATAATCTAATGTTTTGCTTCTGCTTCTGCTGTGGTCTGCTCGATGCAAGGAAAGTGTCAGTACAGCAATCGTGCTATATTTAAGAGCAGTCAGTAAGTTGTTACGCAATGCACTTCGACTCACTCGTGTAATTTTTCTCAACTTTCTCCCCAATCGAAATGCGTGTTTCGCTTCCGTCGTCCCAGCTGCCTATGTGTATCATATACTGGGCCGAACAGCGTGTCTTGCTGCTAAGCCATCCTCTGAATTAAAACTGTTAGGTACATTCACAGACTTAATTTCTTACTCTGATAGCAATGGACAGGGGGACACATTCAGTCAGCAGTGGTGCTTGGGTGAGGATACTTTTGGTTGGTTGACATCTCGTCTTCCTTGTTGGTGGGTGTTCTGTTTTGTTATATTGTCGAACTGCTGATGAGGCTTTGCCACTCTCGTCAACTTGATACGATTGAATTGGAGAGGATACGAACGCTGTCGTGCTGGTTGGATGGAATGAGGAGACGTGTAAGAAGGATGTTGGTATGTATTAATGAAATGAATTAGTTTTGTCTTCATCTGTCTCCAATGATGCTGCGTCTGTGGCCCTTTATATCCATTGCATTAGATTTCGGGGCAGAAAAGTAATTGTGAGTCGTACTGTTCCTACTGCTGCCATGTCCTCTCTTTCTCTGTTGTCGTCGTCATTTATACGAGTATATTTCCTGGTCCTTTCTTTGTGTTGCGTGAGTCTAACTTTTGCTTAAGTTTCTTTGTCATTTCGTAGAAAAAGGAGATTGTACGTGACCCTAGAAACAAATTTTGAGAAACTAGAAGACGTGTAGGGAATTTTCTTGTGCGACGAAAAGTCTAGTTGACTTTTCCTCTCTTCGTCGTATCGCAGTAGAGTTGAACTGCTGCTGCGAGTTAGATGGGTGGTTGGTTTGGTCCAGGATAAATGCAATGGGAGATGAGTATGTTGTGGGTTTATATTCCATGTGATACGGTTTAAATGGGTGGGGTGAAAGGAATGGTTGGCTGGTGGTAGAAGGATTCATTGTAGAAGCTGGACCAGGCTTTCACTTCCCTTCTCTTTCCCTCTCTCTCTGGCGATTAGATCTTGTCCTAATAGTTCTGTGTGACACAAGCCTCAAACTTGGACTTGAATTGGATTTGGAGGAACTGGTCTCGATCAGCTTGTTTCGCACACACTTCACGACATCCTTCCATCAATCTTTTGAAACAAGCAGAGTCAACTCTCGGGTTGCTGTAAGACGACTTCTTTTTATTAAATCCTTGGAAAAACTTCAATTGATCAAATACTCTTTATTTTCTGTGTTGGTAATAAACTCGTGTCGTGTCACTTTAGCTTAATCTCCCACAAACAACATCATGTCTTTCGTTCTGTTGGTTTGCTACTACCTTCAACTGAGAAGGAGAAAGTACAAGTAAGGCTGATGCTCCTGCTGCCGGGAGGGAAGGAGGACGAGAAAGAGAGAAAAATGGCAAATTTGACCATTAAAAGAAGATATGGCTAGTGGATTGTAATGCAATGTCGTCTACAAAGTTGGTTGGTTTGGTTCGTTGGTGCAATGATGATGACGGTTGGTAAAAAGAAATGATGTTTTATCGACCACGGAGAGAAAGATAAGTGTAAAGAGAGGGAGGGAGAGAGAGAGATTGTGCCCACATGAAATTGTAGATTGTAGAAACAAAAAGAAGAAGTAAGCTCCATTTTCGTAAGTAATCGAATGACTTAAAATAAATTCTTTGTACTTTGTACCAGCTATCATGGGGAATTGCTCGAGGTATTCGGGATCCGGCTGCATACTCGTTGAAGATGCCAAAGTTTTGGCCAGAGGTGAAAAAAGTTACCCTGTGATTGATCTAACTTCTATGTCACCCAAAAGTAGTGAAGGTAAGAAAAGATTTCCCTCCTCGGATTTTCACTTTTTTAAACAATGAACTCCTTTGTGGGCTTCATTTGCATGTTGGCTAAGAAAAAGAAAAGTGTGCGATGCCCTGATGCTGGATATTCCAGAACAAGTCGAACTGCATATGTACATATGTAATGCATGCATGCTCTAGTTGGCAGCGTGAGGATATTATAGATTACATTAAATGGGGATCCACAATATTATCTGGATGTAGTAATCGCCTCGTCGTTGTCACCCGGGGGCAGATGAGGCGTAGAGACGACACGATGGACGTGGTCTTAATATCTTCCCAAATGGCCTCAGACTTTTTAAAGACAATGAATGTTGTTATGAGGAAGGGGCAGTAGTTTTTTGGCATAAAATAGTTGTGGACGATAAAACTTTCTTGTGTTCGGGGTGTGGTTGGTGGGTATGTGATTTTTACTTTTTGTTTTCTGCTTTCTCTCCAACTACTTCTAGATATGGCATCTCCGACAACCGTACTACCACCAGAGTTGACATCCCGCGACTTTGGAAGTCTGAATGATGGCTTAAGCCCCCTAGAACTGCTGTGGGGACAACCATTATTTCGCCGAGTGGAGCCTTATTCGTTCTGGACGTTAGAAGTGAACATGAGGGATAGTGCTTATGTCAATCTCAACCTTAGTTTCTCCTGTAAGTTTTTTTTACTATAAAACATGTACTAATAATTTATTTGTAAAAAGCTACAACAATTAACCATTACAACTTTGAAATTATGTTTGTTAGGGGGCTCCAACTGGGCTCTTATATTTCGGAAAAATGCCCTGCCGTCCATAACGCAACACGATTTGATAAAAATAGTTAAAAATGGAAGGATGGAACATCGGAATAAGAGACGCCACGTTCGCTGGGTCCTGCAAGAGCAGGACGGAGGAGAACTGAAGAACAATTTTAACAAAAGTAGTCAAAGTACAAATGATACAGCAGCAACTTACCCCCACAAACTACAGTCACCTCCTCTTGTCATCTGGCCAAAGGAACCTCAACAGCAAGGCGGCTCAACCAGAGGAAAACGAGAAGCTTACTCTGACCAAAGCATTGTCGTGTTCTCGGAATATCTAGAAAGTGGAAAGTGGTTCCTCCGAATATTCAATGATGATCAGATTGACCGCCGGGTAGGAGTGATGGCACAGGTCGACTCATCCGTTGAAGTGAGATGTCCACAACAGTGCAGTGGAAATGGAAATTGTGTACATGGGAAATGCCATTGCATCGAAGGTCACACTGGAACTGACTGCTCAAACAGTAAGCTTTTAATTTGTTAAATAAAATTATCATCATCTCGCTCTTCGTACTTCTGAGCTGTTTTCAAATAATACCTCGAGGAAAGTTTTGATATTTTGGCTGTGTGTGGTGCGTGTGTGTGTGTGTTTTTGTATATGTAGTGTTGTCTAGGATCTAATCACGAATTATTTCCACAGGCATCTGTCCAGTGTTGTGCAGCAATCATGGGAGATACAGTGGAGGGATCTGCCACTGCGAATTAGGCTGGAAGGGGTCTGAATGTGATGTGCCAGAGAACGAGTGTGAGATTGGGAACTGTAATGGAAATGGGGTTTGCGTCGCTGGAAAGTGTGTATGCTCGGACGGATGGACTGGGCAGTTTTGTGATTCACGTAAGTTGAAATAAATTTTCACCTTTCCACAAAATAAGTTCTTCATTTCCCAAACTCACTGTCTATCAAAGAGATTAATTGTTGTTCATCATTTCAATATTTAATGGAATGCTTTCATATTCTAAGCAGCATTAGACACTAGAGTTCTGTATATCTGCATATACACGTGCACATTTTTGTAGTTTCTAGTTTCCATTTTCAGTAGCACACCACTAGTTTTACTTCCTTACTCTATATTCGTTCGCAAGCATGTATTGGTGGGAAGGATGGCAAGTGAAGAAAGAGATCTTACCCAAATGATAAAACCTAAAGCTAAGGTAAAAAAAAGTGAAGAAAGAGGTTGCACTAAAACTGGGAAAGACGGTAAACGCTTTTTACGTTTGTTAGTCTTCAGAGACTACTTTCTCCGTCGCCCCGAATTCCGATCTTCCATTATGACTTGTGTAGGAAGGAAGAAGACAACTTATTTTTCGCCCGAGCAGAACTCACTTTCACCAACCAAAGTCCTATCCCCTCCCATCCTTTCTCTTTTCCAAGTCATGCATATATGCAGGATGTGTACTTTTAGTGTGTGCTGCTGGCTAGCCCATGCATATATAAGGCGAGGTAAGAAGGAGGACACACATGGATTCGCGAGTTTAGTAATCCAAGTTCAGGTTAAATGTAAAAGAGACGAAGAAAAAAGGGGAAAGCGGATTGAAGTGAACCCTTGTTACATTTAAAGTGTCTGCATCTCAGCATTCCGTCCATATCTATCCAGTATTTTAATGAGAGGAGGTAGTGAAATGCGCACATACTTCCTTATCTCCTCGTTCTAAAAACATAACTGCGGTTGGTATTTTCTATCGTCGGCGGATATCCTTCATATCCTCATTGTGGGGTTGAGCACCACCAGCACTCGTGCCGGTGGTGCTGAGTTCATACGTGAAAGGAGAATAATTAGCCTAGGTTGGGTTTGCCATTTCCCAATAATCATTCCAACGACGACGGTTTTCAAAGTTTTGCGGAAAGTGCATGCAGAATAAAGTAATGCAATTTGCGGTATTGTAAACGTGGGGAAATCTGTTTCCTACCAGCCCACTCGCTCGCTCAATCACTACATGGCATGGATAATAACGTAGTAGTTGGCACAATGGGCTGACTATGAGGATAGTTAGTTAGCGCTCCCATTGAAATCGGGCACTTTATCACAATGTAGAAATTAAGTATGCATGAGATACATCTCACAAATCATGGCGGAAATCTTTGACAAGGAGGAAGCAGCAACTGAAATTATATGGTATTTCATGCATTGCATGTATATCCATGTATACATTTATATATTGTAGAAATATCTGGTGGCGAAGAAAGGAGCAGGGAAAGAGGGAAAAGTGAGATGATGATTTTGTAAAGCTTTTTCTCCACTTGCTATGCCAAGAGTGATTTCCTCAACCACCAAGTTATCAAAGGTTCTGACTGCAGCCTTAAAAACAGAGATGATCAAAGGAAAAGCGCTTTAAAATTTTATGGACACATCTCGTCGTCCTCTTTTACGGAAACGTAGTAGCAGCAGTGGTCGTGGTGGTGGTGGTGGCAGTATTTTTTCATGCAGACTATGCTTTTTTAAAACAAAAAGGGCATAACATGGTAAAAATGTTAAAAAACTGTGATGAAGGATTAGGATGATGAAACATCATGAATAGAGATTGTATAAGACAATGGATGGGAGGATACATACGTGACCTTGATAGTTAACTTTTAACAGGGTAAATAATAAATCCCTTCGTAGATACTTGGCTAAAAGGTTTGCCAGCTCAATAGCGCTGCACTTTTACTGTTTTGTTGGACAAGAGGATGACGGGGGACGTCCAATCTTCTTGGTTTTCTCGCCACCAAGAGCAGTGCTGTATGCACATGCCTGGACTTTCTCCGCTCAGCCAAGGCTTTCTTCATGTTCATTCATTCATTCGTTCATATGCCATTCATCTCACGTCCGTTTAAAATTTAATTAAAAGTAAAAGTGGCGCCTTTTCCCAATGTAAATTCAACCCATGTTCCATTACTACCACTACTTACTCGTGCTATATATACCTTGTCAGGCTGGTGTGGGACGTTTCCTTCCGAAGAATGACTAGATTCTATTATCTTTCTTTACTTTCTCCTCGCCATCGTCGCACGCCTGCTGGCTCACTTCTTCTTCGTTCCCTCTCTTTTGTTAAATCAGGCTAACTATGTAGAACAGGAGGAACTAAAAACTCAGCCTGGTTTCCCTGACATGGCCTATTAGCTTCCTCCTCGTCTCCTGAAAAGAGGGTACGCAAAGTAATAGTTAGCAATACCGAGAAACGCCAAGTGGTTTTTCTGACTCGTCCTCCCTCCGTTTCCATGTTTCATGGAGTCGTAGGAGAGCGAGAGATAAGTAGGAACAAATGAAATCTGGTGAGAGCTGGTAGTGGAGAAGATTAAGTATAAAACTAGAAATAACAGGAGATGAAAAATCCTATCCTTTCTAATTTTCCTTCAAGAGAGAGAGAGAGAGGAGCAGGTATTTTTTCTAAAATGATTCACCAGCTTTCACTCTTCTGTCAAACTTGGTTTAATTTCTCTTTTTGACCAGAATAAATTATTATGTGGGCTGCTCATCTCACATTTCCTTGCTTAGTGCTGTAGTATTATTATAACTGCTTATTCTAGAAAATTGAATTAATTCTTAAGCCAAGTAGCGAGGAGAGGGAGGGAAACCTTGAACAGTACAAAAGGGAAAATTGAGGTTCTTGCTGGCTTCCTCCTTTTAGATCGCATTGATTTAACTTGAGTGAAAAGAAATCGCGTTATCCCAGAAAGACTTGGACTTCCTCTCGCCACCACCAACCCAGTTTTTGCATTCTTTTACTTCTCTTTCCAGTCAATTCCTTTACTTCTTCAATTCCAATAGACATTTTTCTTCCTCCTCTTCCTCCTCCTCCATTCAACCTCCTCGTGGAAATGGGACTGAATGAATGAGTGGCATTCTTCGTCTTCTGCCATCATCCGTGCTATTTCTCTTTCTCAAGTGTTATGACTCTTGTTTTCACCACAAAAGTTTATTTTGGCATGAATCCTTTGTCTTTTAAAACGTCATGATTTTCGTTATTGAAATCAACCCTACTTATTTATTGATTATTCTACTGCCAACCACCATGTCAGCATTCAGTGGGCCTCACGTACTTCACGGAATGACAGGCTTATGCATAACCTAGCCTTTCAATTTTTGGAACGAGTTATTGATTTCTCGTTTTTAGTTCAGAGGATGCAAAATAGGAACGAAACACAATTCTCAAAATATTAATGGTGGTGGTGGTGAGAAAATTTGCTGAAATGTTGAGGAGCTAAAGACGAAACAACGGAGAATTACTTTTATTCAGTTTTATCAGCAACAGTTGAACTGGGCCAAGTACAACGTCCTAAAGTTTAAAATTGCGTCTAATAAAGAGAAGTTTTTTGTAGGTATGAATTAATAAAAATGTAGCCTATTAACTCTGCCTGGTTTGTGCAGAAGCAGAACTTGCTTATGCAATGGATATCTAAAATACTCTCATTTATACGAGTCATTCGCCGCCTTTCATTTAATGGTGTAAAAGTAACCCCATGCAATCTTAAATTACGATTCTTAATTGAGTGTATTAATTGTGGTTTGCCTGCTCTTGTGTTGGAATATGAATCAGTGGTGCATTCTTGAGAAAGTGGCACAAGTTGATGTACAAATATTTATTAGCCTCGTGTTGACTTTGTAAGTCGGAACAGATTGGGTGATAGAATGACGGTTTGGTTACTCAAAGACTCGATCCTGGTGGTCATTATGTGGCAGTAGCTGATTCGCACACTATAATTACAGAGCACGTCAAGCTTCCTCCTCAGTTTGTAATGTTTCGCCTCAAATTATTGTGTTGAACGAGTGAGTGATGAATGATGATCTGAACAAGAAAATTACAGGGAAGGAACATGCCGGCTCATTTGCTTACCAATAATACCAACAAATTTTCACTAGTTTCTGCTCTTCCGGTGATTTCCCACAACAAGCATGCGAATTATTGCGAATTTAATTAAATATTATTTTCGTCACAAACCTTTTCTGAAACAAGCATACAATTTTGGTTACGTAGGTTTATAACCATCTTTCATTATAAAGGATTAAATTGGGGAAATGAAAATATAGTGTTTTTACTCTTGTGTTTGTTTGTTGTTGTACCCTTATTTGAATACGTGCTTTATCTGTAGGTAACTGTGCAGACCCGACTTGTTCAACCCATGGAATTTGTATCAATGGAAGATGTTCATGCAATGAAGGCTGGGTAGGAATGTTTTGCAAGTAAGTCCTTTCTCCATGTTGATATTTTATGCAATGCATTTCAATCTATAAGTTTGTGTCCATGTTGATATTTACCATACCTCACTTTTCAGTGTCCCGGATAGTCTTCTGGCCAAATGCATACCTGACTGCTCTTCAAGAGGGGATTTCGACGCTGCGAGTGGTAGGTGCATCTGCCGAAAGCCATTCGCCGGTCCAGCTTGCATGGAAGGTAAGAGGAAAAAACTAAATCCATCTATGCAACAAAATATAAGCGATCGTGGTATTCGTGGTAGAAACGTCTACGGATAAGTGGCCCGAGTATAGCTTACACACATTATAGTGCTACTTCGAATGTAATGTGAATGCGTGTGTGTGTGTGAAGACGGAGAAAGAGGGAGGAAGAAGAAGAAGAAGGGAGCGAGAATGTGCATGTGTGTAGAAACGTTGATGTTGAAGGGAGAAATCTGCAGGAGAATAAACGGAGAAGAAAAGTGGGAATAATTTATGACAAGAGTTGATGATGAGATGAGATGCAATGCTGTTGGGTACCGGTCTTGCCACTCCTCCTCTTCCTTCTGCTGCTGCTGTTTCAGCCGTTATGCAGCCGCTGTAATCTTGAAGCCATGTATGAATGAACGTGTACATAATGGATTTTAAGAGGGAGTAAAGGCAGGGACTTTTTTCTTGACTTGAATTGGATTGGTGGTGACCTTTATCTTGCTCGTCATCGGATCCATGCGACCTGGCAAAGCAAACCATGTGCTCATGTTAAAATAACTTCCTTCCCTCCAGCCTATTTCCGGAGCTCCCCTTTCATCTGCTGAAAAAGTGAAAGTGCAGTTGTTGGAGTTGGTAGTGGTGGCGATAGTTCGGGATGGGGGGAAAGTTTTAGTTTCGTTTGGATGGGAATAAGAAAAGCCATCATTTTCTTCTTATAATTCTGGCGGAAACCTTGTTTATGTCGAAGCCCTTTCTTTGTGTTTCACCCATCCATCCAATGTTATGTCGATGATACGATGCTCTTTATGGGCTTTAACTTCTTTCATCGGAGGATGATACAAGACCTGAATTTCTAATATATTTTTTCCTTCCTCTAACTGCTTCTCTACGACTCCCACACCCTGCATGGCTCCTGCTGCTGGGTAATCGTGGGTTTTATTATTTTGCACTTTTTGCTGCACTTTCCCTTCAAATTTCCAAATTGTAGTTAGTAGTCGTCGTCGTCGTATCCTTCTCCTGTTTCGACGGGTTAAGGTGTTTTTCAATTACGTAGTTTAAATATGCTACTATTTAGTATGTGCAGAGTGCATTGCTCACATAAGGAAATTTTGGGCGACTTCTTGTGCTCCATTTTTATAGCACCCACCACCCAAACCAAACCCAACTATGAATGAATATCTACAGCACGTGGTGATTTTTTATACATAATTGTATCCTCCTCCTGGATGAAACTATTACATTTTGCTTTTACTCCCCCATTGTGTCAAACACACTTTTGACTCATGAACACATAACCAGATACACCGTCACACACATAGTGCTCTGAATTGCATTCCACCTCTTTCACTTGCCACCAAAGTGCACATTGTAAAGCCAGTAATGCATACTTTAAGTCATCTCCTCCACCGCGACGAGGGTCAGAGACTCAATCTTGACTTGTTCGTGCCTTCTCTCTCCTACGACTGCTCACGGTTTAGCGAACGACGTCATAACTCCAAACATAAAGCACATCATAAGGCATGATTTAGAATTCATGAATTTTTCTGCCTCACCAAACATACTTGAGCAACATGCACACACATTCAACAGGGACGAACGGACGGATGGATGAATAGGGATGCATACGAAGTGAGTATATTACTCTAAATTTTAGTGCTGAGGATGTAAACTAAAAGAATTTTTATTTCTACTCCTGGGATCCTCTATTATTTTAATGGGGGCTATTGTGATAAGAAATACTTAGCCAGCTAGTTATATACATAGCGAGTGGTATGCAACAAATAAATTCCATGACCATTTTCGCACACACAAAGGATTCGCAACTTTGTCGTGACTCATCTAATTATTTGTATTCATCCAAGAGCGAGAGAATATTTGCAGCCTGTTTACTGCTTACTTTTTGAGTGGTAGGCACTAATAATGGAAAATGGAGTTGGTTGGCACAACTTTTTATTACGCTGCTGCATTAACTACTATACTTACTCTCTGTAAGATGAAAACGATGCACTATTCCTGCTGCATACTACCACTTCCACCGGTAGTAGTCGTCGTCGCCCGTGGTTTAGTTTAGTTGGCTCGTTGCCGTAAGGAGAGAGAGAGAGGAGAGAGAATGCTATAAAAGGAAACTTTAAGTTTCATTCGCCGCTTAATAAATGATCCATCCAAGATCGTTATACAGTGCAGAGAACGAGCTGTCATTCCACTTTGGTGGAAGGTAGTAAAAAGCAAGTTGTGATGTTGTAAAAGAGCAGTTGATTTTATTTCCTCCTCTGCTTTCTCCCCTTGCAAATTCTCGTGACCCTTTTCATTACACAATTTTATGTCAAATCTTACCCACCGTATAGGATCCGTCATTAATTTGCTCCTCTGCAAGGAATGGTCTTATTTATTCTCACACCTCCACAAAATGCTTTGCAACAATGTCTGAGTACGTTGTGTGTGTGTGTTTTTTTAAGTTTAAGTATTATGAAGTAATCAGTTTAAAGGATGAGAAAACAACTCACTTTTTATCACACTGAGATATAGAGTCGTGAAGAAAAATCTAGGTTGGTTGGTTTAGACGAGGTTAAGTGACACACAGACCAAGCGACAACACGACAGTATTACATGCACAAAGTTCACATGTTGGGTTAGGAAATTGTAGTTACAAAGACCAAGAGTAGGAATTGTTCTGTGAAAACGGAGGGTAGTTGTGGACGGGCGAACATGGGAGCCGATGAGAGAGCGGAGAGAGTGAAAGTAGTTGAGGCACAAGTGGATAGGAAGGTGAAAGTGAAAAGGTAATTGCATTGCATCCATTCTTTTTGTTTCCTGTGTTGGCTTTAATTTTATTACTGGCCTGGTTTGGTTTGTTTGGCAATGTGGTGTTGTGTAATGTGCTGGGTTGTGGTCCTCATCTCGCTCTCTCTACTCTCTACTCTCTCTTACTATTTAATGTAAAATGGTCTTTTTACAATTCCCCCGTAAAACAAAGTTTGTTGGTACGCTAGGCTCCTGTTCTCTGCACTATTGTGAAAATCTGACAGCAGGTTTTGGTTTACTTTCTCTTTTTCTCTCTCGCATCCGCTCCTGTTTTAATCATAGCCAGACTGACTCCCAATTGTTCAGTGTTTTTAGCCATGAAGGCGGGGTGTGGATAGAACAAAGTATTGTTGAAATGGGCACACGATAAAACGAATACCAATAACACACCACCACATGAATTGGAAGGAAGGAAAACGTATTAAAAGATCAATGGCGATTTAGAGGTTTTCTTTCCTCCTCATAAACTGCGAATATAATGAACGCGTCACCATTGTTTTATTATTATGAGGTGATGGTGAAGAAGACGCACATTGAGAGAGAGAGGATGATACAAGTCCAAGTCCTCAGTTGTCGCCCAAATGGACGAGATTAGCCATTAGGATATTATCTACGATAAGGGAATAAAAGTATCGGCGGCGGAGGAAATGGCGACAGATCGTAAACAACTGTGCAATATTGTGCATCCAGCGACCGGGTTTTGGTGGATTTTGGTTTTATTTGATGGGAGCAGTCGTGGTAGCAGTGTGGTCTCTTCTTCTCTCTCGTTAGCCATGGGGGTGATGAGTCATGCCTGTTTGGTGAAGGGTATAAATAAAGTCACTATTTATTTTGCTTTGATAAACTGGAAAATGACTTATCCTTGGGTGTGTGCCAATCCACATCATCATCCGCAGTGATCCAAAATCCAAGTGAAAGTCCACGGTTGACTGAGAACGCAACAAAGTGTGCCATTCATTCTTCGTCCTCCTTCCTCGCCGCTGCTCTCCACTCCGCTCCTCTATACTCGTCCTGGCCAAACACAAAGCAAGCAGGGCAGAAGTTGCGAAACCCATTGTTGTGCCGTGCTTGTTGTTGTTGCGATGATGATGATGTGTATGGTCGTTTGTGGCAAACTCACGGATGGATGATTATAATAATAATGGGTTTGTTTTTTTGTTCCAGTCTCATGCGAAGATTGCGGACGGAACGGTGTTTGCAATGAGAGTGGCCAGTGTGAATGCAAAGCTGGCTTTTCAGGAGACCAATGCGACGTGCTGGCCTGTGACCTCAGATGTCAGGAACATGGACAATGTAAAAATGGGACGTGTATCTGTGGCCTGGGATGGAATGGGAGGCACTGCACCTTACGTAAGTGGGGGTGTTATATATCTCATAGAATTTATTGCACTATTATTTATATTACGAGTTTCTGTGTTCGATTATCACCCTGTTTTCACATCATGCGATTTAAAACCAATATACCGTCGGGTACAGGACACCCACGTTGAGCGATATTATTACTTAGGACGTCAAGATGAAAATTTGAGCATTTGATTTCCGCATCCATAAGCATAATGAGTTGCAAACTAAGTTTTTACAAGAGAGTGAAAGTTGAAGGAGTGAAATCAGATGTAAATTAATTTCTCTTGATTAAAAAGGGGACTGGCAGCAATCAGAGAGAAAGAGAGAGGATGACTAGGCAGCCACCTCTCAGAGTTCCACCCCATCAACAAAGTTTACCCCGCCGACTTTCTCTCCTCGCCCTCTTCCTCTCGCTCCTCTTTGAACTTTGAGAATTAAGAAAAATGGCATAAAGAGCGAGAGAGAGAGTGAAAAAAATGAGATTTGTTGGTTGTTTGTATGCATAGCGTTGTCAGCCAATTGACGCTCCCTTTGTCCTCCCTGTCACTGTGAATTACATTTTCAGTGGCTGGTTGGTTAGCTTTACTATTCTTTATGAAGAATTGTCCATTTCAGTCAGAGTTTTCACTTGAAAGAAGATGAAAACTGAATTTCTCACTCAGAAGAAGGCGAAGAAATGAAATGATGTATGCACTTGGTGAGTGTTTTAGTCCCCATCCGAGTCATCAGGGGAGGAGGAAGAGGAAGAAGGTGGATGCAGTAGTTGTAGCCACCGCGAAAATTCATTATCAATTTAATTTAGATTTCTGATGATAGTTTAGTTTAGCTGAAGTTTGGGATAAGTGTATGAAGTGAGGATGAGAGATTCATTAATTTGAATGGAAAGACGTGTCGAGAAACCGAGAGTTGTACAAGTTGGTTTTGGTTCCACTGTTGTGGGGGCCCAGAGGAGTTGCATGGCGGATTGCTGACGAGACCGAGGATCTCGCGGCACAACATTGATTTTTCTCCAGATATGTTTTCTCTATCTGCGACAAGAATAGTGGTAGATCTACGTTTGCTAGGAAGCCAATTTGGCAAAGATACCATAGGCAAAAGATATAGTCAACAGATTTAAATCGTCCATTGTCATTATTTCCGCTAACTTGCGACTAAACTGCTACTTGTACTTGTAGGGACACGATGTCATGATTTATCGTGCAACAGGACCTCAAATTTTAACAGGAACTCATATTTTCAGGATAACGAAAGAATATTTGGAAGCCACTTTGAATTTGCCATGTTGAGCGAATTTTGAAAACCTCCCACTCCTTGGTCCCGTTTCTCTCCACTGCGGTGTGGTTTATGTTTGTATATAGTCATTTGACCAAGTGGGGAGAAAACAAGGAGTTTTTATTGCTTATTACTTTACTACTCGCAAGGATAGTCGACTCGACGGTGTCTCTGTCTCTCCGTAATATTGTTTCTACTCTGATATTTAGATATTTACTTACTTTGTGTGAAGTGATTTCACCATTTTACCATTTTCACCAGCAACAACATTGGGCATTGCTCAGTTCATCCCATCCATTGAATGAAACTCGTTCCATGTAACCCACACACGGACACGATGCATAAGTTGATATTATTTGTATTTGTTTTCAGCCGGGTGTCCAAATTCTTGCAGTCATCATGGTTCATGCATTATGCAAGACAATCGGTATCTCTGCAAATGCTCCAACTCCTGGGCTGGGGAGGACTGTTCCATCCGCCTGGAAACCAATTGCTCCGATGATATAGATAATGATGACGGTGAGATTTTCATTCTCATTTTTATTTTCATGCTGATACTTCTCTCCACAAACTTTGCATCCTGCATTCTGTTCTCCTACACATTACACGGCTGCTTTTATCGTTATTCTATTCCAACCCAATCCTTGCCCATTTTTCATCCTTCGTCCACATCCTTCCTCATAATACATGCAACTCTCGTTCTATATCTGCCTCGGCCAAGGTGCTTCCTCTTTCCCTCGCTCTCTTTCTCTCCTACTCTACATACCGCGACTACCAACACCAACGACGTGGAGAAAAAGTGTCCATATTTCCCTCTGTTTCAAACCTGATCACCACTATTATACTGCCGCAGAAGTATTTTTTCCTACCTTTTACCAACCACTGCACATGTGGAATATATATTCCAGATGCTAAAAGCATACGATGCTGCATACCACCCTAATAACTCTCAGTCTTGTGCTCGACCTTTGCCCAAAATCAATCAAATTCTGGACCCCCCTCTCTATTTTCCCCACATGTTACACTTCTAAATTGGTTATGGTGGTTGTGGATGGATGGAGAAATGCATCTCATCACTCATGCCTGCATTTAGAAGATGGTGTGATGGGTGAAAGTTGGGGATAACTAATGGCTCCTACGTTTACTTTTCTACGTCCATACACTGCTTTTATACTACTGCAACAATACTTACTTCCTCCCAAAAAAGTCTTTCCCTGCTTTTGCCCTGGCCTGAGAATACGAGTACGAATGCAGTGCTTTCCCATACAAGAAGCTTAATTTCTTTTGTGCACAGATGGGATGTCGGACTGTTCTGACAGTGAGTGTTGCGATGACCAGAAATGCAAAGACCACCTCATGTGCATGACGGCGAGTGATCCGGTGGAGGTCCTGTTACGAAAACAGCCTCCCTCCGTCACCTCCTCCTTCTTCCAACGAGTAAAATTTCTCATTGAGGAAAACAGCGTTCAGAGCTACGCTAATAAAGATGAGTACTCGGAAAGGTAATGAAGAGTTTACTTGTTGTTTCCATTGATGTTGTAATACTGCTCGTTTCGTGTACAATTTGTATTTAATAATAATGGTGCAAAGGCACACAGTTTATAGGGAACTAGTCCCGCCTAGGATTAGAATCTTTGTGTTTTACAATTCTGATAGGAGACTACGAGAGTTTGTAGGTTTTTTTACTATGTAGCCACGCATAGAGACATAAAATCAGTCAGTCAGTCAGTTACAATTAGGCATTTACAATATATAGTTATCTGAGGAGCAGTGGATAACCTTTGATAGGGAAATATCTTTACAATCAATCTCTAAATCACTCTTTCTCTCCGTCTTTCTAAATTCGGAATGGCTTAACTTGACTTGAAATAATTATTGACTGCACTTGACACTGTTTTCTGAAACCACCTCGCGTCCCTTCTCTAGGGATTTTAATTACGAGGTGGTAGTGGAGGTCTATTGGTGTTATATGTCGTCTAAATTCCTATATGTTTATATGTGTACATTTATATGTGTGTATGTATTTGTGTTGTTTGTTCTAAATGGGAGAAGAGAATTAAGGGTTGGGAAGACGAAACACTTGAATTCCATCCAGTAAACAGTAGCCTAACACATAGTGAGAGTAGTCGAGTAGGAAAATGATGAGATGATTAATAACAATTAGAGGAAACTGTTGTGTACATTTATCCGTTCGTATTCATGATTAGCGTTATTTATTATGTGTGTGTATATGTGTCCTGTTCCCACCGATGTGTATGCATCGGATGACGAATCGTGTGTTTATCTCACTCTGTGTTTCTCTCTCTCTCTAATCATTCATGTGTCGTTCGTCTCAACTGTCTTGTTTTCACTCCTTGCTTTCACGTCTCTTTCTCGGTTCGGTTCTCTCTACATTCTAATTAACAGAAAAGCTACACGATTTAATGCTGCTCCAAATTATAGACTCCCAGCCTTATTTTCTCTCCCTACAAAAACGAATCACTACTACTGTTCAGTTCTTGGCTGTAGACGATTTATGCCTTGTTTTTCATCTTGATCCCCAGTATTTATGCGGCACGGGTTGTCTCTCAAATTACTTTCAGCTTAAATTTATACAATTTTCTCTCTGATGAGCAATGTGTTAATGAAACTACAAAAACTACTACGAGGCTGAATTCCGCTTCGGTTTATGCATAAAACCCGTGCAGCATTAATTTGATGTTGTAGAATGCCAGCAATTTAGAATGTTTTCATTTTACTTGTCGTTTTTTCTCTTTCTCTTTTTCTCTCGCTAAACTCTCAGCTTGTAGAAGAGATCCACAATTTTTTCAATGCAGCAATAATCTTTCTTAACATGGATACATATACGGGGCACGATTTTGTAGACAATTAAGTAGTAAATACTTGTTTGTTTGTGACGGATGAAACCGAACCGAACCGACAGATTGATACGTGTAACTAAATATGCAACTAATTTAGCGTTGTTTATTTGTTTCTGATCACATCTCACTACTACTTTCCCCTGTTGTGTCCGAACTACTCCAGCTTATTTTGGAGCTCTTTCGATCCGCGGTAAGTCGCTTAATCAATATTTCGAAATGAAAAAACCCTTCCGGTTAGGACTCCGTTTGCATTATGAGCTGAAACACATGTTTAGGAAACACACTTGTCACTTTCACTGTACGTACTTTTACAACAACCAGAACTAATAGTCTCCTGACTATACACAAATTAAGGAATACATTTTTTTTACTACTTGAAGGCGCTATCCTACAAGACAAGCAGCCAGCTATAAATTACTTACACATAGTTAAATAGGGATTGAATATTTGTTATCCACCTTCTTCCACATTTTTCTTAGCCAAATGACCAATTTTCTCCCGCGATATATTATTCACTTTCATCATTCTTTTTATTCAGTCATGAAAAACAGTAGGATAATGATTTCCGCAAGGAATCGAGGCCTCTTATTTTTCTTTTTAAAAAACGAAGCTAATAATCTGAATTGGACTGATAGCTGACATACTTAAATATGCAAAAATACTCGTCTCGTCAATTTTTTTTGACAAATCATAGCATTTTTTCACCGTCTTGTTGTCTCTTTCCGAAGGAGAAAGGCTTTGATTATTTTCACACCTCACAAACACCTACACCACACTCAGTTACTTACTCACTCAGCTACCACAACAACGACACAACACAATCCATTGGCTTCTCTTTGAGCTTTTCTGTTGGCTCTTTTATTCACCAAAGAAACAACCAATTTCCTGTTGAGAAAATATTAAAGGGGGAAAATAGCTAATAAACTGCATTTTTACCTTTGTGTCCCTGTCTTTGTCTGAACTCTCCTCTCCTTCTTCCTCTTCCTCTCTCTCTCTCTCTCTACTACTGATATATACTTACTACTACTATTACTACTTACTACCAGTAAACTTATAACAACAAGGCTACCTCTCTTGTTTCTCAGTCAGTAGCAGACTATTTACTACTTCCACTACTTTTGTACAGTTGAATAGCTCTCTGCTAATAAAACGTATATTATTCAGTTTTACTACTACCTCTAGTCCTCGTACTACTATGTACGACTATGAATGTTAGGACAGAAAGAGTAATGTGTGACAATAATGAATGGATGAAACATGTTGTGTCATTTTTGTCTCTTCGCCACCATTTTCGTCACCGTCGTGGTTGATGAAATCCAGACGTGTGTCCGTCATCCGTGGTCAAGTTCTTTCTCCCGACGGGTTGGGAATCATTGGGATTCGTGTGAGCGTTTCAGACAAAAAGTCGCGCTTTGGCTTCACCCTGACGCGGAAAGGAGGATGGTAAGAGGATCCCGCTTGCTTAATTAATTTCTCCGTTTACGTAGCCAGGAACGGCAGCATTAACTGAAACCAGTCAGCCACCCACGATTGCAGGCAAGACAGGCCATTAATCAGACTGTTTATCCAATGTCATGCTGAAATGAGATAAGCTGGGTGAGGTTTGGATTTCCGAGAGGTGGGAATGTGCGATGAAAGGTGTTTATTAAAATCCTGCACCTTTAAACGGAAATGTTCGCTCTTTTCTTTCTCCATTTCCTGGTAGTCATCTCGCCACGTGATGCCTCCTCCAAATTGCATTTACATACCTGGACAAATTCGCTTTAATTTACTTTCACTCATGCGATACATATGTACGTTTGCAGTTCCTTCCGCTCTTCCTTGTATACCCCAGTACTGCCGACCTGGATCTTGTTACATATTTAGGTTCCTTCCTGTGACACATATGTGTGTACTAAATACTTACTAGAACTTGGTCTCGTCAACACAAAGCAGTTAGTTCTTACAAAACAGGATTTTGTATAAAGCAAACTTTTTTGTTGTTAGTACAAGTTGGGAATTTTATGACGCAATGATTGTATTTAAATTGAAACATGCAACAACCCCCTGCTGCCTTTGATTGATGAGTTACATGACGAGAAGAACTCCTAGCTGGCTGCCGGCTGGCCTCTAACTCGGAATGTTATTTGATAATACAACGAGTCAAGTGAAAGTGAGAACTACTAGTTGGAGGTTGACTCTTAGAATTATGACTGTAATTGGATCATGGAAATTCCCTAATTTAATTGGCAAGGAACTTCATAGATCATCAAGATCTGGGTTCCAGTCGAGGCTTTAATGACAACTTTACCCTCTTGTATATTTCCAAGCTTATTTTGATGCTCCCGAGCCAAGAAGAAAGGTACGAGATGGACGAACACTGATCAAGACTTGTATGTGCATGTACTTAAATCGAAGCTTTTCGACGATTTGTGCCCAGGGAGTGGTGGTATCTCTCTCATGATTCATTAACCTGAACTGGTTTACTGGACGTTTCCAGGTGAAAGGAAAATACAAATAATATTGTAAATTGCAAGGTTTGCTCAACTATTACTCTGTCTGGGCAGCCCGGTTTGTAAATCATTTTGCAAATTAAAAGCCATGCATACCAAACTCGCTCACTAATAATGCATACGTTCGCTTTCCTAGTTACGACTCACAAGGCTTGCCAATTTTAGATGGAAGGATATTATAGTTGATTAAAAATTCATTGTAAGGTCAAATCAAGGTAGAGCCTGGAGCAGTACGTGGGTGGTTGGTTCGTTCGTTGTTCCGTTGAATGGATGATGATAGTAACGATGACGATGATGAATATATATAGGAATTTTAGTGTATATACAATTATTAACGCTTATGGCTTGGGAATGGCGTAGGTTCGACATGCTTGTAAATGGAGGTGGTTCAGTCACCCTGCAATTTCAACGGATTCCGTTCGAGGCTACGACAAGGACTGTTTTTGTGCCATGGAACGAAATCGTCGTCCTGGACCCAGCTGTTATAATGTCGGTGGGAGGATCGCACAAACGGGTGTCAGCCGAGGATGGGAAAGAGACCAATCAAGAACCCTGCCTTCAACATGATATTGACCTTCTTCGACCCGTGGTTATGTCCTCTTGGTTGCCAGGCATGATTGGGGCTAATCCCGAGCAGAGCGTTGTCTTTGGAGAAAGTCAGGTGAGATTTTATGGCATAGCATAAAATAATGAGTGGTCGTGAGATTGTGGACACACTTCAATAAGGAGTAGTGAGAACAAAATGAAAATATATGTGCTCGAGATTGATTTAATATTCAGAACGTGTAAACAGCTTAATTAAAACATTTAATTAAAACAACAGCTGTCTAGTGGATCTTGTTTTTTGTGGGTGGATGGTACTTGGGCATGTATGTAAGAAGCAATTTGGGTGTATCCAAGTGTGTGACTCAACAAAAGAGCCATGGATTCTTCAATCAAGATCGAGTACCACTCGCACTCCTACATGCACAGTACCCAATAAGAAGTGGTGAAACTCGATCTCAATCCTCTGCTGCTTTCTCACAACTATCGCGATTTCTCTGCTCATGTTGTATGTGATTGAATAGAATGGAAAGAAATGGGAAAGCAGGAGGAGAAAGTTGAAGATGGTCAATGTGTATGAACTCTGTGATGGAAGGAAGAAGTATATATAATTACTTTTTCTTTTCTTTTCCCTGTTCCAGATTTTACAACAGAGCATCGTGATCCCTGGATCCGAGGTTCATTTGGTTTATCAAAGCAGTATGTCTCCTGGTAAGGTTTAGTCTGCCTCCGTTCCGGTTTATTCTGATTATCTAATTTTAATCTTATCAGTTTTTTTACAACTAATTTTTAATAATTTGTTGAGCAAGTAGTCTAAGAGAGACGATGTACGATGATGGTTATTTTTTATGAATGAGAAATTCATGTCGACGATTTTTATCACATTTTCTCAGGCTACTTGGCCACTATCATGATGCAACTTACTGGACCAACAATACCGCCGGGTTTACTCTTGGTCCACTTGAAGATAACCATTGAAGGGGAACTCCATTTCCAAACTTTTGAAGCGGATCCGAATATAACTTACTCGTTCGGATGGAAAAAGAGGAACGTGTACCAACAGAAAGTGTACGGACTTGCTGTGGCGAGAGTGGCAATCGGCTATCAATACGCACAATGCTCCAAATCCGTGTGGACCGTGAGGACGGTGACTCTCAAAGGATTCGATGTGGACATTGCGGACGTTGGAGCGTGGAATTTGGATATTCATCACCATTATAATTTCCACGAGGGTATTCTTCAGAAAGGAGATGGAACTGAAGTGCACTTGAAGGAGATGCCAAAGTATTTAGCTCTTTATTTTCTCTCTCTGCATTTACTGAATGGAAACAGAATTTGCATTGATTTGTAGATTTTAGTACAGTTTGTTGAGGCTGTCGGGCGAAAGTTGTTGAATTTCAGCATACATAATACATTTCTTAAATAATTATGTACGTACAAATAAAATGTACGCATTAGTTAATCTTTAAAGAAAACAGTGACGATAACCTTATATACAAATGCAAAATTTTCATAAAATGAAAGAACGACAAAGCACTTTCTATCGAGAGGAATCATACAAGCGTTCACGTACATAAATTCTCCGTTTTATCACTTTCAGAATTGTGTCAACCATCATGGGTCACAAAGGTCAACAAAGATCTCTGCTTTGTGAACCATGTGAAAATCTCCTGCTTTCACCCATCGACTTGGCCACTGGTCCTGATGGCAGTATTTATGTTGGGGACTTTAACCTCATACGAAGAATCACTCCGGAGAATAAAGTTTACACAGTTCTACAACTGAGGTAAGGAGGATTTTTTTAAGTCGCTCACTACTATCACTCACAATCTCTCTCTTGTTCTCTTCTTGTTTTTGAAAGCGGTGTCCTTTTATTCGTGTTAGTGTGGTATTTTTATATACAAAAGTTTGGATTCAACGGCTCTCAGTTTTAACCATGTGAAAGGTTTGCTGTAAACGAATGTACGAAAGCCGTATGGAATACTGTACGACGGTAGCGGAAGCCTTATGCAAGAACAACATACAGTCTCCGTATGTACGTATGCTGTTCAATTCCATCATTGGGAGAGTTCTTTGAAATATTGTGAAAGTGGGTGACTTTAGAGAGAGTTTGCCGTCGGGGTTATGAGAAGGATCCTGAAAGAGAGAGAGAGAGTGAAAGACGGAGTGGTGGAAATATAATGTTTACATTTGGATGAGATGGTGGTGGCTTTAATCTTGGCTATTGTGCTCCCTTTGTCTAGTGCCACGAAGGTATCTCATCAGTATTTCATGACAATATCGCCTGCGGATGGGCACCTCTATGTCTCTGACTCAGAGAAATACCAGGTTGGTGGAGTGCCATGGTTAATGAAAGACATTACTTCTGGTTGAAGGAGTTAAGTGTCTTTATTTGTGCAGGTTTTGAAAGTAAATTCCATGGAGGAAATTGAAGATCCTCGAGTAAACTGGGTGGCTGTGGTGGGTGCAGGTTCGTAATTTTGATGACCTATCCAAACTACGAATAGTTATTTATCTATTCTTTCTGTAGTCACACTTTCACTGCTCTAAAATTGAGGACACTCTAACGTTTAACTCCATAGGTCTCAAGTGTCTACCTGGTGACTCGGAAAATTGCGGAGATGGATTCAAGGCAAAACTGGCAAAGTTAATTCATCCGAAAGGGATAGCGATCAGTACGGATGGATCCATATACATTGCTGATGGACCTAGCATTCGATTCGTGGACGTGCATGGAGTGATCCATACTCTAGTCGGGAGCCACGGGCACAGGCTGAGTCGACCAAGTGTGGCAACCACGGATTTTGAGTCTTGTCGTCTGCAACGTCAAGACGTGAAAAAAGTTCAGCTCCAGTGGCCCACTAATTTGGCATTAAATCTCGTAGAAAATAGACTGATGTTCATTGATGAAGGAATACTGTTCCAAATCACAGACGATAATCAAGTTGAGCGAGCTTTGAGGTGCGATGCCTCACAGAAAGTGACTCGACCACTCATTGACTTGGCATTCAGCCCAAAGGGTCAGCTTTATTTCGTTTCCGAAGATTCGAATCTCTTTACTGTGAAACGTGATGGAGAGCCATTGCTGTTGATAACAGACAAAGTCGCACCCTATGGACCCAACTCCACCACCGCCTCTTTTCCTTCCTCGGCCTCATCCTCTGCTGATGAAAGACAACAGAATAATTTAAATGCTGGATTTGTGTCCTCACTCAGCATTGGTGCGGATGGGACGATCTACGTTGCTGACCAAGTCAACTTGGAAATTAAGCAAGTCTCGAGTTTTATTCCACTCCCGAATGCCATTGGAGACTGGATTGTTGTGTTCCCAGCAACGGGAGAGATCTACTATTTTAATCGTTATGGCCAGCACACTTTTACAAAGGATATTAAATCAGGGAAAATTCTCTACTCTTTCCTCTACACAAAGAATACGAGTTACGGCAAACTTTCAAAAATAACGGATGCTGCTGAGAATAAGATCCTATTCCTCCGAGACTATTCATCCGTGGTATCGACGATAGAAAATACTCAGGGAAAGAAATGCAATCTCAAGATTAATCATTTGGGACGCCTAGTTCACTTTCAAGAAATGGAAAACTCTGAGGTTAGTTTACTAGCATAAAATATCTATTTCTTTCGGTTAATCATTTTAAACCCACATATACATAAATACTTTCGTTTCGTAAACAAAAATTTAAAATTTAGGGCAATGGCTTATTTTAAGTTACACTTTCAATGCCAACAACAAATGCCAATTTGACCAGAATGACCAGTCTTGAATTTGATTAGCTCTAATGTTTGCTCCACATTTAATTTCCACAGATTCGATTAGAGTACTCTGACGAAGGCCTACTCACTGCAAAAACCACCACCACCGGATTAAGCTCGCTTTATGGCTACGACGGCTACGGTAGGATTCGAACCCTAATTAGCGAAACTGGCGTGATTACCAACTTTGAGTACGAACTAGTCGGAGAGGGTATACAAGTCCGAGTGTCTGACTCTGTCTCAAAACCCTCCGACTTCCTCAAGTACACCATTTTACGCAACGACGAAACATATCAAGTGATAATCAGCAAAGTTAGCACTGGCGACGTGACGCTCAAGAAGAAAGTAATTCAAACAGACATTAAAAATATCAGCTTTTCATTAAAAACCGAGGACGGAGCTGAGATGTCCGGCTTGTCATGGGGCATTTACCCTCTGCTCAAGGAAGCCAACCCACCAATGTTGCTGGAAGGAAATCTAATGCGAGGCCCGTCTCTCCAATACATTACAGACGGAGAAAGCAGTTGGGGCAATAAATTTGAATGGAAATTTGGGCTACTGGGAGATGGAACAAGATCAGCAGAAAGGATTTTGGATCGTCAGATGTTTGTTAATGATAGCCGCATTCTTTCATTAGAGTTTGACCAGTCATTGTCTCGTGAAGTTATTTACAACCGGGATCGGGAACCCGTATTTTTTATCCAGTACGACAAAACAGGACTTCCCCTATACTTTGTCCCCTTTCCAAACAATGACCTCCGATCTTCAATGAACATCACTTACGATCGATTTAATAGAATCGAAAGCTGGAAGTGGGGTCATGGACGTGGTGTTCAAGTAACTTACGGAAGAAATGGATTCGCTACAGAGATGAAAAACTCGCAGGGCACACGCATCCGAACTATTGAATACAACGAGTATGGTCAACCCTCAAAAATTTCCCTGCAATCTGGACGAGCATACGGGTTCAAGTACGACATGTTTGGAGGACTCAAGAGTGTAGAAACTCCAAAGAACACGGTTCATTTTTTCACACTGCAACATTCCATTGGTTTCACAAAGCTAGTCTACCAACCCCCAGGTTACGGGTCCATCAAGAATTCTTTTGTCAAAGTAAGTAAAATTGGTGTTTTGAATGGTATTGTAAAATAGTTCAAAAAATTATGCGTGCAATGTGCTAATATTTTTTTGTCTTTGTCTTTAGTACTTCAATTCCTACGGACTTTTGGAAAGTGTTTGGCTTCCTTCTGAAAGTGGCCGGATTTTGTACGAGTACGACTTTTTGAAACGGCCAACACAGATGCTCTACAGTGAGGGCAAAGTCAGCAGAAAGTACAAGGCAAAAGGTGTGACCATCACTGTGACTGAAAACAGATTTGAAGCAACCTCTCACATATGGACCAACGGAATCCACAAAATAGTTCAGGACAAGAAGGAGTATGGGTCAAAATTGGGACTCTCTGCCTCAAAAATGATGTATGAGTATGACTCCAACTTTAGACCAATTCTTATAAAGGGAAGAATCGGAGGAAATCTACTGGCTGACTTTCCCTTGAGCTATAACTTACGAACTGGGGCTAGAGAGCTTATGGGCAACTTCCGCGTCTCGCAATTGAGCAACAATCAAACCACGACTTTCGATGGAATTGCTGTCTTTTCCAGGGTTGGAGATGAGTACGGCCAACCTCTCCAGTACTCTTTGTCCATCCAGGATACGGAAGTGTTCCGAATGGAGTATGCCTATTATGAAACGACACATAAAATCCGCCATCTTAAGATGACCACCAAGAATGCGGGTCTGCTGCCAATGCGAAACTTTACGTATGATGGGGACGGCCAACTAATTGGCGTAGAATCTACCGAGCCTTGGAAGTTTGAATACGATGCCAATGGGAACTTGCAAAGTTTAGCTTACCGAGGGAATACCATCTCGCTGAAGCATAATGAGCAAGATCGGATCGTTCGATTTGGTGAGAAACAGTACAAATACGACATGGCTGGCAGAGTTTTGCAAAATGCGAGAGAGGAGTTTTTCACCTACAACTCCCTTGGCCATTTGAAACGAATTTGGAAGAATGGGCGGTTTGACGTGGAATACTTCTACGATCATGAAAATCGTCTCGTCGCTCGTAAAGACAACCACGGGAACACGACTCAATTCCTGTACGGTGATGTGACTTTCCCCAAACTGGTCACTCACATTTATAGTCCTCGAGAGAACAGGCTGGTTCATTTGGTGTATGATGAAGTTCAGAGACTGATTTACTTCCAAGTCAATCGCAACCAAAAGTACTATGTATGCAGTGACCACTGCGGCACCCCTCTCCTTATTTTTAATCAATATGGCCAAACTGTGAGGGAACTAAGCAGAAGCCCCTATGGACACATTATCTACGACTCGGACTCTTACTTTTATCTTCCCATCGACTTTTGTGGAGGAATATACGATCAGGTAAATTTGTTCAGTCAACTCATTATTTCTAATTAGTACCCCTCCCTTCCGGCAACGTGAACAGTTTGTCAATTAACAAAATCAAATTAAAATGTATGTGGACAGAAAAAGTGAAAAAAAGCTTAAGGGAAAAAGAAATTATATTAGTTTTTTAACTTTAGTAATCACTGAAGTATTTACTTCAACTGTTGATAATGCGACGAAATGTCCATGCATACATACATATTATAGTGGTGATACGTATCAGCACTTCACTCTGATTTGTCGGATCTAGTCATGATTTCAGTCTGAATTAATTATGACTCCTATCTTGTGATTTTTCTTTCAATAGGTGACTTCATTAGTTCACACGAAGGAAGGCCGAGTCTACGACCCATTGATTGGACAGTTCTTGACTCCAGACTGGGAGAAAACGCTGGAGAAAGTCAAGACTCCAGAGAAATTACATCTTTACCGTATGAGTGGAAATGATCCCATCAATCTCCACGAATCTACCCCAGCTTTTGGTACGTATTCATTAATGCCTTCCTTTGAGATCTGATTAAGAAGGATGATGGGATGGTTTGATGACTACTGCTTACTTTGGCGAGTGGTACAAATACAAATACGTAGTAAAGAGCTTGCTTCTTCAAGTCCAGATTTAATACGTCGAATCAAATTTTTTGCAAAAAATCCTACGTAACTAATTGCACTCACCAAAGGAGTATTACATAAGAGTACCATTTGAATGCATCCCGAATGTCTTACATAAGTTGGTAATTGAGAGAAAGTGTCTCGCCGGAGTAAAAGTAATTATTTCTAGCCTTTCCTCCTTCCCTGATTTCAGATCATCATAGTTGGCTGCAGCATTTGGGCTACAACTTGGAATCATTAGGTGAGACATGTTATATAAAGCTAAATATACTAATGTTTAGGTACGCATATACTTGGTATAGACTTGATCGAGTTTCTTATTCACTAGCTCCACAAATGTTCAAGAATCTTGGAGTGATAAATCAGAGGCGGGACTCTCCGGTGGTCGTCTCCGGACTGGAAAGCAGAGTGCTGGAGAAGACATTCGACATCCCACATCTCGGATATCCCGGCAGTGTCGTTACAAAGTCTACACTAGTTCCCGATCCTGCCGGTGTAATATCTCGTAAGTATATGTACTCTTACACAAGTCTCAATGAAAAGTATGAATTGTGGGGGAGACTTTTGCCAGCTCAAATAAATATGAAATCTCTCTTGTACCAAATGATCCAGGTTGTTAATAAGTTTTCTTTTCCTTTTCAGAAATTGACCCTCCATTGGGGAAAAGTATGCTATTAAGTAGAACAGCAGATGGAAAAGCGATGATTTCTTGTCCATTCTGCGCCTCCAATAGAATATATCGAGATGTTTTCACACTCATTTTGAATGGGAGTGAATTTCTCAAGTATGTGTCTCACTCTCCGTCCCAAGACACTTTCCATTTTGCCAAAAAGGAGCTCTGGAAAGCATCAGATGACTTGGCTGAGGTAACGTTTGAGTTTTTACGTTTGATAGTTTACAACAGATAACTGTAAATGATCAGGTATATCTTTGAGTGAACTTGTCAGTATTTTGGATAACAACAAATAACAAGTAGGAACGACTAGGAACTGAATTTATTAAATAATATAAATGGTATAGATGACATTCAGGTAAGCGTATATAGGATTAGATAAACTTTAAACACAAATCCTACTTCTGTGTATCAATTCTATGTACTAATTCATATAGTATACGTAAATATTAATTATTCAAAAAGTATGTTATAATTCATTTCAACAAACGATTTGGATTTACCGTATCGAACACTAGCTTGAAATTTATGTTCTCAACATCAAAATTTAGAATGTCAATCTTTAGCTTTTGACTGCACAAATACTCGACAATAATCTTTAACTGATCAAGATGAATAGTTGACCAGATTCTATCATTCTCGATTCGGACATTTTCCATTTGAATCTTGCGATTGTCCAGTGTTCCTCCCAGAATTTGACAAAATGCCACTGCAACTTGTGCCACTCCTTCCATCACATCAGTCTCACTAGTTCCCTCAAAAACTTGGAAGAGTCCATATCCGGTATCATTTGCAGGGTGACGTTTACTGATTGGAGTGTGACGGTGAGCTGCATCGTGTGTGGTTTTACCCACATAAACTTCTGTCACCGTGTCACTCCGTTCAGCGAACTAAAATAATTCATCGTTATGTTAATAGAGCTATTTTATGATGACATTGATAAGTATTTATTTTACCTTCATATACACCCACTTGTCCGTTACTAGCCTTCGGATTCCAGTGCAAGGGATCAATGGTGATTGGTCGGGATTCGGAAGTTGAGATTTCCCTTCTAGTCCAATTGAAATGTTCATCTCCTGTAGGAGTTGACGAACAAGATCCCAACGAATTCGATCAATTGTAAAACGTTCCTTTATTAGCATCAATTTTTTCTGGGGTTCTGCTTCTGTGGTATTAATTATTTGGAAAATGAGATGCACTGCAAATCCCAATGTTTGGAAAAAAATTCTAGCTTCATCCTCTCCTTTCACTTTCCATTCCATCACACTTATCCAGATAGGTTTTGATTCTTTGGCTTTTCTTTGTTGGATGTACCTGTTTTCTGCTTTGCACCATGTTTCCATCCCCAAACTTGTCTCAAAATCCATCATGAAGTCAGGCTTATGGGACTTACTTGCGACTAAAACGTAACTTTGGACGTCTTTGTTTTGACTATCTCTCTTCAACCAAATTGTAGTTGTCGACGTTGGATCGTGTTCTCGACATTTATAGTTGGCGGTGGCTTGTTTCCAACAATGTTTTTGGTGACAAATATGTTTGAGTAAATTGTTCGAATCCCGAAATTGAATTTGTCCCGATGTCAATCCCACTTTTGTATTTACCGTTTCAGCTTTGTTATTTGTCCAAGTCACAGTAACCGTCTGCCCAGAACGCAAAAGTGTGTCCATTTCCTCGTCCACGTCTTTGAACATTTCTTCATCTTGAGTGTACCCCAATCTTCTTTTAACGTAATTGAATATCGCCCTCATTGTGGTTTTTTGTGCTGGAATAAGAGATGTGATTGGTCGTGGAACGAACTTATTCAGCACAAATCGCGAGGGGTGTACTTCCAGTTGAGGTTCATCATCATCTTGACCAGCAGTCAGTGGTAAAACTTCTAAAATTGAAAAGAAACAAGATTTGATAAGATGATTGAAAAAGAATGAAACGGAAAAAGAAAAACAACGATATTAAAAAGATTTGTTAACTGATTTCAACACCAACTTACTTTTAATGATGACCAACTGTCCATGTTCATCTTCAAAGAAAAATTTGGTTGGTTGGATGCCCGAATCTGGGAGATCGATTTCAACTTCAAATTTCTGTTGTTTCGGAGATGGCTCCATTTTATTTTGAAATTTGAAGGGGAGACAGTTCACAAGTATAGAGACACTGGAGTGCATAGGTAGCAAAGTTGGACAGGGAGGATCATGTTATGTCGCTTGAAAAGCCTGGTCAATGACTGAGCGGGTAGGCAATGGTTTTTCATCAAATGGTTTTTGAAATAAGTATATATTTTTTTCTCTTTCTACAGCTCAAAAGAATCGGTGGCCAAGTTAATGTAACTGTGCACGACCAGTCCACAGAAAGTCAAATGATTCATGTAAAAATTGCCATGTCAGGAGCAGTTATTTCAGGTAAGAATTTTTTGAGTGTGGCTTGGAATGCTAGGTTGAAATACTAGGTTTTGAGATAATGTACCTTTCATGCATATTTGAAGTTGTATTCCATATAATGAAAAATAAATAATATGCATTTCATGTATCCATTTCAGTCAAATACGGGTTAACTGGCCCCAGAGAAGAAAGTCGACTCATTCATCATGCCAAAGGAGTTGCAGGGAGGAAAGCCTGGATGAACGTGAAGGAACTCATTGCTGCTGGATTTCCCGTCCCCGAGTTTACCATTGCAGAGAAGGAAGACATCCTGACCAACGGACACCTCCCCACCCATCATCACGAGTTTGTCCATGATCCCGACGAAATCCCCTTCTTCGCAGATGACCCCCTCAACGTTCGCATCATCAAAAAGTCAAAGTCCCAGCGAAGTCGGAACAACAGCAGCACAAGTCGGTAGAATAATAATCATCTATTATTATTGCTCCTACCCCCTTCTCAGTGTCTTCCGCTCCCTCCATTAAGAAGAAAGAAACTCTGGCGAAATCCATACCACTAACTTTGATCGTGTTGCTCCTGTGTCAAAATCTAATGTAGCGATGTGATCAAACTCACAGCCGGTTATTGTACCTTATTGCATTAGGATAACACAAAGAAAATTAATAATTGTATCGGTAGCAGGTCTCGCAATTAGGTAACAAAAATGTAACGCCAAACCGATATGTACATAATATTAGTAATACTTGTGAGGAATCATTATTATCAGCCTCTCAAACTAAATGTTGTACTGCTGCTAACTAATTATAGCAAAGGAATACTTTTCCGTTACCCAGATATGTATAGTACATAGTTAATTGTTGTTGTTGTACATTTAATAATACGCAGCTTTGATTTTACAAACCTACTTCAAGGACCAAATCAGAAAAGTTGTGAATGTTTCACTATAGTCAAAGTCAATCTTATAATTTTAAAATAAATACGCAAGTTTATTATACTCTGAACATTACAACGGACAAGTAAACAAATAAGAACTTAAAAGTCAAAACCTAGTCGGCATATTTCCCAAATTCATGTATGTATCATACATGAATGTATCCCAAAGATTTGCAAGTTGCGTCACTATGAACGATTCCTTGTAGTAATTCCAATCTCGAGTACATATTTCACTGCAACTCAGCAGCACAATCTTTGTCAAGTCGAGTTTTCATGTATGAAGCGGGTTTTACCATAAAATTAGTTAATTTGGTGTATTTTTTCACTTGTCGCATGAACATGGCCAAACTAATTATGATCATAAATGTGGAATATGTCACAGTGCGGTTCTAAAATACAATCATGTAACGAGCATATAATGATGATGTTATATATTATTATATTGTACGTTTTAATTGTATTTATGTAGCATAGTAAATAGTTACATACACTACATAACCATTTGTAAATGTTAGACATACATAATACCAACGGTTATTTATGATAGCCTATTGTTGCTGTTGTAACCCTTATAAATGTTTAATTTTGTGAAAATGTATTGTCTCCACATTACAAGAAACGTTGCCATATACATAAAAAATACATATTATGCTAGTGGTAATATTGAAAAAATCCTCTTTATTAGAATCAATTAGTACTCTTTAAATGTCGTTTCTTATTGTTGAACGCCCATTATTCAATACTTGCTGATGTACTTTTATACTGTAAATTGTTGCAGATGTAAACTAGATAAATGTTGATACGGTATTGCAATCAGATTGTATTGTTGTTGTGGAATGAATTGACATTGCAAATTAAGATAACAGATAGAACTACTACTCTTTTTATTCGGTGATAATAACCACGATGGTATTTATGAAGCTTAATGATATTGGACTCGCTGAGATTAAATTGATGCGTAGGATACGTATTTAAAAGAGTCTGTTCTGTGAAGAGTGAAGAAACCTTTCTATCTGTCTGAGAAATGTCAACTTTCTAGCCAAATTAATAAAATATTAGTTAGGATACAAAATTAGAAATACATAAATAGATACACTAATTGCTTTGGTTTGGTAATTTGAGAACCTACTGTACATAAGTTAACAAGTAAAAATTACGAAACTTAAGCGCGCATAACTGTTAAGTTATTATATTTAATAGCCGGATTTATAAAAGTGCTGTTGTGAATCTTAATTTGTATTATCCGTGGGAAATTGTGCGTGTGTAAATCTTTCCGTAATTTTTGATGAACTATATATGTAAATGTCAATTTGAATGAAAACTTGCCCATCATAAGTGCTGAATCGTTATCAAGATACATAAAACTATTATTCTAACTCTAACTGTTTATGCCTATATGTGAAAAAGAAGATGAATGAATGGACATTTTGTATTTTCAAACTGAATAGCAGATATGATGATGACGCGTGTTTAATGTTACACAACAAACAGTTATTCTGAATGCAAATCTAAATATATGTAAAAGTCATTAGCACACACACACATATATATACAATAACTCTTTACTTGTTTTATATAAAAACTGGTCTATGCTATTTAATTACCAATGTATTTAAGTGGTTGATAACGTTGATGATGGGCAAGCGCCACACAAAACAAAGATTTTCGACTTGGAAGAAAGAAAGAAAAGATATGACAATTGCCTTTGTTTAGTGAATAATTGTCCAGAATGAAGGAATTGTTTCATCATTATCATGAGTTTTTTGTTCATGCTAGTTAGATTGAAATGTACTACTACTGCCGTATTAACGAGAAATATATGGTATCTATTAAAAATTTATTGTTTGCAGAATTGACATTCCACTTACTTTTAATACACAATTATTATGCATAACCAGTCATATGTAAATAGCCACCTGTACGAAAATGGTTGACATCATTTCATAGAATATCACACAAATACGTATAAATTGTTGTGGGGTGGCTTTTTTCGTATTCATTGATTGCATCCTGTTCTCCAGTTACCTATAAACCGGGGGTTTGACCTTGTATGCCCGTTTCCATATCTCGCATAAGCAAACTGTCGAATGGAATCTGTAGAAAATAGCGAGGGGCATCGAAATGTGGGTTATAATGGTCCTGAAATATGCAAATCATAGTTAGACAAACTTTTGCATAATATAAACAGTAGCGTTTTCAACTTACCATGCCCAAACGCCATAAAATTTCAACTGCGTAAATTTAGAAGAGCATATTTAATTATTTCAGAATATCAAAAATTCATTGTAAAAAAATCTAGTCAGTCTCAATTTTCATACATACATACCTGCACCGGATGAGAATCTGCTCTGGATTTTTCCAGTGTGTTGATCGCCCACATGGCCAAGTTGGTCACGAGGAGGAAAGTGACCACTTCTCTGCCCGGTTTCCTTCTCGCTTGTTCAGAAGTAGCTGCGGACCTTTTAGATGCATCCAGAATAAACAAGGTTTGGACCAAGAGTTGAATCAAGGACGACAATGCGGTCACCAGAACCAACGCTGTGTTCTTCTTCATGGTAAAGTGCCCTCCGATAATTGTAAAGACGTTGTAAATAAAAGACCCAGTTTGTGCCACGATTAGCAAGATGTTGTCAAGCTCTAGATTTCGACTTCTGACATATCTCAGTTCGCGCATCTATAAAATAATTTTACGTTTTAACTACCATTTTTTAATTATGCCCATTGTCAAATGGAGGACCTGACACATTCCTATGAGGACTGCCACCGTTGTCATCGTGTACAATACAAATTCTGTAATGTTCACTTCCAAAACGGCCAAAGCTTGATAACCAGGTCGAGTTATTAGCACAAAGAAAAGGATCAGACTGATTATTGTCATGACCAGCACAAATATTCCTAGAAACAGTCCTTTGTTGGCACGAGCGCAATCTCTACGTATCCAAATTTGGAAATTTAAACAAATTTTTCCGTACATCAATTAAAAGAAAAACTTCTTACACTGAATAATGATGAGGAGACCTTTTGGGGAGATGCTGTAAAAATAAGTATTAAATTACATTCTTTTGCATTTAATTCATCTACATATCACACTGACCATTTGGTGAAACGGTCCATGAGGAAGCCGTTTGTTGTTAATCTTGGCCATGCTTTTCCACATCTACACATGTACGTATGAATTTATTAGGGTTGCAGATGATGAAATTGGTTCATAAACTTATATCCGTACAACGTATAATATCGCAGCGCATATGAGACTATATTCGATTGAACACGGGAAGAGAAATGGGGACGCATTCTGCACCAAATTGCCCATAATGTCTGATCTTCTACATTCAAGAAAGGAGTAGGGACCCTTGAGACCTCTTCGCACTCGAGAATTGACCTCCATTGCAGAGACCAACGTGGCCATCGTGCTATTCGAGGAAATATCCACAAATCCTCCACTCGCATGAGATGACGTTGTGGGTGGAGACAGAAGTGGGGAAGTAGTCGTGGTAGCTGTCGGACTTGAAGAAGCTGAATTAGTTGGAGTGAAAATTGGATGTGCATATTCCTGCAGGTGTGGTTTTGAGTGAGATCCGCTGATTGGGTTCGGATATGTGATGGTCCCATTGTCCGGATTGTAAAACATTAAAATCTCGTGTCGCGTTTCCTGTACCAAAACGTTTAACCAAACGCACAAGTTTGTTCCTATCATGTGCATTAACCCAAAATGAGCACCCAACTCCAGTTTGTAAACGACCATTTTCGAATTGAGGAAGATAAAGTACATCTGCATGAAGGTGAAAATCATCCGAACGGCCGGTGTTAGGGCAATCATAAAGTTATGACATTTTGTGTCTGGATCAAGTTCAAAGTACTGTCCAAACTCTAAGCCACTGTAAATCATGCTACCAATTCCGAAAGCTGAAAATAGAGCATGTAAAAAATATATGTATTACATACTCGTAAAAATGAATCATTCGTTCCTGATTCTTACCCACTGCTCCCATTCGGAGGTAAAAGCTGCCAAAATGAATACGTTGCTTATTAGAATGGTCCAAGTTGGCTTCCGTATCGTAGTGGTGATTGTGGTCAACGCTGCCACTTGCACATTCTGTTGTAAATATTTAATACTTTAGTGAAATTTTATTTCGAGGGTTACATAATTTTTTAAAGGAATTTCTGTACCTTCAGAATCAGAAGATACGTCTCGAGGAGGACTGGCGGCAGTCGAATTCCCTGACGTCAATCGGGACTTCATGGTGCTGATACCTTTTCATTTGAGGAAAGCACTAATATTAGTTCTAATTTGGTATTTGGTAGCATTATTGTTGTGGACCTACGTTGTAAAGTGCATCGCATGGAACGAGTTGCTTTTTGTCGCATCATATTCCCATAAATACAAATCATGAATGTGATGCTTCCAAAATACAAGTAGAGATAAAATCCCTGAAATTAATAAAGTGTAAAGTGCAGGACGTTAACAAATTCGTATTTAAGAAGTAACGATGTAGTCTTCAATTAATTACGTTCCATGTCCTCACATTGTCCGAGTACGTACATTTCAACATGAAATCAATTATCCATTGCATGGGCAATTTTTTTATGGCAGACTATTGCATGACCAGCAGACGCTATTGTTGGTGTGCAATATGAGACTTTCAAAGCGTACATACATACGGATAAGCAAATTATTGTTATGAAAGTCAAGGACCACTTAATGATGATCGCATCATGAATTAATTGTTCATCTTGAATAAATCAGTCTAATTGCCTCTTCCTGACTATACATGTGCATAGTTAGCATTGATTTCATGGAAAATTTGGAATTAAGCGACACTTGCACTTTGATTTCATAAAATCAAGGTCGGTGCATTGTAACCATAAAGTAAATTGCCTAGATCCTTCAGTAATCAATTGTTCTTGCTTTCATGACATTTGTAAGCTGCACATGCAGCAGCGTAACTCTTTCTTTCAATTGGTACTACGAATATTCAAGCCGTTACAATGTAATTAGTAACTCTGTCAATCAGATAAGAACGACTCCTATGACGTTAAAGACGTCATACGACGTGGAGAAGTCTCTCCGAAAAATAAATATAACGCAACATGTAAACCACCATTTTGCAGCATTATGATTGATTGTGTATACTTACATCATAAAACGATGGAGGAATGTAGGTAGAAATAACTTCAGCCATTGGAAACGCTATTCCCATCACCACCAATAACTTTCCATAAAGAGCTGACACTATCAGTCCAAGGTTTTGACTGCAATCGGAAATAATTACAAAGTGAGTGGATTATTTAAATGCGAATCTTTGAATCAGAGCTTGTTAAGTAATTTCATTCCAAACCATTTCTTTGCTGAATAATTTCTTATGCGTTCGCCATGAATATTCATTAACGGTTAGAATTTGGCAACAACAAGTCCAAAGTACTATTGACGACCAAGAATACAGTGAATTAGTAAATTCATGCTTACTTACTTCCCCCTGTGTTTGGAAGCTTTGACCGGATCCAAGAGATCTGAATGGTCATCCTTCGGACATGGAACCATGGTAAAGTGTTTTCTGGGGGTTAGCGGGGACGACTCGATGGAAAGTGGTGACGAGTACAAGTTCTGTTCATCGTCCAACAAAGGGATTTTTACTGGGAGTTGGTCACTAAAATGGCCACATTCGTTCTGAGATGTTAAGGAGGAAGAAATGGACGGTCCAGCGTCATCCATGCACCTCGCCGTAGATTCCGAGCGGCGTCCTCTTGAAGATGTCGCCCAGGTTTCTGAACTCGTATTCGTACTGCTGCTTGTCGAGTTTGCTGTTTCTTCCTCTAAGGGAGGAGTGTGAGATTCTTCCATGTCTGGTCGAGAAATTAAGGTCATTTCTGTCCCGTTTTGCTCAAGAATGGGTGACTTAATCCGTTCGAGGGGAAGATGAGATCCTGAACTTGGGACGATGGAGCTAATGAGCTCACAAGTAGTTGTAGGATTTGCAAATGGAGATGCAATGTTGTTACCCCCACCAGCACCACGACCAACCCATCTACATCAAGATCCAACAACAAGCGATTTTGTAGTCTCGTCATGATAATTATGTAGTAAATACTGATAAAAAGATTCAATCTGGCTGGTGAAAATACATTGGAACTGGAAATTGCTGTCATTTTGAACTTTAATTAAAATGTAGATCACGCAACAAGCCAGTGACATGATCAAGTTACAATCGTGTTCACCCTTTCTTCTCTTCTTGTCGGATGCATGTGAATTATAAAATGTGCACAAAATGATATAATTTACCCTCAATTGCATTCAACGGTGGTATTCGAAAGTACAAATGTACATTTACGTGCATTCTTCTAAACAAGGGCTGAAATTACTCTTGGCATGAAAACTTATATATTTTTATAGAAATGCACAAATTTGACTCCGACTAAACTCAACCCTTAGTGATCATAATGTCACGAATAGCAGACACAAAATTGCATGCATTTCCAAACGCATGCAAAATATTTAAAACAAATAGTCAACACAGTTGTGAACGAGGTGTGTTACATGCATAGATCGCATGGCTAATTATATTTGTGACCTTTGAGCACGCGTTGGAAGGTATGTAAGAGATTCAAAATTTATGGCAAGATCAATTTTAGAGTCAAAAGTAACTCGTTTATGCAAATGAATACGAGCCAACGGCACAGAATTTATAATGAGCAAACCTCGTTTAACTTAACCCTAGGACAAGGATTAGTTTGTATGCCGTGCTAAACGTTAAACTAACTGACCGGTAACATCTTCAAGGTGTTAACTGGATGAATTACATAAATTTTATAGGTGACAGGTAAAAGAGGTAAAGTGAGATATCGTAAGAGTAGGGAATCACATAAGTCAATTTGAGATATTGTGTCGTAAAATATTATACAAATTATGCATATACTACTGCAATATATATGAAATAAATATCTTCAATTTATTACCCCGGAAGTGATCCGGATCGAATGCGATGAAAGATTCTGGACACTGAATTGTGACGCCTGTCATTTGCATTGACATCTTCAAGATGAGCCAGTTTTGGGCTCCAGGCACTCATTTTGTCACAACAGACTAAGGCGCTGATTGTTAACAGATTGGAATTACGTTGGCTCCAAAATTAGAAAATTTCGGAAAATTATAGAAGGAATCCTGAATGAATTTTCTTGTAATTGATTTTGTAGATATGATAGCACTATATATCAATTTCGATTAATACTTGTCTCAATTTCACAATTAAATCCAGTTTTGAAGACTCTTCTCAACTACAACAAAGTAAAACACGGTAAAAAAAAGTTATGGGCTACAAGTGTCGTAAAATGGCACGCACGACTGGCTGGGTCTGAAGCACTCGTACTATTGACTTGAAGATTCAAAACTATTATTTGGCCACTGTTGACTGACTGTCTATTACTTACTGCACTGATATTTTGGCATATAGCGTCCAAATAGCCGACGAATAGTTCCAAAGATTTACACACGCATATACATACAAGTATAATCATTAAGTCTATTTCGTATACATCCATAATGCATATTTAATCGCTCGAACCCGTTTCTTGTTTTCATTCGTATTTTCGTATGCCACATGTGCATAGTAAAAGAAATGCATAAGATGAGACAGATAACACTTAAAACAATTTGTAAATAGATCAAACAGATCACGAAAAGTCTGGTAGGATTTGCATGCATGAAATCTTTCAGCGCAGTCATTCTAACATAATGCAAATGCTACCGTCAACCGTAGAAAATATGTGATGACATTAAAACTTGAGATTTGAGAGTGAGTCATTATCGTCATTATCGTCAATTCATATGGACATTTCATTGAGTGTGGATTATGCCAGCTTCAAGAGTTAATTTGGAAAGAGTTGCCATGGATTTGTCAAAATCTCAAATTTTGCATTCATTGCACATCTGGAGGCTTGCAGTCGGTCGACCAAATTTAATCCTCCGCAGCTCCTCCGGCCGGACATTCAAACCAAGGAACCAATTAGTTTTTGATTTTATTCTCCCACTAAATTACCAGTACTAAATATTAATCTACTAAAATTATTGCAAATTACATATAGGAAACTTTACGGGGAACTTCTGAAGACGAAAGGTAAACAGAATTTGCTTTAAATTGGTAAGTTTTGCCAATTTTTGGGAACGTTGACTCGTTTTGGTGTCGATGCTGTCCTCAAGTATGTATTACAAATTATGGTTGATATTAGAATTTGAAAGGGTTTGGATTGGCTTTAAATGTGCATACACGACTTACTTCCAAGACGGAGTGTCAATATTTAGCTGTCAATTCATTATTATTGCTAATTCCAACAAGAACACCATGTGTGGGAGGATCCAGTTATGACTGGTTCTTGTTGTCAGTTTTTTTATGATGTCTTGAATCTTGATACTAGTTTTGTTGTTTTGACATAAAGTTCTACTTTTATTCAGTCCCAGACAAGACCAATGACAATAAATTGCGATTCCGACGAGACTATCACTTATAAAATGGGCAGGGCAATCTACTTAATAATACTACTTTTGCTACTCATAATTCGCTTGTCAACAAGCTCATTTGTAAGTTTTATCTACTCTTTTTACTCTCGAAATCGCTTATCAAAGACAATTTGGAGTGCATCTGGGCATCACATAATTACAAGGAACACAAGTCGTTAAGAACCAGCTAATATTTGGAATAGAAGAGAGAAAAAAAGAGATTTTTTTGTCGTCGTAGGCTGTCATCGTTATTCCCTTTCGTAATCGGGTGAGCAGGGAAAGACCGGCTTTCACTCGTCCAAACCGCCTTCCTTTCTCTCATTTCCTATACTTTGTCTATATTTATTACCGTCGAAACGGCTTATCACGACGAAACAGTAGTGGTTGGTTATTAGTTGGCTGACGTCTGGCATCATGTTTCATACTGTTTAAACCTTTAACCTTTGCTTCAATCCGTTCCAAACTCCGTCCGAGGTATGAAATATGAAACCGCATATTTTGACGGGCCAAGAGTAAAGATTAGTAAGTCGGAAGATGTATGTAGCAAAGCTCATTATTACGCTTGATTTGATTGATCAGCTTAAAATATATACATACGAAGTGAGTAATATATCCTACGAAATGCATTCTCTCCTACAATTATACTTTCCTTACATTGCGTTCACTGGGTTGTTAAACTTAAGCATATTTATCCATTCTATGCCTAATTTACTAAAATGGCGTATCATAGTCGACAGATTCATGGAATGGAATTATTTTAGAATCACAGTTCATGCATTTTGTGATCAGAGACAGACATTCGAATGTCTCTGAAGAAAGTGGATATTGTGCTATGCTATGAAAACTACATGAGTATATAAAATTCCGCAGCTAATGGTGTCTAGTTATCTTTTTAATAAGTCTCATTTAAACTTATTAAATGTCGAGAGAAAATCTGGCAGAGAAAGAGAAACCAATGTTCCAGCCAGCCTGCATTTCCTGGTTTTTAGGTTTTTTAGTTGGATGACTCCGCATTTGGCAGGGGACCCCATCTGGCGTGGGTGTGAGAGCGCTCTCTTGACAGTAACGTGGATCAGCTGTCCTCAGCGAAAACACACTCTAAAACCGCAGCTTACTACCATAAGTAGTCAAATTAGTAGTGGTAGTGGCATTTCTAGAGGAAAGGAAAGTAGAAAAACTCCTCTAAAAAATTATTGTGGTATTCATCAGTGTGTTTGCAAAAGGAAAATAAAACATTGAGCTCAACGTCGTATCATAGTTGCTGACTAATATTGAGAAATAAGTCACAGTATTTCCGTTCTAGGTTGACTGGCTCTCTTCTTACCAGTTGTTGTCATCGGGTGAGCAAATTCCGATGTTTGAGCATAACTGAGGACAACACATTGCTGAGTAGGTAAGTTTAAAGGGTTGTATATTGACAAAATAACTGAATTGACAATTAAACCATCATTTTTTATTGTTGTCTTTTCAGATTGTCAACATCGGGTGGATTCAGTGGTCTATGGTGGACTCAATCTAGAATTTGAGACGCGTTGCTGACAATGGACGTGTCAATCTCCAATTTCCAGTCTTCGGCTGAAATTCAGCGTGTCATTGACAAGCTGCAAGCCGCTCGGGATAGTTTTGTAAGGAAAGAGCAGGAAAAGCAACCGGCAGTGTCCAATACTTTACCAGAACCGGAGGGACTGACAGAAGAAACCGCTCAAAGTCTTATCAACGATGAAACATTCGTGTGCCTTGAGGATAATGACCTTATCGACGTGTCGGCTTTAGAAGAAGACGAAGATATTTCACAGTGGTATGTAATTTCTGTGCTATAAGCAATAATCTCGAAAATGTATAGTATCTAAAATTTTTCATTCAAACTATACAGGTTAGTGAAGACCAATAATAATGTTAGCATCGCAGAGTTGGAAGCTGATCGATCCTATATGGATGTGGCCATGATTAACGTTCAAAATTCACTTGTAAATCTAGTTAAGGGATACATTTTTGGTGAGCGCACAATATACTAGTAACAATTACTGTGCTAATATTTTAAGTAGTAGGACCGCATTAAAGGTTTTTGTTTTTTAGAACAAACGACGAAACAAATGCTTCAAAGCCCTAGACATGTTATCCCCAAGAGTGTTTCATCTCCGACTCCTAAAAAGTTGTACAACGTTTCTCCTCCGAGTCATATACATCGAAGGAACAGTAATTCATCGGATTGTTCCAATCCGGAGCCTGTGCTAGCATCATCGCCAATCACTAATACTCCTAAATTAGAACTTGTGGATATGTTTGACTTGGAGGATAATTTAAATCATTCGAACAATTTCATTGGTAAGCCTACTGCATTAACTACAGTGTGTGAAGTCGGAGGGTATATAAATACATTTCTATAATTGTTGCATATTACTACCACAGGAACTCCTCCGCGATATGTAGACAGTCGCACTTATACGCGACCAAGAAAGACCCGCATGTCCTTGGATGGACATCTTCAAGCCACAGGGGGTTTTAATACGCTCACGTTAAAGCACAATACCCCTTTGATGTCTTTACATAGACAAGCGGAAGCATATCCTAACAAAAACAACAACCTTAATGAGACATATTCGGTGAACAACGATGACGACATCGCAAACTCTACATATACAAAGTCAGATTCTTTGAATGAGGGTGACGAGACTGCGTTATTGAATACCACGATTACCATAAAACCGTCGACTATATCTCCACGGAACCGCCAAATGACGCGGAATGATTCATACATTATTTCTAAATCGCCAAATTCGAATGTGCATGACCTGAATGCCACGTTTGTCTGTGCCCCTACTCCATCCAATGATCCATCCAATACGAATAATCCAAACGACAGTGTCAGTAATTTGAGCATGGAAGAGTTGCATGTAATGGCCAGGCTCCAAGAACAATGTAAGAATCTACGTAATTAATCATGACTTAAACATATTATATCTTTCGTCTTGAATGCGGTTTCAAATGTGAAAGAATTAAAATATTTTGCAGCCCTTAAGGATGCGTCTCCATCTCGAACGCTAACAAGAAAAGAGACTCGTGGTAATATTTAATTTCAGGTTAAAGAATCTTTTGTTTTGCTTTTGTCATATGTTTCTTAATGAAATTCTATGCCATTCTAGTGCTAATGTCTTTTAACAACTTTGATGCAAGTCTCCGTCCTTCAAGGACGTCATCAACAGATACATATTCAGTAGGTCAATCGAATCCTGATTCTCCTGGATCCTCAGCTTCGGGTTTATCGAGTCCTTTAGAAGCTCAATCGTATGACAACATCCAAGGTATTAATTAAACTAGGCTTAAAGTATCTAATGGTGTATAATGCTTGAAGAAATTATTGCTATTTCCAGGAGCTGAAACTTTTCGACGTAGTATGCCTGACCTAGCCAGTCGTCGTCTCTCCGCATCTGCAGCGTCCGGACGGACATTATCACTTGCTCCGCCAATTAATCTATTAAAATCTAAGGCATACCACACCAGTGATACGAGACTTGTACATGCCGGAAGTAACAGTCGGTTAAGTATGCTACCAACCAACGGTTTCGGTTATAACCGAAACACCAGAAATCAGTCGCCGGATCGAAGTAGCAGTTCTAGTGTAGAAACGAATAATTTATTACCATTGGTACTTTCAAAATATAGCGTTTCATTCTTCGTATTTTTATTTCCTAATCTTCAATTACTTTAGTATATATTTTGTGCAGAACCAACCTCGAACCAGACCAACGGCTCCTGGGGGTATGAATGCAGGTATAAGACCAGGACAACGAATGTTTTCTGCGCCCCAGCCACGGTGCCCGACAATCGTCAAACCTGTCATTCGGCCACAGTCCTTTTTACCTACCCCCGGATTTTCTCAGACTCGCCCAACATCGAGAATTCCAGCCCCAGGGGCTGGACGAGGAAGGTCAGTGTAATTTAAAATTACATAATACATTGTTCGCCATTTTATGTAATTAATACATGTTCTAATTTAATAATTTGTGTAAGGTAGACTGAGCCGTCCAAGCACTGCTCCGCATCGTCAAGCAATGTCCAACAACAAACAGCCAGAGTGGAGGGACGGTTGTTATTGATGATGGTGGAACATTGGTCAACATGTATATGTAGTCTCTCTCAGCAATCTTAAATAATCTATCCGGTTGAAACTAGTTCCTCATGATGTTTTCATTAAGACCAAGTCCTCTTCCTGTGCACGCATGTCATATGATTGTAAATTTAACTCAAGTATGAAATCAAATTTCATCTTGCCAACTCAAATTGAAAAGACTGATATCAAAATTGCTATTGTTGTATGGTTTCACACTTATTAAAACAAATATATTGCTGGATTGTTTTTCTGCTTAAACTTTAAAAATGTTGATACAAATAAGTAATTTATGCTGATTCGTCGAGTTAATTATTTTGTTGCTTCCTAATTAGTTGAAAATGAAGAACACACAATATTCTGAATGTACTATACTAGTACCCACCTTGTATAATTTTTGTTACCAATGTACCACATCCTAAACATAAGGCCAATTTAGGAGGGTTTCCATTCTGTTTTAATTATCTAAAATATCTATTTCACAAATCAATTTAGTCAGTGGATTTGTGTGGGTTGACACTTTTTGCTAACTAACTAAGCTTTACAACAACAATTCATATGCGACAAATGTTTCTAGGCTTAAAACATATGCGGGTGCTACAATTGAATTAATTAATATCAATGCAGTTTGCAAGTCAATGTCAAAATTATATTTAAATTTAAGATAGTTTAATTTGACTAGCAATAAGGATCAATGCAATTTCTACAATCGTAGCAATATCAATGTGCCTCAATGAGATGCTTTCATATCTAGGATTTCGTAGTATTACCCATTCTCAGAATCATTCATACAGTTTTCCAATTAAACTTAATGAAGAAAACCAAACGGACAATTGACGATAGCAGGAACTGTTTATGAATAACTGTTGTTTACACTTTACAAGTTTTTATTAATGCCCAAATTTTGTCAGCGTTTCCGACTCAAAATTATCGAAATATTATATTTATAACTTTCCCTAAATACAAACTTGGTAGAATAATCTACGTTATTTTCTTACTATCAATCAAATAATTGTACACAACTATTTATAAACGACTGACTCAGTGTGATAACCTGTAACCGATTGCGTCCTTGGAATTAATGACTCCTTTACTAAATGCATGAGAACATACTTAATATTGGTTTGTAGCGAACGTACATCTTCTGTAGTCAACGTTTCACGGTAATTGAATGAGGCAGTGGGAGTAATTATTATAGGAATTTAGGTTATCATCTGAATATTGGTACCGAAAACTGTTTGATATTAATTAAGTTTACGTTCAGTATTGTCATATTTATTTCCTAGCAGTAATTGGATTTGTTATATGAACGTTAACGTCTTCCATGTTAGGTGGGTTATGAATAAACATATTTATCAATATCTCATTTGTACAAGTCGTTTGTGATTTTTCATCGCATTAACAACCACACAACCGAAACAATCTTCTTATCATGTTTTACAAGAGTCGTGGTTTGTATCCGGAAGGATCTAGCAAAATATATGGCTGAATCTGAATTAAGGAATTTGGGAGTAAGGTTTTCGGGACGATATTTGCACGTTGTTGCTTTGGAACAGAACCAGCATGCAGCTAGAGCCGGTGAAGGCAAGGGAAAGTGGGAAGGGAGAAAGTATGATATGAGGATGAAACGGATTCATGATCACGGAGTCATGAAATCTCCATCTGGCCAGAGCAATTAATAATCACACGAATTATCCTCACTTATCTAAAAGTAAAGCATTTAAGGTGCCGCATAAATCAAATCCTTCGTCTTCGTCAACGGCCACATTATTCATCTCATCGATAAATGTGGGTAGAAATGTTTCAATAAAAAAACACTAACCCGAGAATTTAAGGTATAGAATTTTGTAAATTCATATGAGCGTGCCTCGGTATCTTGTCAACTGATTTTGGAACATTTTTCATGCACCATTTTCACCCAAAAAACTGAAACCGACAAATTTTATGATGCAGGTGGGTGTACGGACTTATTTGCATATACATATATTTTACCATAGACGATATAAACCGTTATGATAATGCTACAATTGCTCTCGTATTAGCTTCTCCACGTGAATAAGATGAATATGACCACAGCAATGGATCAAGTCGGAACAGATCTCTGCAATTAGTTAAGCCCTCCTTTCGTTTCGTCTCATCCTGCCTCCCACTTTCCATACGCGATTTGTCGCCAGGTAAAAGAAGAATTGAGAAATTAGTGTTAAGCGGGCTTTAGCTTTCACGACTCTCTCTCTCCCCAAAACCCTGTCTCCGTCAACGCGATGAATATGTATGTGCTTACTTGTTGTCTTCGTCATTCGTAGCGTGTTGAGTTACCAACAAGTTGAGAAGAACCGTTGTACATGTTTGAGGAAATGAGCAGTGTGTACATATTCTGAAAACTTGTTGAGTTTGGATTAGTTACAATCTGTCAGCTTTCATACGTTTCGTTATATATCTAATTCCATGATACGTACTTCGCAGATGTATATGTATTCATACCCTGATACGGGGAGTATGATTACATTTGCAGAACAAGACTACGCACAAACTATCCGTCCCTGAAACCTAACCTTATTTAGTGTCGGTGTCTGGATGGACTTTTTAGTGCAACAAATACTACATCCCTTGATTTATTTGTTTTTCGCACTAAAAATTTACTAACTTAATTAAATCATGGGTGAACAATAATCACATATGTCTAGCTAGAGAATATCATACGTATGTATTTGTTCGAAACCAACTCCAATTGGGGCATTCTGCACTACGAAAATTCAGTGGGTGTATACAGAGAAATATGAATATGACAAGATGATGATGCACCATATGCACATACATACTCACCCCACCAACATATAAGCTCTTGTTTATTTTGCAATTAGCCATCCCACAATTTAATTGGTGATGCTACGAAACGAAGAACCGACTCATTATACGTATGTATATGGCTGGAATGGAAATGAAGATAATTTGGGGCTCACTCTCTCCTCTGAGCTGTCTCGGCCTCGCTCTGGCTGGTGAAAGTAGTAGTCTGGTGAAAGTTTTGGGTTGTTTGAGTGTAAAATCAACTCCAATTCCCTCTTCCATTCCTCCTTCACCACGATCACAGCTTTCTCCCCGGTTGCATACGTCGTATGATGAACGGCCAAGACGAGGACTTATTGTGTCCTCTGACTCAGGAGGGCAAGTTTAGTTAGTAAATCTTTACATGCTCAGTTGACTTGACCACTTGTTTGCTCACCTCGTTTTACAATCTTGGAAGACTTGAAGTGAGCAAACTATTATCCGTCTTAGCAGCCGCAGCACTCTGAATTTAATTAGACTTTCAAGAAGTGTAATCTTCTCCCTCATTTCCAGTCACAATCGCTCCAAGACTTTGCCTCCCTCCGAAATGAAGAGAGAAAACTGCTTATGCTTCTCCGTATTCGTGATTTATTACACTTTGTCTTCTTCATGTGCACTCAACTTTCTCCCAATTGACTCAGATTAGAGTGACCTTATGCGAATAAGGAGTCAATTTACGTAGCAGGTTTTTCTAATCTGCCACTAAACGGAAATGATTATGCGGGTGTCTGATACAGAAAACGGATCTGGGACCACGGCTAAAATGCATGATGGCTAAATTATTAAAATGTGTTCTGTTAGTTACTCATCATCAAGTGTCATGCCATCCAAGCAGGTTACATTGAATTATTCTCAACAACTTGATGCCATATAATCTACCACCGGGAGGAAGAGTATCTAAGAGGACGATAAATTTAGTCTGCCCGTCGGGTTCAGTCCAGTCGGTGGTTTACTTACGCGTTGTGGACAAGCAAGGACAAATGGGAAGAGAGGGCAACAGCCATGAAATAATTTATTTTCTTCCCGTGACAGACAGTCGATAATGGAATATAAGAAAGTATGGCCTCCAACGGGTGCAGGATGAGGAGGAGGCGGTGCGGGTGTCTACTTTTAGGCTTTAATGTTGATGTGCTAAAGTTTCGAATTCCATTGATTAAATTTTATTGGGGGGTTCTTCGCGTGGGAAACATAACCATTCGCCGCTTCAAGGACTCTCATGGGCAGCAAACCTAGAGAACTTCCTACACTTGTGAACAACACGAGTTTATATGTTTAATAAATTATCTGGCTGAACTTCACGACCCACTCGTCTTCTGACTCTGGGTTCGAGTTTAATTAGAAACACAATTGAATTTAACACACTCCTCAATCTCCACACGTCCACCCAACTTGGGGTAAAAGTCAATACATTTTAGTCTCAAGTATATGTAGTTAAGTACAATGTATGTATATGCATTGGACATTCCTCATTCCTACTTGTTGTGCTGCATATTTTTGGGCCTGTTTAGCTACCACGCCTGGAAACTCTTGATTTACTTCCTTAATAGTTGTCGAAAAGGCTTAACTTTAAGTGACCAACGCTGTCGAGCTAAAAGTCAAAGTGGTCCGGGTTAATTTTCTATGAGGGGGTGTGACCTTTCGCTTAGGAAAAGTTCAGCCCACGCTGAATTAAAGTCCCCTCATTCAGAAGATGGAAAGTTTTGTGCTGATGGATTGAGTTAACAAACGGGATTAAGTTTTAAGGAAATTGTTGTGTGGAGATGGAGAAATACATTCTTGCATAAGACATATATATGTATCTACTGTATATTTGCTGAGTTTATATGGAACTTTATACGTCGAACTGTGGGTAGAGTTTGAGCTTGGTTTCACTTAAATATATACATAAGTGATGCATTGTCTTGCGAAATGCTCTGCAAACTGAAAGTGTTTCAACGCTCGTGTATCTGTATTGTTGAAAATATGATGGTGTTGGTTGTAGTAAGAAAACTCTCTGCGAAGCACCTGTCATGGAGGTCATATAAAGAGCTAAAAGCATTTCCTTTTAAATTTTCGAATTGCAATCCACCATGATGTTTTATGCGAGCAGTGACCAAACGTTTGTAATGTGCTATGGATTACTATGGAACATGCTTTTGTTCTTGAGACGCTGTTGTTCCCAGAAAAACAAATGGCTTAGCACTGTTCCATCGTACACATACATAAATATGAATACGAGTGAATGTACTAGATATCTGGATTAGTCATGATACTACATATAAATATGTCCATTTGAAAAATCATGTCCTTACAAATAGTGGAGAAAATTCGGAGGATGACATATTTGAAGCGCTTAAATACTTAGATATTTCGGTAACTCTTCAGCAATAAGTGTTACTATTTTAAAGTTTTCACTCATTATTTATATGCATGCAAAAATTCTCTGAAGCTCCTGCGAGCAGACGTTCAACTATCGTCGTCGCTTATTTAAACACCATTCATCCATTGATCAGGCAAACCCACCCAGAAAAATGATAAGGCTTGAAGTTGGTTTATTTTCTACATAAAAATGTGTGTCCACGCAATCGTACGAGAAAAGACTCCCTTTCAGTTGTGTCTATGAATTAGGATTCCATAATGAGATGATTTCTTTGCAGTATGACGAGAAGAACTGGGGTAAACCCAACAAGTAAACGTGAGCCTGGTGTATACTCCTTGCTAAACATTGTGGAATTCTAATCACGACGGAACAATCGTGTTTGATTAGTTACAGAAAAGATTTACCAGACAGAAAGTATTTGAACGTGTTGAATGAGTAATCCACCGGGATTTTCATTATTCTTTGACGACGTCGTTTCATTTCTTGTTTTCAAAATGTCTCAATTTTTGACGCAATTTCCCCTCCTTTACATCTTTCCCAAGCTGCTGCATGCTGTTTGTCTGCCTCACTTGCAAGTGCTTGACAGTCAATTCGCTTGCATGGAGTTAGAAGGAATGTGTCGTCGTCGTCAATGGACCGGCGGCGGCAGAAGCTTCAGGAATGATGAAAATTGAATGGATAACTAGGCACCATGAGGATGCAGATGGAAGAGCATTATGGAGAAGAAATAAGTACATGAAGTTAAGAAGGTGTGTGTGTAGAGGAAAAGAACCGGATGAGAAGCTCATAAATGAGCTTAAATATACCCGAGAGATTTTCTTATGAATCAAAGTTATTTCTTTTTTCTCTCTCTTTTATCCCGTCATTAAATTGTTTCATTCATTATGAACTTTCTCTTCTGGAAAATAGCAGCCCCAGCAGCCCCGAAATCTGAGAATCCAGAAGCTTACAGCTACACAGGAATTTTCCCAACTAAATGCGTACACACTTCTACATGAAAGTTTAAGAATATTCTTACACTTATAGCGTACATATACTTGTACGCGTTCCTATTTCAAGTTTCAACTCACTAGACATAAGAATACGACAAATTGCAAAATGTACTTTGCAAGAATATTATCGATACTCGAAAGCTGCCAAGCACAATGGGATTTTTACTAATTCTGATTTCAACCTTGTATTGCGTGGGACTCAGGATGCATGAGACCCGAGAGGTTCAATTACTCGAACCCTAACACCCTTCAGCATCTCATCCTAAATCCTTTTACCCAGGATGAAAGAGTGTCCGAGAAATAATCTTTTTGTGATGTGTTCTGTTCCCACATATTGCACAACCAGCTATTAAATGCCACTGTTTTGTGGAACAGGGGCAACGGATCAGGTCGTTCCATTGATCCTTTATTGGTTTCGTTCTCTGTCTTCTTGTGGGAAAGATAACAACCTCAAATCCCTTCGCATTATACTCCTTGCCCTTTCCCAACCAGGCTGATTCGTCATTTCGGTTTATTTTCTAAATGAAATTGCTACAGCCACCGAGTCATTCGTGTGCAGCGCAAAAAAGTCGAGCGTATGAAGAAATCTGGATGAAACTCTGATGTATGCGATAGCAGTTTTCCTTCTTTAGGAACAGGAAAAGACTGGAACTTTGGCATTGAGTGGCTCATCCCAAATTGGTCCAAGTGAAAGTTGGAATATCAGGAGGTCGTACAAATGTGTGGGTGGATGTGTAGGCGGAAGAAGCCGTTTTTATAGAGTTGGTCCGGTTATTCGGGTTGGATTATTGTTTCCAATATATCGTCTTTAAATGAAATTAGCAGAGTATCAATTTGCCAAAGTGCACATTTTTTTCCTCCTCCTGTGTTTTTTCTGAGATGTCAAGCGCTGGTTTTTCATAACAAAGTTAACACAATATGAATGGAATAATTCAATTAATCATCTTCATTTTCAGCTTTGATTCGTTCTTCCGGACCTCCTGGGAAAAGTTTTCTTGGAGTTGAAAACCAAAAACATCTTGAAGTGAATTTCAAGAAAATTGTGCTTTCTCTTTCAGCCAGTTCTGCTGACTTCACACTATTTTTCTTAGCTACAAAGGCTGACGTACTTATTCCTGTGATTTTATCCTTTGCAATTTCTTATAACCAGCATTACAAACTTTATCAATCATGAAATCTGGAAACATTCTAGTTTTGTGGTGTTTGATGATCGCGTTTCCTAGAACTGAAATGTGTGTGGATAAAGTTTGTTAGTGTTCACTTTTAGGAAATATTAGTAGCGCGTATAGACACTTAACGGGTCGTATGCTTTCACATAAATTGTACTCTGATAGAAATTATGTAAACAGTCTACATGCAACTTATACTTCAGTCTGGAATGGATTTGCAATTGTAAAATGTTATGATAACGACATTATCATTATAAATGTTTAATCCACTCAACCTGAGCACACATATATGAAACCAGTGAATATGTACCTATCTTTTAGTCTCCCTGTTCATGTGGGAGTACATTTGCGAGTATCATGCTGTTGTGCTAATTTGTGGTTATGAATCTTCCAAAGTTGAATATTCAAATATTGACACATGTAAATATCAAACTTTACTTTATCATAACATTTCATTCATGGTTTGTTACTTGCAGATAAAATAAAAGTTCATCAAAAGAGCCATTTGACACTTTCGTTTCGTATTCATATGCATTAGTGGGGTTTTTCGCAACACAAAGAAAGATTTTACCATTATCCGGAATAAAGCATAATTGAGAAGCGTTTAAGAAATGTATGAATAAAATCAGTCAAATAAGGTACTAAAAAATAAATTATATTCCTTTATTTCACATAATATGTACATATTTATGTAATATGATGTGCTTACTTGGAGGAAATGTGCCACATGTACCTGGACATAATCAATGTTAAATAAACGTGTCCCGACAAACTCTCATGAAACACATTACTTGATACAATACACGTATTAAGCCATATTCTAGCCTATAGTCGTGAGATGGGCATATGAATATAAGGGTTGTAAAATTTGAATAATTTGCAAAATACCCATGTTTGAAAAGCATCATTTATCATTTTCCTTGTCTGTTCAGAGCTCAGCTTTGGCCTTTGGGCACTCTGTAGTTCCGAGTGGGAGGAATAACCGTAATATATTTATATGGCTTTTCGTTAGCTCCCTTGACTCACATAGTTCTTGGGAAGTAGGTGGATATTTTACTATATCGTTAGCCTTGCGACCGTGGAGCGACTGAGGATGAGCGTGGCAAAGGACGATAAAAAAAATAACGTTAGAGCAAGTACGACACTTTATTGCATAATGATAGAAATAGGACATAATTATGTATGAATCTCAATAATAAATGAACGACCCAACTTATTAGTAGATTATTGCGATTACTGCATTCTAGGCGAGGGTCACGATTTAAATGTACCCAGTCCTAACGATGGGTATCATTTTCTCAATATGGGTCAATTTGACCTTTACCTATGAATTAACTGCGGTGATGTCAGCTTTAAATGAAAGTTGAAACATGGTTCGGTCAACACGGCAATAAAATATCCGCGTACATCCAGACGCTCACCCACCTTTAATTTGACTCCGTGTATTAGTTGGCTGATTTTATTTTCAGCCTGTCCGAAAAACGAAACACGCAACTTTATTACAGGTCGTAATCGACGGCGTTTGTCACCACAGACACGGATATGAGAAAGCTAAAAGAGCATCATGTCCGTATATGCCCACATTTCATTGAAAAGTTGTCTACACACTTCTTCTTTCTCAGGTTCTTGGCATATTCCTGTAAATATCTAATAAATCGGTAAGGTGTCCTGACCATGCATCATCAAATAGTGGTCGAGCTCGTCACGATCGATTCGGTCAGTGAGTTTAGTGGGAATGGGAATGTAACACATAAATCGTGATCGTAATGTCGTAAAATCGAACCATGTTAGAAACACGAGTGTGAAATCCATGATGAATATGCAATCTAATTGCTACTTGTTCAACACAGCCACTTAAGTACATAATATCCTTTTCAATTACCTACATGTTTTTCCCAACCCTAAAACTTCATGTTTTTGTTTGCACACTGTCCGAAGTAACTTAGTTATTAATATAATGGTTATTATTTACTCTTCATTACCATTCCCACTAAATTCCCACTAATTGGTGAACTAGCATCTGAATAATATTGGGTGAATCATATTTCAGATTAATTTAGCTCACACTAATGACTAAAAATTCGGGAAATGATCCTGATATACAGCAAATCAGTCCTCACAGCAGTGCATCCTACGAAAGGTGAGAGACTGAATGAGAATACCCGTAATAAAAAACTAATCCAAATTACAATAGTCCTTCCCAGTTTGGACGATGATGACGCAGCCAAGTTTTAACCAGATGCCGTGTATGTGACGTAGTTGAGGAGAGCAGCAAACTCGACAGAAGCAATTAAGAAGAAATAAGCACAGCCCGACCACGAGTGCTGGACGATAGAGGGAGAAATGAGGGGGAGGAATTTCCGGCCGACCAAAAGGAGGAAAGCTTTGCAAAATCCTTTCCCACTACTCGAGCTTGTCACACGTACACAATCTTCGTCCATTGTCTTCCTTGTCACACTTTTATGAGTCATGTCCGAACCCCGTCTCCTTGTCCCCCGGTACAAATATGGCTTGGTTTGTAGAACCACTCTAGAACCGCAACTTGTCCTAATATTTCAATTCCTAGCGTCCAGGGAGTTATTGCAGAAATATTGATAAGGGATTCTTCCACCTCACTGCATGCGCGTTGATTTCCAGCAAGCCGTTCCGCAACCTTAAGGTGGACGAATACGGGCGGATAGGAAGAGGAGGAGGAGGAGGACGATAAGAGGGTGGCAGTGGCAGTGGTGGTGGTGGCAGGTCGTGCAGTGGGTCCAAAACCGAGCTATATAGAGGGTGAGTTGGGAGTGAGAAGCCTGAGTTCCACTTGGTCGCTGAAACACTAAACTACACTCCAGCCGAGTCCAAGTCTCTTGTCGAAGAGAAAGAAGAAAGAAAGCAACACGGAAAATAATTCAGGACTAATCTCACGAATTAAAGATAGAGTGCTCCGTTCTTCTTAATCCTGTAGTCCACCACTAAATCCTCTTTCTTTCCATTTCTTTCTCCTCCACTTCATCACTCATTAACCCACGCTTAGCATCGCATTAAGCATCCACCAGTAACCACACCTGTCCAGCGAGATCGTCGGATCGTACACAGACGAGAAAAAGAGGGGAAATTGGACTGCCCAGATCTATCAAGAAAGCCGACTCCAGTTATCCAAGTTTTGCCACTTTCGTGTCTTCTCACCAACCCTTTCCGAATCACACGGTCTTGCAGCACGAAGGCGGACAGGCGAGGATTCTTCACTTGGGTAAGATCAAAATAATCACTTGTTTTCTCTACGCATCGTTTTGTGGTAAAAGAAAAACATTAGTGGTGCAAGTTGAGACGTACAACTTTTTACGTAACAAGTTGAAAAACTTTAGAATTTCACATAAAAAGAATATATGTATTGTTTAAAGCATGAAATTCCTCAGAATTGGTAGACATGCATGATTTCTTAAGAATTCCTTCGTTTATAGGACTCAACTAATCATTAAATTATATAATTCCGTGTATTTATTATCTCACCATCTTAATTTCTGTCTCGTCAATAGCATTTCGTAATTACATGGTTTGCATAATACAGAATATACATGCTACAAGAAAACCAAACCTCCTTCTGTCTCTCGTTGTCTCATTTTGTGCCAAGTTTATGCATGTTAAACTAAAGTTGTGGTGGTCGTGCATGCGAAGTGGTAGCATCATTCCTTATTATTGGGAAACGCAAATCAAGCCACCTTGGCAGAATTATGGTGTGTATTTTAGAGCAATGTTTAGTAGTCGTGAAAGGGTTTCACACAATAGAGAAAGTTACAATGAAAAGTAGTTGGTTAACAAAAAAAATTAAGAGTTCGAATGAATAATATTTGAAAAGCAAATGGACATGCAAAACTTAGAGTGAAAAGAAAAAATAAGTGTTTTGGTCGAGTTTGTCAAGAACGTCGAATTGAAACTTTTTATTATTATTCAAGCATGATGCTAAACATAATGTCTACCAATCCACCGAAGGATCAAGGTTGAAGGCAATCTTGATTATGCGTCGCAATTTATCCATGAAACGTTTAAGTTAATTTTCAAGGATGATAGACGGCATGTCGTACATTTGATATTGCATTTTTTCGACCTTTGGCGAGAGGAGTTTACGTAACAGCAATACAGAAATAGTAAGCTTCTGCAACACCAATCTACTCATTTGATACTCCAATTTTCAGGCCACTTACAAGTCTATTTTTATGGGAAGTATGAAAATTCAAAACTTAATTATAAACGCCTTCCACCATTCGGTTCATATAGGTTTAATGATGAGCGCAATTGTTTTGCTTGTGGGGTTGACCTTCAAAATGAAAATACGGCTAAAATTACCACTTTCCCCAACCACACAAATCTACATCGACAAGAGAAATTGCTGCACTGCATTGGAAATCAAAAGTATTAGTGGAATCATAAGCCAATCGATCAGCGTCGTCGAGCGTGTTGGATTGTCCAAGGCGAGGTCTGCATACATAAAGCCTGCATTTAGTTTTGTCTCCGACGATGAACTTTTGCAGTCTTTTGTGCACCAACCACCGCATTGTCAACTTTTGGTTATTGTTTCACAAATAAAAGTAAAACTACAACATTAAGACTCAATATTTGCATGTAGCGTGGCACATTTAGTATTCTGGTAAAGTTGCTTAATACTTTCACCCAGAGAGAGATACAGTCCACTGGCATGTCAAAGAACTGGACACCTTGCTTCCAGATTAATGCATAGCAAAGGTAAAGCAATTTCCCATCAACAACAATTCAATCAACGTGTCACATCAGACCAATCAGTCCATTAAATGGTGCAAACGAAGAAATAGTTTGTGCCAATTTGAGTACAATTTCATACTTTGAATATATGTATCTTTGCCGGGCGCAATTGGCTTAAAATTTTCAAACCATGTCAATTGCCCTTCGTCACTATTTCGTTCAATTTCTAGCAAGAAAGGTGATTTATGTAATGATTGAATTGACAAGATAAATCGAATTGCGTCCAAACGGGTAGCGAAACACTTTATTTACGCCATATCAAGTTCTGAATAGAACATCATCATGAAATGTTTCATCGCAATTTAGAAGTTTCGCCTTCTGACATGATGACAGTAGATAAGAAGACGTCACGAGAGCAATAATAAAGAAGGACTGTTCAAGATACTGGACTACATTTCCATACCAAGCATCGCAGTGATAGGTCTCGTACGGACGACGGTGATAAGTAGAAATTGTTACTTTCTCCACACTCTCGTTTTGCCCCAAAAGCACGTCTCAGAATCCCAAAAGTCGAGAATAGTCGTTCAGAATACATAAAGTTGTGGATAGAATATGCTCAATTTAGTTATGTACTTGAGTTGGCCGACGAATTATATTCCTGCCAAGAACCGATGGAATTGATTTACATTGTATTCTTTTCTTCAAGGGACGAGTATTGCAACTTTTCTCATATTTCACAAAGTTTTTTTTTTATTCTTTTGGCTTCATCCACACTTGAACTTACTTTTGGCAAGTCCACTCGCTCCCTGCTAACAAAAAGTCACTGATTGAATTGGATCTCTGACTGACCAGTCCAATTCTAACACAGTGGACGAAATCAGTACGTCAGATATGTGAGAATGCGGACAAAATTAGAAGGAGCACAGAGACCAACTTTCACCACCGCAGAAAGAAGGCAGAATTTTTGTATATTTTTATGGCTACCTTTCCCATCTCTTTGTAGGCGGAGGGATAAAAGAGTTGAACTTTGTCTACTTCTACATATTAATCTCCTACTTGAGCATCTTCTTGTCCTGTTATGAAATCGGTATTCATAACGAGCTTGTTTTATCTGCTCGTTTGCTCCAGATTTACCAGCAGCAGGCAAAAGCTAATTTCGAGTTTCATCTTATCATTCAAAAGGCCGAAAACGGAATCCATATTTTTCGCCGAGAATTTGCAATGCATGTTCCTTACATATGAAAAAATATTCATTTCCCCACCAAACCACACGACTCCGAACTCATCCTACAGAGGAGAAAGTAAGAAAAAAAGCAATCCTATCACAATTTCCGAACAAAATATCCGACCAGACCAGAAGACAAGACTGTTGCGAACTACAATTGCATGCCTAGGAGGAAGGAAGCTGTCATCATCATCGTATCGTCGTATAGGTATCATGGGTGGTCTGACTGGTTGTGAGAGCAGGAGAGAAAGTCTATCAACCACTTCTTCCTGTCGGTTTAGCTTCAAGCGTCTTTTGAACGTTGAATGTCATTGTTTTACCCAGAGCAGGGCTTATCTTCTTCTTATTTCCCCCTGGAGGCCGGGATGGACCACTCCGTCTCACCACCACAGGTTCTGCTCTCTGTTTTCTTATTCTAATTCAGGCAGATAGTTTTCCTCCATGCCTGGCCATCGTCTCCGGTCTTCTAAATATATAATTTGAATAATAAAGGCAACTAAACTGCAATTAGTTTTATCTGGAGGTGCCATTTACTTGCTTCGAAATATGTTGATTGAGATGTTTCTGTGTCTTCTCCCTCCACGACGTCAAGCGAAAGTTGTGACGTGCACGACTCCAAATTCAGTGAGACTTTGAATATCACATAATTTAATCTCATTTCCAGCGTGGGACTGATTTGATTCACACATTATGCTATTAATTTGCCCACGCGAGACGAAAACAATGTGGCACTACTAACAGAGAAGAAAGAGCGAATTTAAATATAGGCATTCAGACGAGAATTCTGCTATGCACGGCAGCTGAATAGGAACAACAGGTGGACCAGATGAAACCGATTACATTTATTTGTGCGTTTCAGTTTAATCGTCTTGTTTCTGGCATTTCGATTCAGAAGTTGGTTGTAGTAAATCCGTTTGCAACCTGCTTTTGCTCCCGTCGTAGTAAAATAGATTCACAAGATCGTAACATTAACAAATATGAATACGCAGTTTGTGGGTTATTTCTGGGATTACGTAGATATATTAATGTTTCATCGGTGCAATGAATTGATAAAGGAAAGAGCTCAAACCAGTTCCTGTTTACTAATTATCTATTTAATTACCAATAAATGAAATAACAGGTATATAGGTTACTTGGAGGCAAAGTGAGAATGAGATTATTAACAGTATAAACTTATTATTATCAAAGATTAATGATACGTTAAGACCTTTCTATTATTCGATGGTGAACAATCAACTAAACATTATAGTTATGTAAGTCCTAAATTTCTTAATATCTAGTTCAGTGAAAAGGGAATAATACTTGAGAAAATGAATGCTAGCTATATGCTAACTGATGGCTAAATAAAGTGCGAATTTCGTTGAATTATGTAATACATCAACTTTAAGAGAAAAGAATGGCGAACAATTTTTCTTTAACGCACACCATTCTATTAACATGCATGCAAACTTAGAGCACATGCAAGAAATATGCGTTCCAATGCGAACTTCTCTACTACGCTACTTCTACTACTACGCCTTTGAAAAATGAGACCATTTGGTGAAGCCAAGACCTACTTCATCTGTCCGTGTATCGTCTACGTACGTACGTAGAAGAGGAGTGAAAGTGAAACCATCAAAGTTTTTTTTTGGTAACCCTCAACCTACCATCGCCACCAGAGCCATATCGGAGTCCAACAGTCACCTTACACTTGAGCAGCATGAATGTATTCTATTAAATAAAAGTTTTCCCAAGGTGATGAAATATTCATGAAAATCTGAAAAGTCTATGGCCGGATGTGCGGCTGAGATTGGCACTTATCCACTCCACGAGTTCGTCACACCATTGAAAGAAAGACCTCGTTTCTGATGGTGTTAGTTTCTGTTAACGCAAAATAATGAAATTTAAAACTCCGTCGCCTTTCATCCTCTGATTAGTCACTAATTTATTGAGGAAAAACTTGCTTGAGGGTTGAATGGATATTCCTTCGTCGAGATTTGTGCTGTAATCCAATATATTGGAAATGAGTCTCAGGTGCATACATATTTTCTGGCGAGGCCATTTCGTTATGCAGTAATGAACCTCAAATAAATGTCATAGGAAAAAATACAGGCAAACAGTTTTTCCTATAAATTCTTCTCAATCTTGAACATATTTATTATCTCCTAAATTCTACACATTCATCAACTCATACTGCGATTGAACTTCATATTTGAATACCGATTTATGTGATTCTTTAAGATACAAAAAGTATCTTTTTGCCTTTGTGCTAATCAGGAAGTTAAAAAGATGGTAGATAAATATTAAGCAAATTCTATATAAAGAAAAGTTAAAACCCAAAGTTTTTAAACGAAAGTTCATGAACTTTCGTTTAAAATAGAGGATATGCAAAATCATTATGATATAATATAATCAAGAATAAGAATATTAAGTGAAGGTTTTTTACTACATATAATCATCTGAAAGATGATATGTAATTCTGCCAAATTATTTATTCATGTAGTCGAGTGCATTACGTGAAGAAATCATAATCAGAAAAGCAGACAAACCTCACAAATATGTACGTATGCATGCAAATATGCATGCATCATTTGAATACTAAATACCTTTATATTATTAAAGCACTTCTAACACTGGGTACAAAATCGGTCTAAATATCCGATGACGGTAAAATCGTAAAGTTTTGGCCTCCATAAATGATTGATTCTTCGATATAATAATAATTGATGGTTCTCGTATTGATTTCGGATTAGTAGTTTCCGATAAAACAGAGCCAGGAGTGAAAGGCATGTTTTCGACTACGTTGTAGAATTAATACTAGCTGCTACTACGGACGCTCACGTAATTGTCGTCTCGTAAGTATGATGGCAACAACTGTGTTCACCTGGCTGTCCGGTACTTAATAGCCTGAAATTAGTTGAGAGATAAGCAAGTTTACTTTACTCGTGCAACAAAATTTCCCAACTTATAAATTCACAACTATTTACTTGCGTGTATTTCCAGGTAGCCAGACCTGACGGAACTACTGATTCTTGCAAACTACTCGAACGACGGGAAGAAAGGGAATTTTTGGAATAACACACACAAGTCTCGACGGAAGAAAAATGAATTCGTTTAACTGCTGGATAATTCTGAGTGCATCAGCGTTCCTCCTCCTCCTGATCTCCACCACAGCTTCTTCCCAAGAAGCCACAAGTTTACAGGATGAAGACCTTTCTAATAGTAAAAGAGCGTGGAAGGACGTTGGGGCGTCGTGGGGCAAGCGAGGATGGAAAGATATGCAAGTGAGTGCTCATTTACTTTGCTTATTCCGTAGGCTTTTCAAAACATTTCCCCTTTTCGAGGAATTTCCTCTCCAACAAGAGAACCAAGTGTGCTACTGCCCTTGGTGAAAAAAGTTGTGGTCAAAACAGAACCCAGAATACGAGAATAATGTAAATGCAACCCAACCATTCGTCTCATTTTGCAACTCCATTCACTTATTTAGCATCTGTTGCAAATGTATTCTGCAAAATTCTAGAACGGAAACTGCCAATAAATTCTATTCGTTAGACAACTACTACAATACTTTTCTTCTCAAGTGTTTAGTTTTTGCAACACATGGGAGAAAAATCCCTTGAAAATAGTATTCGTTGAAAAGTAAAGTGATAAATACGTTCAGGATGTAGAACATAAACGTTTGTTCATGTTGTCTCATTTTCTATTCGAGAACACGTCCGTATTCATATTTACACAGGAATGACTTTCACTTTGCAGTGTATGTGTAGCACTCACTTTCCCCTCTCCCGCAGCCACCCAAACCACGTACCAGCCTTGCTTGACAAGGAGAAACTCCTCTTAAAACTTAAACGCAAAGTAATCCTTTTGTGCATACAACTGATAGTTAAGATAAATATTCAAGGCCAGGAAACTTCTGCAAGTAAAATATGCACAAAAAATGTCCCACCCACGCATTTGTGATGAGGCAAGCAGATATGATACCAGTTATCGAGGACATGAAATATATTGGGTTTGCACACTCGAGGATTTATTCAACCGAAATAGGAATATAAAACCCAATGTAAACTGACGCCTTGACATGCGGAAGCTGGCCGACATAACTTTACAATTGAAATTACTTGTAGTTTGTAGTAGTTTATGGGATCCATTCCATTTATGAATGGCAATTGTGTGGATTTCCGACTCAATTTGGTTTTGTATTGTGACAGGGCACTTGGGGCAAGAGGGGATGGGACAAAATGAGTGGCTCTTGGGGAAAGCGAGATGACGCCGAGCTAGAAGATGCTTGGGACGGGATTGAGAAGAGACCAGAATGGGGAAAGTTCAAAGGTAAGCAACCAACCAACCAAACCTGCACCCATTCCAGATTCCATTAACTTAACTGCTCTTCAACAACAATGCGTTAAGTTGGAGCCAAACATGTCGCTGCACAGTATTGAAAGAAGCTTTGCAATGTATGTATTGCAATAAACGGTGAATAACCTGCAAAGATGATGTAAAATAACAGCTGACATCTATTTAATCTATAACCCCACCGGTATGTCGTCGAGTACTAAATTTAGTAAAACAGTAAGGCTTAACCTTCTCCAAACTTACTGTTTTTAGACCAGATCAGCAAAACTTACACCCCCGCGTAGACCTTAAGACTCTGCAAATATGGAATATTACTGAACCAAATTCTCAAAACCAGCATTTCTACTTTTGGACAGATATTTTGACGGCTGAGTGAATTTCCATAGCACACACAAAGCAGAGATTTTGACATTCAAACGGGGAGAAAGCAACTCAAGTTGAATTCAAGTGCTGAGTGAGATTCTAATACGCTCTCACTCTAAGGATTTGAGGTTGAGTAAAGTTGAATACGTATGTTTCTGAACCCTGCTGCATAGATGGATGGATGGATGGCACAGGGAATGTGAATTGTTGACAATACATATTTTGAAACCAGTTCAGGACAAAACTAAAATCTTGTCTTGCTTTCCTCCCCCAAATCGAACTCTGGGACTACACAATAAAATCGCATTTAACCCAACTTTTCTCATCATCCGCCTCCACATCGTCGTCCCTCATCCATATTATGCTAGCCTTGCAATAAGATTAAGTGCAATATAGATAATATATCACTTCTCAGCTCAAGCCATTCACTAGAAAATCTGAGAACAACCGACCAGCAGCTTAGACAGCATACTTATAACGTGTATTATTGCGGAACAAAGATTATTATGGGACATATCTAAAGGGCGACTTTGATTTGGGAGTCGCATATAGAGCAAACCATGTCCGCGACTCAGTTTGGCTGACAAAATTTTTCCTTTCTCGTGTCCATTATAATAACTTTCCCCGCATAGAGCAGGCGGTGGCAGGAGCGATATAATAGTAATAATAATAACAGGAAACTGGTAATCTCGACGAGGAGGAAGAAAGTGTTGGAATTTGTGGCAAGAGAGCAAAAAGCAATTATCTTATCCGCGAGAAAAAACTTCAAGTGTCCAGAAATAAATGAACTGTCTCACCCTCATCGGTCGACGATGTGGTGGTGCCTTCTTCTCTGAATTTCACTTTCACTCTCATTCCGACTCATATGTCGCTCTGCTTTTCCGTCTTAGCATTATTTGGGTCCTTTTTTGCTTTAGTATCGAGATTTTTTTCTTTGACCACGAGGTGAGGTTGGAATTATGCTTTAACTAGATTTGCCAAGATAGCACTTCCGAGATGAGAAAAAGTAGGACTCTGGGCTGAATTTTTTCAACGAGACTGAATAAATTTAGATGAACTATTTCATATCAGAATCTAGTTTATTATATTTAAAAGTTTTCAGTCATAAGATAATTACAGGTTAATCGGCTTTAAAGAGCAAATTTAAGTTTCATATGACGAAAGTTATGACGTATTTGGATCATATCATGCATATTATGAATTTAATCGTACCATGAAAATTAGACACAATAGGAATTCAAGGATATTTTTTTATCACAGGCATTGCTCAAACTTGAGATTGAACTCGAAACATCAGAACTAACTGTACTGTTTCCTTCACATTTTATGATATTAGAATACTTTATGATAAATATAATACAGGTTGAATGTACGACCATTTGGGAAAAAAGGGAGACCAATTTTGATTGACAAGTTATTGCCAGCATATCTCATAAAGGAGGAGGAAGGGAACAGGAGAGAAAAGTACAAGTCGTAAAATTTACACTTTGTCATTCACCCACATCCCATGGCGATGGTGTAAATGACTTCTTGTTGTTCCACCTCCACGCGACAGACGGTAACAAATAAACGCAAAGTAATGCTGCCAACTGTAGAGATATTCGTACTACTTGATGCACACCCAAACTCACTGCATGCATCGAGCAGTTAACATTGGTAACGATTATCACAGCCTGCACTTTGTACGGACGTGGACGAGGAGTTAAATGCAGGCGAGGAGTAATGGTGAATATTTATTGTCCGCGTTGGTGGTCATCAAATTTGGTGAAAGTGGACGAGCCAGGGGATTTCGGGCAACACGTAATGTGCACACGAGATACGAAATAAATAATAAATGCAGGATTTGCAATATCAGAATTACACCATTTTATTTTATCTTCTTGTCAATAACGTTAGAATTAATATCCGCACACACGACCCATCTGTTTGCATTTTATTTAACTGGGTTGGATTGATGGTTGCTTTGATTCGATGTCATCTCAAATCCTGGCTCACTCACGCCAATTTAGGCAAATTTGTTTTGTGGTGATGCTTAAGTTCGAATTTATGAATACTAAACACCATTTTATCATCTCCATTTCGACGCCACCTTGTTTCTTGGGGTGTATAATAACATACGTAATATGCCTCGTGGGCGAGGTTGGCGTAATGAAATGGTGGAATTACGTACATACTTGCAGCGTAGAAAAAGGTTCACCACTTTGACCCACCCGTCCGAACATGATTCGGGGGAGACATAAATAATTCTTCAAGCTGGGTTGCCTTAATGGAAATTGGGCGAATTATTTGACATGCTAAATAAAATTAGCATCACACCTAATATCTGGCAATCAATCCCATCTTGGGCTTATCCTACTCTCGTGTGTTGATTTGGATGGTTGTGACACAAGTGAATTTAATGGAATAAATAGCCATCGAGGGGAAAGAAATTGGACCCCAGATAATCCGATGCGACCAGGGGATGAATTTATCCGAGTAAATTGCATTTCTACTTTCTGGATCAAACTAGAGGAAAATAGATCCGTTTCAGAATGAGATTTCAAGCAGGATTTTCCGGCAGAATGAGCAGAGTGTGGAATTAATTAAAGGAGTCAGCTCATGTGTGTCACGTATGTTCCATACCTTCGTCCTCGCTCCTCGATGCGTTCACTTTTTGATTTTTTATGGCAAGACATACGGTGTCCGTAAATCTACCCCCCACATTCACACCAGCTGAGGCTGTCAATCCTGCCATATAATTCATCATAAAATCCACAGCAGAAGGAATATTCATTCATCAGCAGCAGCAGCAGAAACAGCGCTAATGGTGGGAGGACATATTTGACATTTTCTCACCTTTCTGATTGTTTTATTGGATCAATGCGGTTTGGGGTGGATTTAGGTGTGTGTATAAAAGTTTGTAGTTTGTTGAATTGACAATTGCGTTGGTGGAAGAGAGTCAACTGAGATGTGATGGATGGGTGGACGATGTGGGATGGATGAGAAAGTTTTTTAAAACCATGAAGGAATAAACCATGCTGGCTGGCAGTCATACGTAGTAGAAATTTCGTAATCCGTAACCAAATCCATATCGTCCGCTATCATGTCGGCCTAATTCAGTCAACTCCAAAAATTTCGACTCTGCAAAAGTTTCCGGGTTTGTAAAACATTCCGTTAATTAAAGTGGAGTTGTTCCTATGCCGCTCGTCACATAGAGCGTGCGAGTGACCACAAGCGACCGCAGGTTCAGTACGGGCATTGAAAGGGCATTGAAATTAGTACCACCACACAATATATCCTGGCATCAGTTTCAACTGGAAGTGATCTAATTTACACATAATTTGCTCGTGTTCTCCTCCAGTGTTCAAATAGAATGGATGTTTTTTCACCAAAATTCCACAGTTGTTGTAATACTCGCGGTTTTTGAATACTTTCTCTTTCGTAATAAGGACAAGGAGCAAACTCAATTGTCAACTCCCACATGGACACGTTTCTGATATGTGTTTTGTAGAGGGTCTGGCAAGGGCAGCACGCAAACAGAACATAATAATGGACCTCAACCACAATTCATGCCTGATGTAAAATTGAATGAGTCAGACATCTCCCGCTGACAAGAATTGAGTTTCTAATTATTAATATTTAAACAGGTGTGCTACATCATTCTGTATTTTATTCCAGGGTCATGGGGAAAGAGGGCGGCAGTGGGTGGCTGGAATAATCTCAAAGGATTGTGGGGAAAGCGGTCTTGGGGAAAATTGTCAAAATCATGGGGAAAACGGTCCGACTCTCCAATGGGTAAGTCATTGTCTATCAAACCAGTCTTTTCAGCAATTTGCATGCATTTGGCTCATAAATTTATTAGATTCTTGTGCCACTCAAGACTTGCATTCTGACAAGTTAAACCAAATTACTGTTATTTATTTAACAGCCGAAGTGTTTCAAAATTCAGGAAGAAAGGCTTTCCAATTGGCGTGATAAGTGATACATGTCATTCTTAACTTCAAATACATTTAAGTGTGCATGACATTTACGTTGTATCACTGTTCGATGATTGGCACAAGTATTTTTATTAGTGCGTAATTAAATATAAAAATCCCTGTTTACCTTGGTGTAAAATTTTTTTCTTTCCCTCAAGTAGCATCGCAACCATTTTAATTACTTGTTGATTACACAAGAAAAAGATCGATGTTGCACAAACTATTTGATTATTCAATGTTTGCTCTGACATTTCTATCTCGTGGATAGTGAAGTGAGTGAGTGAGTGAGTTCCATCATGCAATTTCTTGTCATTGCATATCTTTCGTCTGTTGACACTGCTCTACTGCAGGGACATGCATCATTTCTCAAAAAGCACACTGATAGGTACTTTCGAACCATTTTGATAACATTTATGTATACATTTGAGAGGATAGGAAATTTGAATGGATCAACATCCTTGGTCGTTTCTAAATACAATACTTGCTTTTGTACACCCCCTCCTAGCTGGAAAAACTAGTTATCTCGCAGCTGCCTCCCTCCTCTTCAGCAATTAAGTAGGGGATGCTCAAAAGTTTGGGTGCTTTTGTTGCTGAATGGTTTCTCAAGTCATTAAAGGTATGACAAACAGAGAACGTAATAGTGGACGAATTGTGCCAATATTTACATTTGACTAAAACTTTGCCAAGTATTTTGCTACCTTACTATCATGGCATTCAGTTCAATCAATTATCTGTCAACCAATCGATTCGCAATGTTTAATTACTTACGCAACACAATATTCTGTCCGGTTTGGTTGGATGGCACGAATTAGAGAGAGTCCCCATTTCCAAAATATTGCTCACGAGTAGCTCAGCGAGGCTAAAAGCTTCTTTTACGAACTGCTGGGGATGGAACTGCTGCCCATCAAGAGTAAACTGGTTACCCCTCGATTTGTGGGTCTTAATTGACATGCACGGTCTTTTACCTAAGTATATTTTCTTGGTGAATAAATGTCTTGAAGGGTTATGATGTTGTGCTGCCGGATTATGTGACGTGCACAATAATGATTAACTTGTAATGATGGTCGAGCAAGAGACAGCAAGTGGAAACCCAAGGCTGTCATTTGATTATTAAACAACACACTGCTCCCCTCTGCTCAGCTTTCCCTATGCATCACGACCACAAGCTTGTCAAATAGTCCAAGAAAAGGCGTCATTTCACGGGGCATAGATTTTAATTTTAATTGCTCTGCATACGAGAAGCACTCACCAGAGCACAAATGGTTGTGAGCCTTTTAGTACTTGTTGGGCAATAGGGCATGTCGTCCCAACATGAAAAAGGACACAGACGCCGAGATGGAAATAGAGGGCAAGAGATGAAAAGTCTGGAACGTCGAGATCAAGACACAACCCACACACATTGCTATCTTCATGTCCACCTACATGTATTTTTCGGGTGCACTCTGATACAGATCCAGTTGATGTCAATCTGCTCTCGAGATAAGAAATGTGTCAGAAGTAACTAACTGTTTTGGACGCTACTTTGTTGGAAGAGCAAATTTTAACAAAGTAATTATAGCACGTGTTATGTATTCAAATTCCTTCCTAAATTTAAATGGTATTGCTGCATTAACTTCTTCGTATCCAATTGCCTTCAAGATTGCCGCAATACTCTTTACGATTTGACCTCAAAGTCAAATGTGAAATGTTCTAGCATGACTTTGGTCTATGAAAATACTTACTTTACTTTTGTTCAAATCCCCTCAAATTAAGTGCTCACAAGTAGTCGTAAGCTAATGTGTAAGAAATAGAAACAAGTCTCATGCTGATGACGACAAGTATCTATTTGCTCCATTAAATCACACCATTCTTATTTCATTTACTGTAATCGAACAATCTGATCAATAGTATATGCATAATATTTTACTGATGTAGTTCTAAAAATATTTTGCTCCTCCTTATATATAATCCCCAGAAGAGGACAAAAGCTATTTATCGAAATATGGGAAAATTAATTTGCTTTAAAAAATGTCCGTCTTAACATTCAAACAACTTTCGTAGTTCTGACTAAGGTGGCAGAAGATAATTTACTGGCTGATAGGAGAGAGTTTCTAAAGAAAATACATGCAACTGGTAGCTGAAGAAAGTAGCGGTTGTGTTAACTTTCTCTTCCAACAAGATTATGGAATAGGGCAATTTGCGATGCGGATATGAATCTGCGTGGTGGAGAAAGATAACTTTTTGTTTTAAAGGGCAGAAGGGAAAGAAATGTCCGGGTTTGTTAATGTCTCTACTAAATAACGCTGAAACAGGGAATCTGAGCCTGTTTATCAGGCAAGGTATCTAAGAAAAGGAGAGCTAAACGTAATCAGAGTGAAAGTTGGGCCACCACCAGTGGTTTTTTGCCATGTGGTCTAATAAGAAAGAAATCAGGTCATCTGCCATCCCTCGTCGTCGTCGTGGTCGTCATCGTCGTCGCGTTTGCCTTAAGGCGATCCAATCATGCAATCCATTTTACCCAACAACAACATCATCGAGCATGTCACTCCTTTTTCTCCTGAAATTTATAATAGGCTTGAATTTACATTTGAATAAATGCACATTTCGAGCTTTTTCTTTGCGATCATGTCCATAAGCCCAATGTCAAAACTTCAATTTTTTTTGGGACACTTTTCCTCAATGATTGTTCCTATACAACTTGCTTTTTGGTTGAGAGCACCATTGGCCAAGTTTCATCACTTTCTCTCTTTTTACAGATTATGAACCAGTCTCAGAAGCCGAGTGAGGGGTGATCTCTGGAAAGAGTGAATATTCTGGTGCTACGAGGACTACTACCACTTAATCCTATATTACTACTACTATTATTCTACTGTAAGAAGAAGCGTTGAGAGGAGGATTATTATTATTACCTAAATACATACACGAATTGATTTCATATTTGATACACGATACATTCATTAATTATAGAAATATATCGTCATCTACTAGTTGTAAATAACCACATGTATATTTCTCCACCCACGTGATATACTTAGCTCTATAAATCTGTAGCCAGACTTTTCAAACCTGTTTCCAACGCTGTGCTACATGGAAACAAGTAAGAGAAGAACAAGAAGCATGGATTAGCATATTACACGGCTTACATTTCCTCAAATTTTCGATTGCTACAAAATACCGATATACATAATCTATATGTTCTGCCTCCCACACATGCTTACTCATAAATAAATACATACACCAGGTAGAAAGACGTCATCCAAAGGGTCGCTCTGTTCCAACTCCCACTTGAAGATAAAACTAAAACCCAGGGATAACAAGAGAAGTTAACTTTTATGCCCCTCGACTAAAGAAACAAAATGTATGTATGTAGATGTTAGGCAACACACACACCCTTATTCTAGCTAAACGTCCTTTACGAAAATCTGAATAAAAACATTGTCTCTCTCTCTCTACATCTATCTCTGATTCCTGACCACTACTGTTATAATACATACCTTGAACTTTAATGCCAAGATTTCTGTCTGGCTTAAGAATAAAATCACCTTATCTTCTGTGGCACTTCTAACTAGTTTTGTAATAAGGTTAATTACTTAATTAGACGGATAAATATATGGTGCTTAGATCAACTTAACTTTAGTATACGTACAAGCTTAACTAGCGGTAAAAAAAGCCTGGTACGTCTGAAGGGAAAATACTTGGAATCCAAAAATTCACCAGAACGAAAATTTTCATGTCGATTAGTTGTTTCCTAAGCTTTTAGATCAACAAATAGAATTACGATTATCTACTGATAAGCTTAAGTCAGGATACAAAAAAAAATGTAAAAAAAAGTACGGCATGCTTGCAAATATGTCTATTTGCACTCGTCACCAGCAAGAAGCATGAAGATAACAAAGCAGTCAAACAACAAAGTGGCCAAGTTGAGACAAGTTGAAATGATCACTTGTCACCGTTTTTACCGAGGGGATTCCTCTTGATTTCACGACTTGGTTGATTCTTCTGGCCACTGTACCATCAATTATTCTTTTCTTTATCTGTCCTTCCTCTGGTGCATGCACTAAATAGTTTACGTACATTGTTCTATTGTTAGTTCCACCTACGCGAAAAACTGAAAAAATAAAGTAGGAAGTTTAAGTAAAGAGTTTTCTTGGATTTTGTTAGCAATGTGCTCCCTCATCCTCCTGTGTCAAACCGTATATAAAAATATACACTGCATCCATAAAACGTGTAATATGTTGTAAACTACAAACTTTCTATTGCCTACTTATTCTGTATAATTGAAATGTAAGAGACTATTTTCTAATAGATTAGTAAAAAAAATCATTGTGGTAATAAAGAAAGTAGTTAAGTACGTAGACTGCGGGTGAATTTAGTTAATATTAGCCAAGAAAAATAGAATTCTGACTATGATTGATTACACGTACGTACATATTCTTCTTGGTTGTGTAACATAATTGCATTTCACTTGCGTCGAGTATAAGAAAACTTAGCAAGCAGGATTAAAATTAGCTCGTCGTAAACTTATTCGCACTTGATTTACAACGATTTATCTTAGTGTTTTTCCTTTAATGAAAAAATAATGTTGATTGAGGGTTGGTAGGAAATAGAATTGTTAGGAAATACGATTCTTGAGAAACATAAAGTTCGGATAACCTAAAAAAAGAGAATGAGGTGTGAGGGATAAACTGATTATTTCCAATTCTTGATTTCCCCCAGACCCTCCTTTACAGTTACATACATACATATACAACTATCAAAGATTAAAGTACGGTTACGATTAGACTAGAAGTAAGAACATGATTTTCATATTTAGTTCAACCCCAAATAAGGCCAAACCCAATTCTTATTTTATTTTTATAATTCGGACAATTTTTCCCTGATTCTCGTTATTTTGTGTACTTTTAAGCTTGGTTCGCTCTTCGCCTGCTTGATTGGTGCAAAAATAAATTACCAAATTGAATTTAGAATAGTGAAATGAAAACTAATATTACGTATCTAATTCGGTGCTAGCTACATATTATTGTATACCCTCATGAAATAAATTAATATTGCATTTAATTTTCGAACAAAACTGTGAATGAAACTTTCAATTTATTTAAAAACCTGGTGCAACGTCATTTAGTCCGAGTCAGGGACAGAGTCAACAATGTAGACCCTGTCCCTGTACAATTGCATAACTGCTTATCCGTCTATATTTTTGTCCACTGGGAGAACATTATATTTCCCATAATACGTATTCTGATTCCTTTTTTGCGCATTGGTCGACTGGTCAAAAGCTGTCTCATTGTGCCAAAAAACTTTTCCGCAATTCAATCCAAAGGGCAAGAAATGCTTATATTTTATGTAGACCAGAAAGAAACTTTGGTACTCTTTTTCACCACCGAGTTTGGAGACAGTCTTCTTGACAAGATGTTTGCCCTTTTTTATGCATTTATGTAAGTCTGTACCCATCCTTCTAACTTCAAGGGTAGTACATGCATCAGCCCCCTTCTGCAGGTTCAGAAACCAACAAACATCAAGTTAATCCGAACTTTAATAAAGAATTTATTGATAAACCACACATTCAATTGAATGACAAATATTTTCTAATTTAAAATTTTCAGAGAATCCAATAAATTATGTCCGAGTGATCGTTTTACAAGGAAATTCATTCAGTCATTCATGATCTGTCTGCATATTATTTTATCTGTGCTCGTGACGATATATAGCACATCGAGTGATTTCGCATAGTTTGTTCCATGTATCCAACCCGTAAATTGCCCCCAATCAAGTTCTCATTTTCTATCATGGTCCAGCAATAAACTTGGGGCAAAAGGACAATTTCGGGGAACATTAATTAAAAATTATGCAAAGGAACAAGGGCTGCTGGGCCAATTATGTAATAAAATATGGCACAAATTCGACGACTGCAGCATTTACGACTTTAACAGCCCATCACAAACTCAACAAACAGGCCCGTCGCCAGTCTCAAAAAACTGTATCAAGATAGATGACGAATTCCACCCACTATCATTTCAGCAGTTTTTTTCACATATAATTCGGTTAATACAGTCAAACGACATCGTGGACTTTTATCTATTTCCAGTCCTACTGCGCCTTGATTTCGGCATGAACATAAACTCTCAATTAGCGAAGGAAATTGAATTACATCCCGAATCCAATTCAGCCATTCACTTATCTGTTGTTGGATCTCTTCATTTCGCATTAAATACGCAAATCTAGACGTTTCTGAAGAAGCAACAGTGTATTTAGTACAGTACAAAGTGATACATATTTTTTTACACGCCATGTAATTCGAAGACGACGTAGGCAACAGTAAAAATTTTATCCCTTGATGGATGACGATGAGGAGAAGCGGAAAGGAGGACAGAAAGCGAGATTAGAGTGAGATTCATTATTATGCTCTTCCACGTTCAGCACACTTACATAACAACTCCTGTTCTGTTCTGCTGTAGTGCCATGGATGAGGAGAAAGTCAAGCTTGTGAAGAGCGGTATGCAGACACATTCCTTCTTCTCTCCGAGGAAAGAAGGACCCATAACGCCCACACCACCCTTTCCCCAAAAATGCTTGAGCTACTTAAAAAATATGTACAAATCCATCTCATGCTTGGTAAACAAAAGATGCAGAAAAACAAACAATTTGTGATTGGCTATTTTAAAAATACTTCAACGAGGTAAAATAAAGGTAAGTAAAAGTATAATATCAATTTAGTAAAATAACACAAAATAACTAAAATACGTATTTTTCGTGCAAAATTTCCATATATTTTTTTGCATACATCATTAGAATTACAAAACTACAACTTTGCCCAAGAAATTCTTGGCTTGGGTTGGTGGAGACGGCCCAAGGCCGCTTTTTTCCTTTCTCTGCTTATTCTTTCCTCTGAGGAAGGAATGTTGCGACAAAAGAAATGAAACTAAACATTGAAACTAAACATTTTGTGAAATTGTTGCAAACGGATGAGTTTGGTTCGCTCACTCGCTGTGTCATTTGTTATTGCTGTCCTTGTCTTCAATTATAAAGTGAATGGAAGGAATGGCTGTCGGAAATTTAGTCCAGCGTGTGTAGATACATACATATTCGTAATACATGAAAGTAATGTGGGAGTATGTAAACTGAATTACGAATGAAAGTGGAGAATGTAAATAAAAAATATAAAAATTTCTTGTTTGTCGTAATGATTTTTGTCTGTTATTCATCTTTTACATAAGTACATTAACTTGCGATTATATCAAATTTATACTGAATCATGCATAATGCGTTGGCAAGAATGTGGATCATGAGTAGCATAATTCATCGCTTCTTTTAGTCTTAAAAATAATATTGCTCAAGATTTATTAGACGTATATTATGCTCTACAGCTTCCACTACTCCCCCATTTAACAACCAAGCGAAAGGTTTCCTCCACACTTGTCTTCGCACACCCACACACATTTTACGCCCATGTCTTGCTCCTGAACTAGGGGTGCTATCAAAATCTCGAGGAAATCACTTTTCCAAAAAGCTCTCCTCTTTCCCTGATTTTAACGAAATATTTCAGCAACAATTTGCTTTTGCTCTGATTTGAAGCGAACTTGGGGCAAGCTTAATAAAAAGGGGGAAAAGAGGACAGATGAGCCATATAGATTTTTCTTCCTACCTTTGTTATCATTGCATTTTACTGTACTCACCGTCTTTCTCTGGGTTCGAGGTTCAATGGATGGTTTCGTTTGAAGTGCTTTATTTCTAGAAACTGTGTGTGTGGAGATGAGGAAAAGGAAAACCTTCTAGAAAAAGAAGCTATCAAACTATGGCTGACTTTTTATAATATCATTTCAAAGATCCAGTCAAAAACTGACCACTTGAGTCGCATGATTCTCCTGCCTGCCTGCCCACCAGGCTGGAACAAAGTTGAGTGGATTTTGAACATCTCTCTCCTTGAAGGCGAATCTTTGCAAGTTGAGAACTCGTCGTTATCAAGAGCAGTTCTTGTCTACATACTTATTGCATCCGTACATTATTGCAACAATCCCATCGGGATGGATAATACTGGTGGAAAAAGTCGAGCAGTTGCGGTGTAAAAAATCTAAGACTATGCAGAACAGGAATTATGTTATTATGGCGGATGTACATACATTCAAGTCCTTGTAAGGCTATGAATCATTTTATTTTTGTTAAGTAATTGGGTAATCTGAAAATTTCTTGGAAAGATTTGATGCACAAATCTTGTAGTCATATTCCAAGTTGAAGTCGGAAACTTTTCTAATCTTTGGTACATGTAGCAAAATTGGCAGTGAAATGAATGAAACGACCTTTTCCTGTGCGCCCAAGGCAGGAAATGAGACAGAGTTTTGCATGTTTGTCCGCATTGAAATTTCCGAAAGCTGTCTGGATGTGAACTTCCGAATGGTCAAATAATTATGACAGTCGTTGCAGCGACTGGATTTGGACAACTTAATTTCCAAGCACATAATTTTCCAGGCATTTGTCATGCACACAATTTGTACGCCAACTAGTGCCACGTTAGATTGTTGTTGTAATGAGAAAGAGATACGTACACACGAGTTTATTTTCAAGGACGAAATTGGCTAAGAACTGTGAACTTGCTACCTCTTCACGAGTGAATAAGAGATCTTATCATCCCCCACCGCTCGGCACAATTGCCCTGTAATAAGCACATGTAAAAGATGGCTCATGCATTATTGTTGTATACACCCGTGTCAAAAGTTCTGAATAATTTCCATTGTCTCGCATATTGTAAACTTAATGCTACGCTTTGTTCCACTCATCATCAAATGCTTAATAAATAATTCAATGCTGTGGGTAGCAATGGTTCATACAGTTTATTTCCACATTCATGAGTACTTTTATCAAAAGTAGTGTTTTCTTCCTTGTTTGATAATATGCTGTCAGAAAACCTTTTTAGTCTTCGTAATCTTCACTATTTTGCTATCTTACAAAGTTGGGAAATTAATAATGGTCAGGTAATTAGCTCAAGAGTGCAAGGTATTAAAAAAATGGAGTGTTTTCCACACGATTATGCTGGAAATTCATACCTGAAAATTGTGTAATACTTTATAAAACCGTGAGTACGAGAATGGCGAATGTTCATTGTGGCTCAGGCATTGCTGGATACAGGAGATTTTTACATTTTCGCTACCCCTGAATTACAAGCAAATTTTGTCCTCGTCATGAAGTGCCCTGCACTTTTAGCTCTGTTGCTTTTAGCACTTTATGTAACTCCAGGCTCTTGCCGGTCCAAAATCAGTGATGTCAAGCCAAAGGTATTATTTTTCTGTCTAATAATACGTTTAATATGAACCTTAAACTGTGCTCTCAATTAATGCAAGAACTTGACTGACGATTGTTTTTAGAACTCTGCGGTTGTAATTCTGGCGGATGAAGAGACGTCTACGCCGCCTCCACCTCTGAGCCTTCCACCAACTCCTCCACCCCCTCAAGACGAGCGAGAAGAAGTTGGCAGGTAAACAATGAATGACAATCCTGTCATATTTGGCAATCTCAACGCCCACGCACGACAAACTTTTCTTTGAGATTTGCCCTTTCTTTCTTCCACTAAACCAAGGTTCCTGGTGGCTCAAGTCGGAACGATCATGTGCTACAGAAGTTGGGAGATTGATAGCACTGTGGACTTTCACCTCTGTTACGTGTGTTTCAACGACACGTTAAAGCATCCAAGCAACGTGACCTCTAAGGCAAGTATTTCATTTCTAATCATTCAAGCTGGAAAGTCTGGTATATTTCGATAAGTGTTAATCCCTTGTGACCTGAAAATGGAATACATTTCCTTGCAGAGCGATCACATATCTCAAGTGGAAGGCTGTTTCAACAAACACATCTCCAAAACTGAGTATTTCACCGAATGTCTCCCCAAACTGAGGGTATGTAGGCCACAAATTTATTCTCCTCACGCTAATTGGCTTAACATTGTAGACGAACTAATCACTTTCTAAATGTCACTTATTTGTTCATATTTATAATCAAAAGGATTCATCCTTGCCAAACAAGCCGTACGACATTTTCGTGTCGGAACCTCCGTTCAATTACCCGTATCAGAATTTTGCCCGGTGCGCTCATGGTGTTACATATAAACAGGAGGTAATTGATTAATTTGGGTCGAGTGGGCTTTTGAGGTTTTAAGAGGCTATACGGTCCGTATATCCCCGTGACGTAAGCAAATGAATGATCAAAGCGGAGAGAATTATGAATAGGATTTAGGATTTACTTTTGCATGACTGGATGTAAGAGTAAAATTTTGAAATTTCAGGCTGTAAAATGCATAACGGATAATGACGTGGTGCAAGGAGTGGGTGACTTCCTAACTAGATTTGCATGCCTTATGAACAACATTGTTCTAGATTCGGTAACATATTTATTTAGTTTACAGACAGTCTTTATTATTGAAAACCTGTCGGGTGTGATGTCTTAAAAATTGTATTGTTTCATTACAGAGACGATTTTCTAACGCCAACCTGGCAGAACTTCTTAGTTCTGTTCCACAAGGGCAACGCAATAGAACTGATGGGGCTGAAACTCGCGAGTCTCCATGAAAAGTTTGCAATGCATCATATTTAAGTCAGATAAGATAAATTTATTATAAGTACATGAATTACTCATGTCAGCAGAAGCTGGAATATCGCGTAGCAAAAATTAATCTCAATTTATTCGCAACGTTAAATTTGAGTTGTTCTTAACACTTCTTGTTCTTAGACAAAATTTTGAAGCAATTTGCAAAAAATCACAAAAAGATAAAATTAGCTAATTTGATGGGTTCATTTCTGGCATATGCCAATATGAAATATGGGAGAAATGAACTATTATTAACCAAAAAATTTGCGATTATTGTTAGCACACCACTTTATTCTATCAAGTTACTTACTAAATTACCAATATTCTGTCTCTGAATACATTCATTTTCCATATTTTATAACAGATGTTTAAACATTGAATAGAGCTGCATAAATCTTTCCGAATTTTGTACCGGTGGTGGTGGTGGAGTTGCCGACATTGTCGATGTGGTGGGTATCTCAGGGAAAAAATTATGAATCAGAACGCCGCCCACGCTCAAAGGACAACCGGAATCATATCTGTCACATCTCCCGTACATTTTCCCTTTGTTCTCGGCAACCACGTAATCCTGGAAGCACGGGTCATCGGTTCCAGAGCTGGGTCTACAGGATGAGAAGAAACACACAATGCACCCTGCGTTCTTTTCTCATCTAAACTTAAACTTAAAAATTTATATATAAACCCACGTCAACAGGAGATGAATCAGCTCAAAGGCAATAGAGATTGGGTAGTCGGGGTAAAATGTGTGTATTGATTGTGTTTCGCAAACGAATTTGAGAAGACAAGTATGAGCAACTTTCTCAGAAAGTTGAGCAACCAGTCCAAGGAGCCATTCCAATTTCGCGTACAAAAAGCACCTATGCAACAAGGAGAGGAATTCTTTTAATGATGAAGTAGACTAAATATTATCAATTATCTTTTATTATTAATAAAAAAAGATGAGAGGAAGGAGGAAAAGTACGTCTCGATTTTTAAACTAAAAACCCTCAACGCTCACCGTTCCGTCCCAATAAAACCGGCAGCTTTGGCATGACCTGTAGAGTTGATTGCGTACATTGCTTCGGCAAAGTCGTCCAAGTCCACTAAAAGAAAAATTAGGGCATCTCATCCATTTCATTGCACATCAAAAGAAATATTACTGCAAACTGGTAAATTTTGCTCAACTCACGCCACAAGGGAACCTCAACCACGGCATCCGTAATGAAACCATCTTCTTGATTAAACAATCCTGGGAAAATGTTTGGCCTGCTGACCTGCGTGGCGAGGGAAAGGGAGCTTTTTTCTGGAATTTTAATCCGTCTCCGAAACAATCTTAGGAGCAATCTTCTCGTCTTTTTGTTAAAAATATGAGCCCCACCCACACGTCTATCATCAGACTCGTCATCCTCATCCTTATCGAGTAGAAAGGACTCAACGTCAACCCCCCCACTCTCCGAAATAAATTCTGCTATTAATATCATTAAAAATAGTAAAGCTTTAATTCTTTTCCAGGATGTCGAGGATATGCTACAATAAAACATTCTAGTTCTTTCCCCCAGTCACCGTCACTTTCACAGAAAAATATATGTATAAGATTTCTTTTACTAAGGACATGATTTCACGGAAATTTTTAATTTAATTCTCAAATCGGAAATTTTGAATCTCATTCTCAAGTCGGAAATTTTGAATTTCATTCTCAAAACGGAAATTCCCTTTATGTAGACTGCTCCCTGCAAAGATTCAAAATGAACTGAGAAACAAAGTTGGAAGTGATAACTAACTAACTAGGATCGTCCAATTTATACACATTATTCACAAGAGATTGAACTACGCCTTCTCAGAAATAATCCGGTAATGACCTTCACCGTTAATTGTCAACTTACTATTAATGTTACATTGTTCACAAGTTGGGCTTGCTAATTGCTCTCCCTTTCAATTCAGGGCCTCAACAGCCTTTTAGATATATATCTAGGGTGTCTTTGGAATGCACCATTTGTCTACCTGACTTGTCACACGAAGTGCAAAGATTAAGTACCCCATCATTGCTACATACATTCAATTTACGGGATTAACAATTTTAATTAATTAATTACAAAAATACAAATACTAACTTTGTAATGTTTTTATTATACATGCATACATATTGTTTTTTTCAATAATAGATACAAAATATAGAATATTAAACTGTATTTGTATTATAATCATGAAATTGCATTTACTAAATAATAATAATATCGGGGATTACAAACCCGGGTTGGATTTGGGTTCGTGCTTGGTGTGGCCGTGGTGACAAGAGAAACAAACAAAGATTCTCGCTCGCCACCACCGCCGGTGAGGAAAAAGTTGGTTGGTGAGCGAGTCCATGAAAATTCATTCAATTCAAGCAGAGGTCATTTCCTCGCTCATTTTCACTCACTCGGTCGATTCAACAGTCGACAGTCGCTCCACAAATTCTTGTCCTGAATTATTTCCAATTTCAAAATCTGTTGTAAATTTTTATCATAATTCAAATTAAGTGCTCCGCCCACGTTAAATTTATCAATTCAATATAGTTTTTAAGGTTATAGTTATTTGCAACATTTGGGGAGGAGGGGAAGGTGAAATAAATGGAGGAACCTGCCTTGCAAAACGGAATTGTTCCCAGTCACAAGAGGTCAAAACATAAAGCTGACCTGTTGCTGTCCCCATCAGAAGAAGATGAAGATCTCGAGTTTAACGAAAATCCTTCCGAACCTGCATCCGAACCTGACATTAAATCTAAAGGGAGGAATAACAAGGATGACTTGGAACAGTATCGAAAGTGGTTGGCGAGAAGGAAGGCGGACGTGAAAAAGGGGCTGTTCAGGTGAGAAAGTTATGTACAATTTATATTAAATATTATTAGTATATAAATAATATTCGCTTTTATATTCTATGTATCTAGCATGAACATGGACGAACAGGTAATCGAGTTTGAAGAAGGGACTAAGGAAATGACGGTGGCTTTCAATCATGAGTTGGTGGCCTTGGTGGAGGAAGCGCAAAAAATGTCCGCTCTGGGTTTTGACATGCCCCCTGACATCGCCGAGGTTGTCCAAATGGGGTCACAGTTGTTGGTTCCGGCCAAGAAAATGGTGGAAATTTCTCGTTTCCACAACACTGTGGGTGAGACGATGGTGCGAGTGCAACGACCCATGATGTTGGAGGAGGCTGTGGCCCTCTCGAAGCTAGTCAAGGACCACGGAAGAATCACATGGGGAGATCCGGTGCGGATGAAAAAGTTTATTGATAGCTTGATGGGTATCGTGGAATCGTTGGGGATGCACAACAGGGTCCTGACTCAGGCTCACTATACAATTATGGGTTTGGTGAGTAGGGAAATTAATAATATTGCGTTAATGATAATAATAATTATGTTTATTGGGTTACAGATTACAAAACTTTTTGACACTGACTTGGTAAAGAGCAACCGAAAATGGAGGGATTCAGTAAAGGAAATGATTCGTATTGTCAGAAAACTTGAGGACGAGGTATGTATTCATTATATCGTAAACATTTATTTTGATGAGTGATTAATCCAGTAATTATGAATTTTAGGGATTTAAAAATGCAAAAGGCTGGCATGAATTTATTGATCATCAGTTCTACAAAGTCCTAGATGTCAAATATAAAGAAAGTTTGCTCAGAGTGGGAGAGACGATGCCAGAAATTCGGGTCGATGTGGCTTGTACCAATGATCTACTACAATTTAAGCCTTCGTTGGAAGAAATTCGTACCACTTATCGGGCTCACATCAAGAAAATTGTAAACCTTCCCAATACTTTTGAAGGGACAATATACAAGAGCGAGTTTTTCAGTCCGATTATCACATCGTAAGCTTTGATTCATAAATTTGCATTGAACAATATAATTTAAAAATTGAACGTATATAATTATTTTCGTTTCATAGAGATTTTACTCTAAAAATATTGAAAACAAATTTGGCATACGAAGACAAACTATTTGAACAACTAGAGGATAAGCAATTAAAGTTTAAGGATTGGCTTTTGAGAGAGACTTTAGACTTGGATAAACGATTATACGCCAAAGGTAAACCACTTGCTGGAAATTGGGATGAGCAGTTTCGATTTTCCAAACAAAGAAGCCAAGAAATTGCCATGCTAAGTTTGTAAGTAACAAGTTGTAATACTTACATATTCTGTATACAATAAGAATTAAATTACTATTACATTATTGCATGACATTATTCTAGTGACGAAGAAAAATTTGGCTGTTTCATAATAAGTTACTACGGCTTACGATTGGAAATTGAGTTACGAAATCGAGAGTATTGGGATGCATTAAGTCGATCATTATCATCATCCGTTGCGGAAGATATGCACACTCTAGCCGCCTTTGTAGTTGAAGGAACAACTATTTTGAATCAGAGTCTCCAGTCAATGGAGGATATAACAGAATCTAGTGTTGCTAAAGAGAAAATTTCTGAACGGATGCAAACGGTATTTTGAAACAAAACTCCATTTTTAAAATTTAAAACCAACAAACATTGTGAGTACGCGTCATGTCAGAGAAATGTCTTATTTCCGTAATTAGATGGAAATAGTCATGAAAGACTGCGTTGAGAAAAATCAGCTTTTGATGACTTGGATTAAATCCGCGTTTGACCTGACCGAGTTACAGTCCGACTGGAGGGAATTTGAGGAACTGTTAGGAAATCATCAAATTCTTCTCAATCGACAGGTTCATTTATAAATCATAATGAATCAATTATTGTCATATAAATATTATAATTTGATATTTATGTAATTACCAGATTCAAAACATCAAAATCAACCTAAACAATGAGTCTGATATGATCAATGTGGAAATTGACACATTTAAAATTAAATGGGACCAACTTAAACCCACGGATAGTGAAGTCATGAAAACTCCAGAGAAATTGGATGAAGCAATAAGTTTCATTACTGAAATGCAACGTACATGGCACAACTTGGCTTCCAGGAAGAAAGAATTGGAGTAATTTGCATAAAGTTTAAGTTCACAAAGCGTATTATGAAAATATATGCATTTGCTACCTGTTCTATTTAGAACGACGTGCCGCACTCTGGGGGTGGGACCATTTGACTTTCCAGCCGCAGCCGAAGTTCAGGAAGATTTAACAAAATTCGAAAGCAGCTGGGGAAAAGTTTCTGCATTTAGAAATGGTCTGAAAGAATTTGAAACCGAGGATTGGGTTATTTTTAGAGCGAGACCCCATCGTTTTGAAGAATTTCTTGACCAATGGCATTCTACACTAAGGGCCGATGGGAACATGTCACCATTTATTGTAGAAATGTTCAAAGCAATCGAAGATTACCGGGTAATTATTTACAATTTCATGTTGCTATTAACGGTTGAAAGTGTATGTTTAAATTGTTCCATAATTTTTCAGATAATTGTTCACAACTTGAGATACATTCGTGGAGACATTTTCACAGAGAAACATTGGGCAGAAATGTTTAGTGTGTTACAAATGCAGCAAAAGCCACTCGCATATTTAAAGGCTGGAGACTTTCTTGGCGTCCGAAGCAATATTACTAAAAACATAAAACAGCTACAGGTACATAAAATACTTATAATATGGAATGTTCACATATATGCTTTGCTCATGTATGTATAAATTCTAATTTCGTAATCGACAGGATCTAAATTCTCGTGCTACTGGAGAGATCACCGTTCGCCAGGCTTTAACAGAACTGGATACTTGGGAGATAGATGCTACTTTTCAATTAGCAGAACATAAAGACTCACACGACCAGCCGATTAATATCATCCAAGATTTTAAATCTGTTGTTAATAAGGTATAATTTTATTACTGCTTAATAATGAAATAATACATTTTGAATTTTAATAAATAAAATATTATAAAGCTGGGAGATAACCAAAGCCTTCTACAGTCAATCAGAACATCACCATTTTACTACCATTTTTCGGATAGAATTTCTATTTGGGAAACAAAACTGACTGATTTGGATGAATATATTCAAAATTTAAGCAAAATTCAAAGAAGGCAAGTTCAAACATAATATGCTATTTGCTTATAGTTCGTAATTGAATTGAACTTTGTTGGTTTTGTAGGTGGATTTATTTGGAACCCGTATTCAGTCATGGCGTATTGGAAGCCGAACAGATCAGATTTCGAAAAATTAATGAAGAATATCGCCTAGTAATGCAAGAGGTTACTCGAGACAGTCGGGTTGTCAGTCTTTACAAGCAATCTGGAATCAGAAATCGTCTCAGTACGTTAGTCGATCAGTTGTCAAGATGTCAAACAAGTTTAAATGAGTTTCTGGAAAAAAAACGATCAGGATTTCCAAGATTTTACTTCCTGGGGGATGATGATTTACTTGAAATTTTGGGACAATCTACAAAGCCCATGGTTATTCAAGCTCATTTGAAGAAACTATTTGCTGGAATTTACAATGTAGATTTTGATGAATCTTGTACGCGTATTATGGCAATGAAATCTTTGGAAGGTGAAGTAGTTCCGCTAAAGTCTCCAGTGAAAATAAATCCACGAGTGGAGGTACGTTTAACGTATAGTTTTATTTATACTTTAACAATAATATTTTTTAATAAATTTGAAAATATACTTTGTCATCCTGTAGGAGTGGCTTAATGAGCTATCTAATGAAATGAGACTCACCCTAAAGTCCATGTTGCTCGACAGCGTTGCAGACTCAAAACACAATGCAAATAATCCCCACAAATATCCTTCACAAATTCTGTGTTTGAGCAACGCCGTTGTCTTTACTGACCAATGTGAAGAAGCAATTCGTTCTGGAAAACTTCAATCCTTTCTAAATAATTTGAGAGAAGATTTAAATATGTACACAAGTCAACGCATGAAGGAGTCTAGTGGCAAGGACAAGGTGTTGGAATTAAAACTGAAAGACTTGATCTTGGATGTAATTCATAACATTGAGGTTGTGGAATATTTAATTGCTCGAAACGTGCGCCAATCTTCCGACTGGTATTGGCATAAGCAACTAAGGTAATTAAATTAATGTTGATTTTTATTAGTCTTGTATCTCATATCATACTGAACACTGTTATTATATTGAACGTCGTCGACAGGTTTTACATTCGTGAGGACGGTACCGCTATGATTAACATGGCAGACGCTCAATTTTCCTATTCGTATGAATACCAAGGAAATGCTCCAAAGCTAGTGCATACGCCCTTGACGGATAAATGCTACTTAACATTGACTCAGGTTAGTAATTATTTATCTAAAATGTGATACGTTTTTAATTTGGGTGTCATTATTTAATTTTAGGGTATGAGAATGGGACTTGGAGGAAATCCCTATGGTCCTGCTGGAACAGGAAAAACTGAATCAGTGAAAGCCCTTGGTGGCATATTAGGTCGACAAGTCTTGGTTTTTAATTGTGATGAGGTAATAATTGCTTACTATAGACTCAGTACCTCGTTAATAGTGATGTGAGTAAATTGTGTCTGTTAAATTAACTACATTGTAGGGCATCGATGTGAAATCCATGGGCCGTATCTTCACTGGCCTGGTTAAATGTGGAGCTTGGGGCTGCTTTGATGAATTTAATCGATTGGACGGGTTGACCTTGTCCGCCGTTTCACTACAAATTCAACCAATTCAAATGGCATTGAAACAAGGCTCACCAAGTGTTACACTAATGGACGCACTTGTCCCATTAGATCCTAGTTCCGGAATTTTTGTCACTTTAAATCCTGCTGGTCAAGGTTATGGGGGGCGAAATAAACTACCTGATAATTTGAAACAACTCTTCCGACCTGTCGTCATGTCTCAACCTGATAATACGCGTATTGCTGAAGTAATTTTATACACTGAAGGGTTCAAGTATGCAGCCATCATTGGGAAGAAATTGGTAGAAGTTTTCAAAGTCGCCGAGAAACTGTTGACACCCCAGACGCATTATGATTGGGGTCTCCGAGCACTAAAAACAGTACTGAAAGGGTGCGGAAGTGCTTTAGCAGAGTACAAAAGAGAGAATCCTACAGCAACAGAAAGTGATGAATCGAACATTGTCGTGGCCACTCTTAGACTGAATACTTTGCCTAAATTGACATATTCGGATTGCTTGAGATTCGACAATCTTATCAAAGACGTTTTCTCTAATGCTATATTCAAGAACTTGGGAAATAATGATCTAGCAGAAAATGTTCGAGCAGTGTATGCAGATTTGCATTTGAAAGTAAATGAAAACCAGGTTGGGCAATCACCTAATTCTCAAATTTTTTAGTTGTAGTGACTTAAGAATGACAATTTTGTCTTGATAATTCCAGGTGAGAAAGTGCTTGGAACTGTATGAGCAGTTAGAACAAAGAATGGGTGTTGTGATTGTGGGGCCATCATGCTGTGGAAAGTCGACAGTTTTAACAGTGTTGAGACATGTAAGATTATACAAAACCTTGTTCATAATTATATTGCTTGTAAATTTGAAATACCTTAAACATGCAGGCACTTCTGCGAATGGGACATCAAATTAGGATGCATGTTATTAATCCAAAAGCAATGCCTAAAGCCCATTTATTAGGACATATCAACCTTGACACGCGACAATGGACTGACGGAATTCTTACAATGAAAGCCCAGCAAGTGTATGCGGAACCCCCCGGTATGTATTACATAGTATTGTAATTTAATTATATTTACTAATTTTATTGTTTATCTAAATAGAAATTACATCGTGGATAGTATGTGATGGTGACATCGATCCCGAGTGGTGAGTTACATAGTGTTATTAATTCATACATGTGTATCTGCATAATAAACATGTATTTAGTTCATCACTTAAAATCCAATTTACTGTAATTATAATAGGGTGGAGTCTTTGAACTCGGTGCTAGATGACAATCGTCTCTTGACGCTTCCATCGGGATGGAGGATAAAGTTTGGTCCAAATGTCAACTTTATTTTCGAAACACATGATTTGAGTTTGGCCTCTCCAGCCACAGTTTCTCGAATGGGCATGATTTTCATGAGGTACATAATAATCCGACCATCAAATTTCATAAACTCTACACATTGGACTGTGAAATTACTATTTACTTCCTTATTTATTGCAGTGAGGAAGACGCTGACGTTGAAAATATTATACTGACATGGATAAGTAAGCAACCGAGTGAAAAAGAGGAGACACATTTAGAAATTACTAGACCACAATTGTTAAAAGGTATTCAGACAAAATAGAAAGAAAATTAGGGAAAGTCCAGGATAACAATTGTTTATTCTAAACAGCTTTAAGCCTTGTAAAAAACATTCAAGAACCGATTATACCAATTCCATCGGTAGCCCTAGCCAAGACTTGTCTTTCTCTCATGGAACGTGTAAGAAATAATTATGATACGGCGGAAGCTCTGATTCGAGGGATTAGTGGTCATTTAACGCTCAAGTTGATTACGCCCGTTGCTAACGAAGTAAGAAGGCTGTATAGCTCTGTGCTACATGCATCCTTGTAAACTAGTAATTATTTTGTAATTCTTATTTGTCTTAGATTTTGAAAAATTGCGACCTGCCTGAAATGAGGAATCCTAAGAATGTCCATTACAACCCAACAACAAAGCAGCTTGACCAATATGTCACAGATAATTTGATTGTTGACGAGGATACATTTGAACCTAATAATTATCCTCTGGTAAAGACTGCAGATGTCAAACTTGTTTTGGACCACATCCGTCCCTGGTTAGACAACCAAGAATCTTTCATGTTAATTGGTCCCGAGGGTTGTGGAAAAACGTATGATACCTCTATATATATATATAGATATATCTTTTTGAGTTGTGAGTACTTAACTGTAGTGTATGTTTAATTAGGATGATTTTAAGTTATGCATTCAAGCAACTACGATCCACCGAAGTTGCAACTATTCATTGTTCTGGTCTTATTACCCCCGACAATGTTTTACAAAAATTGTCTCAGGTAGTTTACAAGAACCTGGATCTGATTACACAAACTTAATTTTTATGACTAAATAAATATTCCGAATTAGATATGCATTACAATGTCAACCAACACTGGTCGAGTTTACAAGTCTAAAGACGGGGATCGACTAATTCTATATTTCAAAGACATAAACTTAATTAAGCCTGATAAATGGGGAACTTGTCAGCTTGTGGAATTTCTTCGTCAGGTAATAATACATTATGTAATACAGTTGACAGACAGTAAGAGTACAACTCTCATGAGTGAACAACTTATTCACGGCCCACAGGGATCGATATTTGCATACTCTTCCATAATCCTTTTTACTGTAATTGCAGATAATTATTTTTGGTGGATTTTTCGACAAGAATTTGGAATGGGTGTCAGTTCAAGGGATTCAAATTGTATGTAGCATTGCAGTTGGGGAATCAGGAGGACGCTACCCACTTTCTCCCAGATTCACTTCGAGAATTCATATATGTTCTATGAGGTAAATTCTTGCTTACACATTTAATTACCAGTGAAAACATTGTTTAATTTATTTATTTTCTTACAATGCCAAGTGAACCGGAATCGGATCAACTTTTGGCTCTATATCACAATTACTTATCCCTCTTGATGAGAACTCACTGGCCACGCCATCCGGTTGCCAGTAATCCCAAGGAGGTCGAAGCCCTTGCGAATGGAATGGTTCGGGTGTACAATGAGGTGCGAAAAACCTTTACCCCTGTCACACATAGTCACTACCTTTTTACTCCGAGGGACTTGACCAAATGGACCCTTGGCCTAATGCGCTATGCTATAGTTCGATTTATTGACAATGCCGGACGAAATGAACTTTACTACACATGGTGCTTGGAATCTTGTCGAATTTTTCGAGATAAACTAGTATCTGATGAGGAGAAAATTAGGTTCACGGAAGCCATTTTACTTCCAGTAGCAAGTCAGTGGGGGTTCACCAGTCTTGACTCTCTTGACGAGGGAGTGCAAAGTAAGCATATAACTATTATCATCAAGTTATTAAGCAAGTATTACATCAATTTATGCATTTTTATATAATTTATTTCCTACTTTATTTATAGACGCATGGTGGATTAGCTGTTATGCAACTAATATTATCTCCCCTGTGATTAATGTACAATCGTCCCCATTGTTTGGAGAAGAACTAGTGAGAATAAATAACGAAGATTTGGAGCAATTAGTGGAAAAGGGGATTGCTGCATTCGGGAGAGAGAACAGAAACCTTAATATCGTCATTATTCGAGAATTGGTAGAGTGTGTTGTCCAATTTGATCGTATCTTGACATTGCCAAGTTCATGTATGCTTCTGGCCGGAAGGGCAGGGGTTGGAAGACGTTCTGCATTGTCAATCGTATCCATATTACATCATGCCATGATTTTGACGCTAAAAGTTGGAAGAAATTATTCAATGAAGTCATTCAAAACAGATGTGAAGGCTGCTATTCAAATTTCTGCAATAGAAGGAAATCAAGTGTACCTAGTAGTTGAAGACTTTCAACTAATTGATATAATTTTCTTGGACATGATTAATAGCCTGATTTCTTCTGGGGAGGTAATTATTAGTTTTTTAAAAGTTTAATCTAATAAATACCAATATATGTATGGTAACACTTGACCTTGACGTCTGTTTTTTTCAGATTCCAGGCTTGTACACGCCTGAAGAGCTGGAAAATATAGTGTCTACACTACGAGATATGGCCCTAACTGATGGCTACACTTCAAATTTGTACAGTTACTTTGCCCAGCGTGTTCGAAATAATTTGCACGTGATTCTGATCATGGATTATACAAACGAGAATTTTATTAAAAATTGTCAAAGCAACCCCGCTTTATATAAACTGTGCCACATGCTATGGTTGGATGGTTGGTCAGAGGAGACAATGAAAGAGCTGCCAATGAAGATAATGCAAAAACTGTACAATACGCCTGAGACCCGACTCTTGCAATTGGATTGCGCGTTTGGGTTCACTAACAATTTTGATGACGATGAATCTCGGGAGCGTTTCTTTGACGGTTTTCAAAAAATCTACGACACCATGGACATCAATATGAAATATCCCAGACGTTATTCGTCCTTCATTTATAATTACGCCCTCTTGTACCGCAACAGGAGGTTAGAACTTTCCGGAGACTCGAAGAAATTTGAGGCCGGTATTGCCAAACTTGAAGAAGCGACAACCATTGTAGAAGAATTGAAAGCTGAAGCTGCCGAACAAGAAACAATTCTTGCTGAAAAACAAGCAGAAGCCAATAAAGCAATGGACATGATCTCCATTACTCTCAAGAATTCAAATGTTCAAAAGGGCGAACTAGAGGAGCTGAGGAAGAAAACAGAACAGGAGAAAGAAATTCTTGCCCAAAAGAAAGCAGCAATTGAGGTAGAACTTTCAGAAATTGAGCCCATGGTCAAATTGGCACAAGCTGCAGTTGGAAATATCAAAAATGAAGCCTTAACGGAAATAAGATCCTTGAGAGCACCTCCTGAGATTATTCGAGACATTTTGGAAGGTGTACTACGATTAATGGGAACGCGTGACATGTCCTGGAACAGTATGAAAACGTTCCTCTCCAAACGAGGAGTGAAGGAGGACATTCGGAATTTTGATGCCCGCAGTATTGATTCTACCGACAGGGATGCTGTGGAAAAAATTTTAAAATTAAAGCAATCATCTTTTGATCCCAAGAATGCCAAGAGAGCATCCGCAGGTATAAGCCAGGGATAAGTGCAACTTATCATACACTTATATTAAGTATATCTATCCAAAGGATAATGGAATTTTTATTTGAAAGGATGTGCGAGAAAGGTGTGATTTTCTTCGCTCCTAAAATTACCTATTGTTAAAAACTATTTTCAGCCGCTGCACCCCTGGCAGAATGGGTAGTTGCAAATGTCAAGTTTGCCAAAGTATTGGAGAAAATAGACCCCTTGGAGCGCTACAAGGAAGCCCTGGAACACAATTTGACCCTGACAGAGACCGATATGAACGAAATTAGTTCAGATTTGACATCAGGTAATGAATGCAATACAGTTCTTCCTTTATTTAATTTTCATGTCAATGTAATATTATGTATTTACCTTCTCATCAGTCGACGAGAAAGTTAAAGCCTTGACCGAACGATATAAACGATGTTCGAGTGAAGCCGTGGGTATCCAATTCAACTTGAATAAAGCAAAGTCGACATTGTCCGCTGCGGAAGGACTTGTGGGAAAATTAAATGAGGAATATACACGATGGACAGAAGAGGTCATTATTATACATGATCTTGAATGATTTTATAAATAATTGTGCTGCTATTTATTGACGCTACTATTGATTATTTTATATTATTAGTTGGAAGAACTCGAAGAAAGCTATTTGAAACTTCCATTCGATGCAATGATGGCTTCCGCCTTTATTACGTACCTCTCTAATGCTTCTGAAGATGTCCGGGCTACATCTACGGAAATTTGGTGCAAGATTTTGGGAACAGAATCTTTCGACTTTTGTAAATTTCTGGGAAAGGAAGTACATTTTTTGAGATGGCAGTCTTATGGTCTTCCGTCAGATACACTGTCTCGCGAAAATGCCATTATGATTACTGAGGTAAGAGGTCATTTGATGAGGTTAATTTCATGTATTTATGCAGTGGCATAATATTCTTTATCAAATTATCACCAATTACAAGCTTGCGGATGGAAATATTTCGGTAGGTCACGTGAAATGAATTTTATTTTGTTGTTGGTGCTATTTATCAAATAGCTTGTTGTCCTGTCTACTCTACATATGTAGTTGAAATTGTACTAACAAGTGACACTCACGACCTGTCGTTTGAGTCCAGGGTACCCACTATGTTTTTTAGAATCTACTAGGACCCCAGATGAAGGATTCATTCATATTTCCGTGTAAAACTCATATTTGGCCCAATGGCGTGGCGCCAAATTCGCCAAATTTGATGGTTTTTCATTTTAAAACCGCTATAACTTTTGAAATCCTGGACGGATTTTCAAAATTTTTGGCAAAAATCATGACAAGGAGTTCAGCTTTCGTATTCTATGAAGTTTTTTCCAAAATTATCGCTTTTAACTTTTCGCAAAATTTCGAAATTTCGGGTTCGTCGAAAAAATGCTAAAAATATCTCAAAAATTATAATTTTTTTATTTTTATTTTTTTCTCTAAAATTTCGACTTTTCTGATCATTTTAAGCATAAAATTTTAAAAATCCGACATAAACTGCAAAAGTTATGGGGGTTTGAAATTGGTCGAAAATTCAAATTTTTAATTTTGGCGCCACGCCATTGGGCCAAATATGAGTTTTACACGGAAATATGAATGAATCCTTCATCAGGAGTCCTAGTAGATTCTAAAAAACATAGTGGGTACCCTGGACTCAAACGACAGGTCGTGAGTGTCCCTTGTAAGACTTTTGTATGGGGTTTGGTAAATTGATTATATTGAGCAACATTAATAATAACGTGTGTAATGTATAACACAGACGTGCTTGCGGCCATACCTCGTTGACCCTTCAAACCGAGCCACCGAATGGTTGATTACCCAAATGTCAGCTCATGAAATAAAACCGGTTGTAATTTCCCTGCAAGACCCTAAATTTGCTGGCGAATTGGAACTGGCTGTTCGGTGAGTACAAAATAAATAAGTTTCATTGCTGCAAGTGTGTGTATATGTATACACTTATTACGTTCCAGTTTCGGAAAAATAATCATCGTGATCGAGGCTGATGCTATCGAACCCATACTTATTCCTGTTTTGAGAGGCGACCTGGTATCACTGGGGTCACGAGAAGTACTGGCCATTGGCGACAAAATGATTGACTACAATGCCAAATTCCGACTTTATCTCGCGACAAGAAACCCATCCCCTTTGATCCCTCCTGATGCACAATCCGTCGTAACAGTTGTAAATTTTACTACGACACGCGCTGGTCTCACGAGTAATCTATTGTCAGCCACCTTGTCTTCAGAACACCCATCTTTGAGTAAACAGAACGAGGAACTCATCAGTACAATTGAAAGTTTGAAGCTAGAAATGGAAGAGGTTGGAAATACGTTGCTGCGAGAATTGGCTGATGCAGAAGGAAATATACTCGAAAACAAGGAGTTGCTAGCATCTCTCAATGAGACAAAGGCAAACGCATTGAGAGTAGCCGAAAAGTTACGAGAAGCTTCTGAGGTAGAGATAGAGATTTCTCAAGAGATCGACGAATACCGCCCGCTCGCCGACTTTGGAAGCAAATTGTACTTTTCAATTGTCACCGTCTCCCAGCTCAACCCATTGTACCAGTTTTCGCTGAGAAGCTTCATCCTCTTGTTTGAAACTACATTAAATGACCGGATGCTTGAAAGGAATGGGGAGGACGAAGAACATATGACTGATTTACTCAAGACTAGACTCTTTGAAAGCACTTACACCTTCGTGTGTCAGGCTTTGTATAAAACTGATCGGATGGCATTTGCTTTACACTTGGCGAATACAATGTTCCCTGGTAAATTTCATGCCAGCGAGTGGGACGCATTCACCGGACAACTGGTAATGAATCAGGAAAATGATGTCGCCATCCAGAGCCATAATGTACCAGCATGGGTACCAGAAGACCGCAGATTTCCAGTAAAAATTTTCATGACCACTTTCCCTCAACTTTATGAAAAGCTGCAATTTCATCGAACAGACCTTTGGACACAATTTTATAACGCAAATGATTGTGAGGAGGCACTTCCGGCAGAAATCAAAAGTCGCCTGACACCATTCCAAGAGGTCTTATTAATCAATATTCTTCGTCCGGACAGACTACTAACATGCATGTACAATTTTGCCCGTGGAACATTTGGAAGAAAGTCGTTATACCCATCCCCTCCTGGTCTAAAAGAACTTGCTGCAGAGGTGGGGTCAGGACAATCAATTTTGCTGCTTGTCTCTGCTGGGTCTGATCCTTCTCTTGAAATTCGAGAAGTGGCAGAGCATGTCGTCGGATTGGATAAATACATGGAAATACCTTTGGGACAAGGCTCACTCGATGATGCTTTTCTAAAGCTGCGCACTGCGGCAGAGAAAGGCTACTGGACATGCATCAAAAACTTGCATCTTACCATCCACTTGTTGGACGCTTTGGAAAAACAAATTCGATCCCTCCAGTGTCACAGAGATTTTCGACTCTGGTTAACATCCGAGTCACATCCAGGATTTCCAAAAGTGTTGGCCCAAACTTGCTACAAATTTGCATACGAGTCACCTGAAGGCATTAAGAAAAATATTCAACACACCTTTACCAATTGGACACCAGAATATTTCACGGGAAACAAGAATACGATGAGGTGTCAGGCCTTGTTCATGCTGGCGACTTTTCATGCTATCGTTCAAGAGCGGAGAACTTATATCCCTCAAGGATGGAGTACGTGCTATGAATTTAACGACAGTGACATTCGAGCTGGTTGCGATGTCATTGAACAACTTTTTAAAGCAGCTCGTCCCTCCAAAGACATTCAGTGGAATTACATTCACGGGATTTTTGAAAATGCCATTTATGGAGGTCGGATTGACAATGAGTATGATAGTCGCGTTCTTGTGACTTATTTACAAGAATATTTCAATAACGAAATCATAACTGGGGGAAACATGTCAAGAAAATATTTCGGTCCAAACATTACCCTTCCAAGTTCTATTAACATCAGCAACTATTTGGATGTCGTGGAATCTATCCCTGAAAATGATAGGCCATCTTTCTTTGGGCTTCCCAGAAATATTGAAAAGTCGTGGCAGAAGAATACGAGTGCCCTGATTATTAACCAACTAAAAGTCTTGTCGAGAGGTTTTAACGATATTGTGTCATTTGATAAGGATGTTTGGTCGAAAGAACTCACTCCGATCATGTTCCTATGGAAGAAGCTAGCTCAGGTACTGAACGTACTTTACGATAGATTTCTATGCAGATTTGAAATGATCAGAGGAATGCTAACTTAATTATGATTTTGCAGGGTTCGACCATCTATTCTCTCTTCCAGAAGCCTCTCATCACACCCACATTCACGGAAGAAGAATTAGCATTCAGTCCTATTGATGCATTTGTCCAGCTGGAGCATTTTCACATATTTGTTCTTATACAAAAGATACACCGAAGTCTAGGCTTTCTCAGTAGAGTTATCCGTGGGGTTGTCATTCCTACACAGGACTCATACTTGACAGCTCAGGCCCTAATGATACGCGAGGTATGACATTCATTGCAAATTGCACACACAACATAAACACTTCCCAGAATAATTACAATTGTATTATGGTTGTTGTTGTTGTTACCTTTAGATGTACAATTTCTTTATACATATTATTAAACCAAGAGTTGTATTTATTTGTTTGGCTCTCAGGTCCCACTTTCCTGGAAACTTTTGTGGGATGGACCCCATGATTCGAGTCAATACATATCCGGGTTGATTGACAGAGCAATCAAGGTGAATGATAGCTGGCTAGCTAAATCTAAGGATGGGATTCTATTAAGCCAAGGAATATGCTTGTCAGATCTGATAAATCCAGATACATTTTTTACTGCATTCAAACAGCACTGTGCAAGGTATTACATATGTATTTTGAATATATTTAATAGTTTGTGTATTTTAGTTTCAAAAGTTATTAAATACTAAACCACTCGATGCAACTCGATATTAATCAAAGTTTATATTAATTTAATATAGGAAACGTAACTTGCCCATGGATGAGTTAGAATTGTCTTGTACTTGGGAACGTAACTCTACTGTGACCTCGGATAAATTGTACTGTGTCCTTAGAGGGATTCTGTTAGAAGGATGTCTTTTCAAAGGTGGCAAACTAATAGAAAATTGTCCAGAAGACCCACCTGCTTCTGAAGCCCCTGACTGCTTCATAACGTGGGAAGCAAGGTCTATTAAATCAACGCCGGTAAATAGATACGCATTTAACGTCATGAAAACATTAAAACTACAAATGCTAAATAATTACCATGTGTGTATTTATGCCGTGTAGAGTGCCGAAATCAGGCGACGGTCAACCACTTTGGCAGTGCCCTTATACACCAACGATTCTCGCAAAAAGCTCATTGGTAGTTTAGATCTTCCTATTCAAAACGGGGATGAAGTTAAATGGATAAAAACTGGTATTGCCTTATTTCTTAAATAATTGAAAAAATTAAACTTAATATCTACCTACTACATCAATATCAATATCAATATGAAATCAATCAATTCATGTAAATTAACCTGTACATCAAATGTCTAACGGGTAGGAAATGGTATTTTGTGAATAATTAGCCAAATGGAAAATGAAACGTGCGTATGAATTATACAAAAATGTGATACTGAATACCCTAATAAATTTTATTATGTTAAAAAGTTATTGACAAAGGATATTCACTCAGCCATCTAATAATGACTTAAATAGCTCAACTCTAATCAAATGAAGGTTGCTCATTAAAAAATCGTCAACCCTTTAGATTATGTTAATGTCTAATAAACAGATACAACAGAGTAGCGGTAGATCCGACGACACAAATGCAAGGATATCATGATGAAAACTTTCAGACACTGACCCCTCAAGGGGCAACACAGGTTCAGGTGGACCCTAATGAGGAAAAGCTAAAATATGTCGAAATTTTTGTTTTGATGGTATCAGACGAATACATGCTTTATGACAAACTAGTGTCAAAATAGAATAAAATAATGAAACGCCTGTAGGCTTGGACGGACAGGCAGAACGCTCGCATGATATACCTCTACTTAATACCGGATTAATTTGCATTAGGTGGGTTAGTTGGAATTAGTTAGTTTCAAACAACGGAAGTAATAATAGATATACGATGGATGTCCAAGGTCAATGTTTTACTGCATTGTTAAATCTGTATGTGCATTAATGAAATGTGGGAATGAAATTTACAATACGCACAAAGCTAACAAACGAATAAAAAAGTTTAATAACTCAATCACGCGTATAAAAAGACTGCATATTGCTTCTGGTTTGGTATGATCATCATCCATAGCATTGCTTCTCAAACGGAGTAAAAATATACTTAAAAATTTCACAAATTTCCCAAGACAGATTAAAATGGTTTCGAGAAAATTCCATCAATTCATAATCTTTGCCACCCTCGCAACACTATTTCTCATAATGTCTGTCTCTTCAGCCCCTCAAACAAGTAAGTCATGGAATTGCCCATTGAATTTTTGCATACATATTAGCAATATGTAAATACAATTTATCACCTGTTTTTTTTAATTCCTTCAGATAACTGCCCTTACGGCGACTCTTACTCCCCCGATGACAATTGCAACACTTGTCACTGTGTGAACGGGCGTTATCGCTGCACCATGAAATACTGTGACTCCTCCCTCGCAAGCTGGCCCGCATTTCAGCAACAATAAGATAAATAAATATCAAAACTTACTCTAAAACGTATTCCGAAAGTGCAAATTCATTGATTCAGTGGCGAAAACTAGCACCATTATTTTCATGGCATGATTTATTTGATATGCTTTCGAATCTTCATAAACTTATGTATTCATCAACCCTGCTTCATGAAATTGATGGACTTTATTAAATTCATGTCATGATTTTCCTCAATATCCAATCATAATTGTTGAATATCATTTGGATATTGATGAAGTGAACTTTCCTTCCAGAAACTTCTGCATATTTTTCATGCACACCACCACCTCACGATAACTCGCGAATCGCAATCTAATTATTTTTTATGTGGCCGGTTTTCCTCAATTCTTTCCCTACTACTCTCCCGTCCAGTCTTCAGTCTCAGCCAGACAGAGGGAAAAAGAGTTTAGTTTGCTCATCTCCTGCGTACTCTGAGTCCAGTTAATATTTCCTGTCAAAAATTCACTGGTTTTGATTGTCATCTCACGGCTTATCATCCTTCAAAGTTAGTTAGTGTGGTAAGCGAAATCCCCCTGTGGTTAAGGTAAGTTTTACCTTTTCAATTATTTTTCTTCGTTTTGGAAGTATTCTTTCTTGAATGTTCTTTTTGTTCTGCACAGTTTCCTGAGAGCATTAAACAAAGCATTATGGACGTGACAGCGGGGGATGATGCTGTATTCCAATTGCTGGGGGTCCGTCCAGGTCCCGATGCCGTGGATATTTCCCCCCTTGGTGACCAGAAACTGTGGAGAGAGGTCCTCTTCACACCCGAAAGTACTGGGGATGAAGAACAAGATCAGCATGGGGCTCGAAATGGGATGGAGGTGAAAGTTCACTATAAAGGAACTCTCACGGACAACAGTATCTTTGATGAAAATACATCCTCTGATCCTCCTTTTACATTTACCATTGGAGAAGGTGAGTATAATAATGGCATAATTTATCGGGGGCTGGAAATGTTGCTAAAGGATGGTTGATATTTTCGTTTTGTAGGGAAAGTCATTAGTGGGTGGGAGCGTGGAGTTGTTGGGATGAAACGAGGTCAAAAGATCAAACTTATTTGTCATCCCTCCTTTGCTTACGATGCCAGAGAAACTGGAGGTATCCCGGCAAACTCTACCTTAATTTTTGAGGCAAGTACTGGCATGGAACTTAATTTTATGGGGAGTTAATCCTGATTGCCTTATAAATATTTTCTTATCCTTTGGTAGATTGAAATGGTAGATTATTCACCAGAAGATTTGACCAAAAAGAAAAATGGAAATATCTTGCGATACAATATCAAAGAGGGAGGTTCCAAGTACCTAAATCCTAATCACGGTAGTATTGTTGAAGGTATGTGTGTATATAGTAAGTTGTGCATAATTTAAGGTCCTCATAGTTTTTCGGTCCTTTGTTTTTCGTAGTTTTGATTCGAGGAAAGTACAATGACATCGTAGTCTATCCTGAAACAACAAAGAAATTTCGTCTTGGCGAAGGGTGTGAACACGAGATTCCTTACGGAGTTGAGAAAGCGTTGTATAAATTTCGGTCGGGAGAGGGTTCCATCTTGATTATTCGGGGACAAAAGTATGGTAGTCCAGCTGTCGATTATGAAGCTCATGGAATTTCGCCCGATTCTCCATTGGAATTTTACGTTGAAGTGTTATCTCATGAGAATGTATGGCGACAATTAATTTAATGTCATTCTGTTAAACGATAGTGTTAAGCAAGAATTATAGGGCTCGATAAAGCCTTTATCGAGTCCTATAATTCTTTTCCAATTTACGTCTAATTATTTTCATGAAAATTATTTAGAGCAAAGAACCTTGGCAGTTGGAAGGTCCAGAGAAGGTGGAAATTTCTCGTACTCTAAAGGAATTGGGGAATAAGTTTTACGCTAAATCAAATTACAGGGTTGCTTTCAAAAATTACAAACTAATCATCGATCACCTTAAAGCAGAAGCTTGTAAGTGCTTGCATAGTAAACAATAATAAATAATTATTCATTTTTTAACAAATTATATATTAAAATCAAATCAAATGATTGTTTCAAATTTCAGTATTGCATGGCGAGGAAGAAGAAGAACGTAAAGCATTAATGCTTGCAGCTAATTTGAATATGGCAATTTGTAACTTAAAGTTAAATAGACCCACAATCGCAATTCGTGAGTCAGCTTATTACACTGTTCAACTTACAGATACAGCTATCATCGTTTAGTACATTCAACTAATGCCAACTATGTGTGTTTTAACAAAGGAAACTGTGATGATGCCCTGGACTTAAATGCCAATAATACAAAAGCTCTGTTCCGACGAGGGCTAGCAAATTTGGCTGTAAACCTTCCCGACGCTGCCAAAAGAGATTTTGAAAAAGTTATTCAGCTTGAACCCAACAATTCCACTGTGACCCAACAGCTGGCTATTTGCGATAAGATGATTAAGGAAAATCTCAAAAAAGAGAAGCAAATGTACACCAAGATGTTCTCCAGTGCCGGACAGAAACCGAAGACCGTAAGATTATACATATATTTGTTTACATGCTTTTATAATACTACTTCGGGTGTATAGAATTTAATATTGACAGGAAACGCCCCTTCCTAATGGAATGGACAATGTCAGCGAGTGGCAGCAGAAGCCTGAGGCGAACGGACGTACTTAATGGATAATCTGCAAAAACCTGATCGTGAATCTTTATAATAAAACAAACTTTTGCAAATTTTTCCGATATGTATGTATATATATGCGATTATTTCGCAGACTGAGAATGTAGTGGTGGTGGTGATCAATACATCTTTTCCATTATATCCCCATCCATAACATGCCATTAAATTTTAAGGGTGCAACTTCTGTATCTATCCCGAATATTATTATGTTCAAGTTCAATGTTTAGTACTTATGTTGATTGATTTATTTATTTTATGCCCTATGTATGTTGAAGTGGAGCCATTTTTAAGTCCAAGCATTTATAATTTGTAATCATTTCCCCATGAAGAAACGATGTAACATGAATTCACGTAGACATGTCATATGATGTGCTTACAAAATTATTCCAACATATAAACCTTAAGTATTTCTTTTAAAGCTGGATGCAAATGAGTTCGCGGATATTCCAACAGTAATATAATGGCACTGTGCGTGAAATGTATTTAGAAAATAATTGGTTAGTACTTGTTTGTGTGTGCACGATTTGAAACTCTGTTGTCTGTGAAATATGAATATCACAATAATAAAACAAATTTTCAGTGCAAAAGCTCTTATTTATCTTGTATAAACTTAAATTTGTATTAGCTTAACTTGCTACAAAAAAATGACTTCTTAAGGTTGCAGATCATACCAAGATTACAGATTGCAAAAGATTTTAATTTATTAAGATAACATATTTTATACTTGTACTTTTAAGTCTCTTTAGATATTAGTAATAATATGGACAACACAAAAAACAGTTAGCTAAGCTACACTATACCATAAATAAGAAATGTATTTAATACACAAAATTCAGTCACATGGATTTTTCGTCAAACTAGTGGTCTTCCCAACACGTCGAAAAGTTAGAATCTATCTAGTTGCTAGTACAAATAAAATATCTCCCCAGAAGAATGACTTGGTATACATATAAATAATTATTTCGAAAAGTACATATTTGTTTCAGAGCAGTAACAACAAGAAAACAAAAATTATTAGAACGGATATAATATTAATATATATTGTGTATTTCTATCACGTAAACATCAAAAAGAGAAATGTTTTCTTTTGAGAATGGTTTTTAAAGCATTGTTTACGAAAAACATATATGTAAAAAGTCAAATACTCGTCACAAAAAAACGTCGTCACATAATACTTATTACTAATTTATGGTATATAATTCGTACCTAATTGTCAATATATTACCTAATAATATGATCTATCTAATCTACATACCTACAAGTAAATTGAGACTCTCTGGTTAAAAAAACTAATAGTTAATGACGAGTAGCACGGTGAACCTCAGGATCTCTCTCACGCTCTCTACTGCGGTCGGGGTCCACACGACGCTCCCGTTCGCTGCGATCCCTCGTATATCTTTCCCGTTCCTCATAATAATTTCTGGCGGTGGTCCCACTAATAAAGTGTAATGTAAAAACACATTCACATTTACATCATTTTACATCATATCAAAAACAACAAATAATATCAAATAGTATGTTATGTATCACATTATGGCATTATAATCAGTCTCATTTGTCTCCACTTATAATACAAACAATTCATCAACCACGCGTGGGTACGTGGATTATAATACTCTTGGTTGTACAAATACATTTACATGTCAAATGAAATAGTCATACTGAAAATTGTCACATGAAAGCGGATTCAGACAACATTATCATGGCATTCCTAAAGGAATTATGTTCCTAACACTGCTCGGAATGCTATAAGAATTCCATCTGAATTTGCTTTCACATTGGCACACTAATGAGAAGTAACAGTAAGGTGCTGCAGGTAACTGAAACAATAAATTATTAGCATTAAAATAATACCCTGTGCAGATACTGAGTCAATAATTTTCTAGCATTAATATTAAAGATAAAATAGCACAGTGGCAGCGAAAATTGTAGGAAGTTGAATTGAGATAAGGAAATAAAATAGAGAAACAAAAGCAGCTTTGTGTCATACACAGCAATCAATCTTACTAATAGAATAGATTTTTAAAAGTCGCCCATTTCTATTAGGAAGGTTGCAGAATGAATGCATTCTGCTGGAAATAGTAATAATATTCATAATAATAATCATAATAATAAGTAAATACAGTAAATAAGAGCAAGAGGTGAATAGGGCCAACAATTGGGTGGTGAAACACTGACTTTAAGAATAAATAGGTATAAAAAAACATAGTTATGCGTCATTGGTCAAAATTACTCTCGACTCAATTAAGTAGCATATATCAGTGGACAGTATACAAGAATTAACAAGTAGCTCTCTCGTATAAGTTTCAACTTGGTCTTCTCTTATCAGCCGCTGAGTGAATGAGTCGAGGTCGAGGTGATTTTGCAATTTTCTCGCTAATTAATGATAACGTCATATATTCATCACTTGTGATAATGTGTTGGTTTTTTTAGAGGAAGAGGAGGGAGAATCAAGCAGGTAGGTTGAGACTATTTTGGGAAGACGGCGATCCACTATACTTGCTCTGGCCAAAAATGTAGTCATTTACATACCTTTCTTCTCGGCCTCGTTCTCGGTACTCTCTTTCCCGGCTACGAGACCTATCTCGAGGATACTCATAGTATCCTCGGTCACGTTCTCGGCTTCTGTCCCTTCCACTGCTGCCTCCATAATCTCGCTCACGTGGGCTGCGAGACCGTTCACGTCTACCACCACGATCAGCTCCACTTCCGCCATGTCGACTGCGACGCTCGCGAGAACGGGACCGATCTTCTATGAAAAATCAGAATGTACATACCAGAATACTCTACAATTGAATTAATATATTGGTAATTGACCCGTACCACGGCGCCCATATCCTTTAGTTTCAATACCATGAAGTGTGTCTTGTAAAGAGCTAATGAGGATTTTGCACCTATCGTCGTTTGACACTTTGGATTGTTTGATGAGAGAAATTGCTGTCACAAGAGTTTCAATTGCACTGGCAAATTCACCTAATCACGAATAAAACCAATACAACATACGCATAATATATATATCTGTATAATAATACAACATTACTATACAACATTACTAACATAAATAAATAGTTAGCTTAATTACCTGTTGCTGCATCCTGCACAGCACGCGAAATTGCTGAACTGGATACTGTCCGGTTTCTGCTCATAACCTCTTCAAATTCAACTTCACTCATTTGCGGCGGCTGATCACGATGATCCATAGGTGGTGCATATCCAGGTCCACCCTATTCAAGCCCACAATATAATGAAAGACATTAAAGAAATTTGGAACTGAATATAAATTGAAAATAGCGTTGCACACGTACCCGTGGACCAGGAGGGCCTCCATACGCTGGTGGGGGACCGATTTGAGGGGGGCCTTGAGGACCAGGACCTTGGTTGAAGAAGGCTGGATTCATATGTGGAGCAGGTGCTCCGGGGGGTGGGGGTCCTGGAAGCATTGGGGGTGCTGTCATTTCAAAGTAAACAAACCCAAATAATTAGACACTTTCAATACAATTAATTTCTGTTAAAAAAATTAATACCTTGAGGAGGACCGCGATTAGGTCCAGGTCCCTGCATTGGACCAGGTCCGGGAGGTCCTTGGCCATGTTGAGGTGGATACGCATTCACTAAATAACAGGTTATTTACCATGATTATAAAGTTAATATTATGTACTTCATGCAGTAACGATGCAACAATAATATAATGATTTGGAATATTGCATTTACTTGGAGGACGATTCCAATCGTTTCTTGGAGGAGGTCCACGTGGGTCCATTCCACCATGTCCATGTCCCATGGGTGGTCCTCGAGGAGGTCCACTCTGTGGACCCATCGGACCAGGGCCTTGAAAATATGGCTCCTGCATACAATTTAGATATCAACAACTTTAGTACACCACACACACAAACATTGTAATCCTAGCAGGTACCATTGGAGGTCTTTGTCCGGGACCAGGCCCCTGCATGTTTTGAGGACCAGGACCCATTGGTGGCCTATTTGGATTGTTGAAGCCAGGGGGTGGAGGACCTTGTTGATTTGGAGGTCCCATATTTCGTTGCATTCCTGGTGGCATTCTAGGACCTCTGTGCATAGGTCCCATCATCATAGGACCCCTTGGCCCGAATCCCATTCCCATAGGCCCTCCAGGTCCAGTCATCGGGCCACCCATTGGAGGTCCCCTCGGTCCACCCATACCACTCATATTATTCATATTGTTCATATTATTCATACTATTGTTCTGGTTGTTCATATTATTCCCTTGTCCTGGAGTAGGCCTAGTTTTGGATTGAGCTTCAAACTAAGCGAGAACAACAAGTATGACATATTTGGTTACAGAGTTACAACAAGGTATTTTTGTCATCAGTCAAGTGGTATTATTTAAAGTATTACCTGATTTAAGGCTTGTTTGGTTGGTGGCGTCACAACAGGGCTTTGTCCATGTATTTCTTTCTTTGGTAGCTTGTCATGAATTACTCGCAATGAAGCATCTGATCCAACAGTCAGGACACAGTAACCTTTCGACTGTCCATTGGCTCGATTCTCATAAAATTTAACTTCAATAAAGTCGTTCACACCAATATCAGCGAGGACATCTTTTATGGACTGGTCCGATGTCCACTATATATCATAAATAATTACACATAAATTTTGTCCGTCATATACTTTGTACTCTTGATCAAATAAAACTTGCTGTCAGACTTACCCAGGTCAGCCCTCCAATATAGACTTGATGTTTTCTTAAAGGAGTGATTCCATCACGACTATCCCTCTCGGAACTCACACTGTTAGCCTTCGACACATTGTTATTATGCATAGATGAGTTTCCTCCAGGTGTTGAAGGACTTGTGGACATCCCTCCATGACTATTTTCTCCATCAGCGCTACCAGCAGTGGCTATCACATCGTCATAAAGGTCAACCCCATCGCCGGCAAACTCATCCTGCAAAATGGAAATAATGCGTTATATACAAAACATGAGTAAGGCTGTAATATGTGGATATCAATTTAAATTACATTACTCACAGTATTGAAATCTTGCTCTATATCGTCCGCATAAAGGTCAATATCAACACCTTCGTTGCCAGACATTTCTTCCATTCCGGAATCGGTTTTTATGCTGACAGCCATCGAAAATTTCCAATATATATAAAGTCCACAATAAATCTAAAACTAAAGATTTTTATTAGTATTTCTACTAATTCCACGCCCGTGAAAAGAAAGTTTCAAAAACAAAATTACTAACAATATGCACCCATAAAACTTAACTCTCCTATAATAACTAACTTACCCAACAATTAATCAGTTATCAGTTAAGGGAACTGATTAACTGAACTGCCCTGTTAACACAGAATTTTAACCAATAATTAATTCATTTTAGTGGATGTAATGACGATCTGCTCAACAACAAAGACAGAGCCTTATCCTCTCCGCCTCGTACATAAATACGACCAATTCAAGTAAATTGTGCCAATAATTAAATAAATATCGAAAATACCTGCTCTATAAATATTAAAGCTTGTGGGCTGCTTCTTCTGTGCGGAGCGAGTCAAGCCGGGCGCCGTCATATCGAGTCTACTACTCCGTCGCTTTACACAAAGAATCCGATTTGTGCCACCACCACCACCGCACTTTAGTAGGGACCCAAAATGCATCTCAATAATCTCATCCTCATGTTGCTTCATGAAACTAAATGACCAAAAATTGTGAAACTTTTGGATAAGACAAATGAGCCCAATAAATAAGTAGCTATACATTGTAATTTACAGTTATTGGTTTTAAGAGTAATAGAGCTTTAATAACAGTTTATATACTTCAATAACATAATAATATAAATTTCGTTGCATATCTTGTACTTTGAAGGGGGTACATACATTCATTTCATTATGATCATCAGGTATGGTAAAATACAAATACATTGTTTAGTATCTTTTTTCATGGCGTATCCTATACAATAATTTAGTTTGTTTCATCTTCTCCCGAGGATTAATAATAGTGTGCATGTTAAAATTAACTACTGTGTATTGTAGCATTATTACTTGATTACATTTGGAATGCCATTTTTCACTGACTAATTATGTACTTATGTATCAAGGGACAAGTACATTGTCCTTATACATGGAGAGAACAGGTTGTATATAATAATTTTAACAGTACCGTACTAATAATTTTATATAATAACAATTAAATATATTTCTAGTTCCAATTTCCGGTATGATTTTTAACCGGCTTGGGATCACAGTTTTCAATCTCCCTGTTGCTCGAGGGGGACAGGACCATCACCATAATGTTTGATCTACTCCTACTCCTGTTGAGGGCGGGGCGATTATCGCTGCTCCTCTCTCTGGGTGGACGTTTCCTTTTCTGGAAAGCCTGTCCCGTAGCTAAGGCCTCCAGTAAGTTATCCATCACACCGGTATTGTCCCCGTCCCCTGCATTCATGTCCACCAAAGCTTTCTTCCTCGCTATCCTCTCCTGCTTCTCTTGTTCCGACTTTATCTTGGCCTCCTTGGCTCGACGAAGCTTCTCTTCGTTCTCCCTCTGCTTCACATTGTCCTTGTTGGCCTGGATGAACTGGTCCTTGAAGGTCTTAATATCGCCCAAGAATTCCTCCACTGTGTACTTTGTCTTGTCAAAGACGAAGAAATCTGCTAGATCGCTGTATAACGTGTCAATCTTGCTGAACATTTGGGTTAAAATGGTGTACTGGCGGCGCCCTTCGACTGCAAAGTTGGTCATGATGTCTTGAAATCGGTCATCAGGACCTTGTAAGAGTCGGGAATGCTTTAAATCTGTTTCTAAATTTTTTAAGTCTATCTCCATCAATCTCAAGGATTTTGAGATAGTTTCGACCGAGACGCGAGCAGCTTTGTCAAGGTGTATTAATTCCTCATCAAAATTAAGGACGTCGGGAAATTTGATTTCGACTTTTTCTACTAAATAGTGAAGAAGGGTTTGACGGTTTTCGACATCCTTTGTGCTGGAGAGTTTAGGTAGATATGAAATTTCAAATCCTACTGCTTGACCATTTCGGGACCCAGAATTAAGTACGTTTCCCATTAAGAGTACCAATTCTAAAATTTTAGCTGAAAAATATTAAAATAACACCACATGAATTAAATGTTACTTTAATTCCATATCTCAACAGATTAAAATCAGATTTAGCCCAACCTAATTTCTTGGACGCTTTAATTTCTTCGCAGGCAGCAGTCGCGGCTACTATTCCGGGCTTAATTTCTTGTACTGATTCTTGATACTGCGATTTAAATTTCATGGATTTCAACCTTGGAACAAGTCGTTTCACGGCAGATATTGTTAGCGCAAACTGTTCAGCGTCACTGAGGTCATCGTATGAACTTTGTAGCTCTTCTAGGCGTTTCAACTGATCGGGTGGGGGCAAGTAATTAATTAACTGTTCCAATATAGCTCCAGTTAGCACTTCTGCATCACACTTTAAAATACAAGTTTTAACTTCTTCGAATGACATTTGTTTCAAAGAGCCTGCTAACAAGATGGATAAATTTTGAGCAGACTTGGCATCCAAAACGCGCAACTCTTTAATTTTCTTCCCGTTGATCGACATCCCATTATCCTTGTCATCTTTGGCTTTGGAGGCAGGTTTTGTAGAAAACCGATATAACCCTTCGATTATATCTTGTGATGCGAGCTTCTCTTCATCCACTTTTACCCAGAAGGAGTTTTCTTTTAAATTTCCTGGAGAAATAGTTTTCCAGTTCGCCTTCTTCATGGGCGCATCTAGCGTCCACTTCTTTTTAGACTTCATCCCAAAGGGTAATTTTTCTGGAACTGGTTTAGCCAGTGGTAGACCAGGTGCACCGAATCCAGCAGCGCCAAATGGGGGTGGAGGTGGTGGTCCTCCTCCCATTCCCATCATTGGTGGGGGAGGAGGTGGCGGTCCTCCCATGCCAGGAAATGGTGGTGGGGGTGGCGGCGGTCCTCCCATCCCACCAGGGAAGGGTGGCGGAGGGGGAGGTGGGCCTCCACCCATTCCCATCATTGGTGGAGGTGGAGGGACTGGAGCACCAGGTCTATAATTTTGTGCAACTTGACCCTGAAAGAGACATTTTTGTGTTATCTACTAATGAATTTACCATCTCATAATAATTCATGAGCGTTGGTTATTAATTAATTATGAGTAGTGTGATTTTTTTTGTTTCCTAAAACACATACCTGAGCAAATGCAAAATCTGATTGTTTAATAAGTCCTCCATTCTTTACGGCTTCTTGTAAATCGGTCAATTGCTTTTTGAAGTGTTCAATCTGGGCATCTGCTTCCTGTTTCTGTGTCAATGCTTCTTCCAGCTTGGATGTGAGCTCGTCATTTCGCTTTTCATCAGCTGCACGAAGCTTTTCCACTACGAGATTAGTTAATCCATCCACATCGATTTCAAACTTCTTTGCCCTAAAATCAGGATCGTATCCACTTCGATGTAAAACAATTTGCGCGATACATTCTTCAATAAGTTTGAAATAGGCGGATCTGATAAGATGGTCATCCCGGATACAAATTAAATGCTGTAGTATTGCTAGGAAGAGGGGTTCTGCGGGTGTGTCTGATATTAAATGTTGGATAATTTCAAAACATTGATTTGTATCTTCTAAATCGTTATGGATTAAATCAAACTTTTCGGAAAGTTCTTCATAATCTTCATCTTTATGTTTGATAAATACTTCGACTTGAATAGCCAAATCAGGTGACGCCGTTTTCTTCAAGTCATCTATCATACCGTAAAGTCCGGCACGCATAAATTCGTTTCTTAGAAATATTCGAAACTCAAAGTCTTCTGGCATGTTGACTATGGCATTGATTAATTGCATACAACATGCTCTTGTGGAGTCACTTTCTCTCTGATTAACACCTTGAACAATGGGAGAAAACCTGTCGCGGCTCTGATTTTCAGCCGCTATAGTTATTGCTTCTAAAACTCTGTCATGGCCTTGAACATCCAGAAGAATACATATCGCAGCGAGTAATTTGGCAGCTTCTTGCATCACATTTGGTCGTAATGGGTCGAGTGATCTCGCGACGAGGATAAAAACTTCTTTCTGGTCAAACACTGTCTTTAGTCCGTACGTATTGTTCATGAAAGATCTCAAACAGCGAAGACACTCTTGATGAATTTTACTATACTCGTCACTAATGTATCCCTTATCATGTTGAGCTCTGTAGACATCGTTTAAAATATCCAGTATGAGCTCCAACCCTCTCGTTCCAAAGTTTTTGACCCAGGACACTGGATGGCTTGATAAAGTTATTCGAAGAGATTCTGTTATGTGTGCGATTTTGGAAATACTCAGGTGTGCTCTGCTTTCTCTGCTAAGTGCTCCAATAAAGTGTTCAGGTGTGCTAATTTTAGTTTGAGTCTGCAACAAAAGAATTTTTTTACGTATTATGTATTTCAGAAAATTAAATTAATAATTTGTTTTATGAAGACCAATTAAGCTGGTGAAAATAAACAACTGGGCCTAATTAATCTTAAACTACTCACCCCACGATGACTTGATGTATATCCTTTCTCCCTCATTGATAACAATTGCCTCTTCTTCTCAATCGACTGTTCCAACAAGGGTTGCCTCTTTTCCTCCGATAAGTTCATATCGTCTAACATTTGTTGGAACTGTTCCTCTACTTCCCGATCCGTTAGTATGACTTCTTTCGCCCCCATTTCCTCCAAATCGGCAAAATCTGCCTCTGAGTGGGGACGCGTCAAGGCAGAATGTTTTCTTCCCTTCCCAGCCCCACCGCCCAGGCCAAGTTTGTCAAGCTAAAAGAGAAAAAAAACAATATAAATTTAACAATAACAAATACCCTACAACTTGTGTTGCACTGTTGTCGGTTTGTTGGTGACATCTCGACACAACGTATACAATAGTTTAATTTGACACTAACGAAGCTGGCACTGGTCTTTGTCTTGTCCGAGGATCTCGACATTTTGTGTACGGGGAGGGGACAGAATTTACTGAGTGTTGTCCTCGTGTTATTTTCACTGGAAATTTTGAAGGGGGGACCAGTAATTATTAATTTGTCGCTTAATTGGGCTGGGACGCATTCCCGCTGTGGGAGCCAAGACGAAATAAGAAATAGATGAGAACACTGTGGAATTATTGTGGGAAGAAGGGCTGCTGGTTCCTGCGAATGCTCAACAGGTGCGTGGAATGGTGGTGGCTCTATTCACTCGAATAATGATAATGCTGCTAAATGCTGATCTTGCTGTGGTGACTGACTATACGGCTTGAGGTTTCTGTCTCTGATTTTTTTTTACATTTTTTGTGCATGTCCCTCCCAACTCAACGGCAAAATATGTAGCAAATAAGTTGACGTTGCATTGCAGCACAAGAAGTATTCAATTCATGATGATTACAAGTATTTGGCATGCGGTGTGTCTGTGAGAAGGGATGGATTGGAAATAAAACCGTTGTTCGTGGTATGGTGGTTGATATTTCATGTAGTGAATAAGTTTGGTAAGAAAAAGATGTGTGAAAAGCCAGAAGGGGAAATAATTCGACAAGCGTTTTTAGAAGAGATGACTTCGAGGATGATGGCTTTGAGGAATGACTTCGACCCGAAGCTATGCACAAAAGCGGTGTGGTAATAATGAGGATGATGATTATGAGCCGAGTTTTTCGGGTCGGGAGACAGAGAGATGAGAGCTAGCTTTCTCTTCCGGCTGAAGAGATGCAGCAGACCACTGAACACACAATTCTTATGCATTAAACCAGAAAATATGACATATTTGGCAAGATAAGACTTTCCGATTGTAGTTTCATATACATTTTTTTTACATGCGTTCTAAAATATAGGGTTGGATAACCCAATTGTTTTCTAAAAAGCAACAAACAAATAAAAATATACTGCACTTTATTATTGAGGATGTTTACTCGTACACTTGTTTATATATGCATGACATGATTTGTTTGTCGTTAATGACCAACGTAGTTTGTTAGCTTTGTGTGGTCTTTAATCTAAATCGAACCAAAGAGTGAGTGTACTTGTTGCAGATTGCAGGCAGATGTTTATGGAACTAATATTGGTTGGATGGTGTGCTATCTATAACTGAAACTTTTTTGCAGCCAAAGATTATTTTTATTTGTTTGAAAATCACCATATGCAAACAACATACAATGTATGAAGTAAAATTTGTGTCTGCAGAAATGATGTCATCACAAATAAATATATACGTTTTTATGTCCGGTTCTGGTTCCTTCGCTGCTCATCATCATCAACTTTTCATGGCTTTTCTAGTATGACATGTGTGATGGGGTCATTTGACCATGACCATGTCATCACTATTATGAGGGATGGGATGATAATTACTTAATCAATTGAGTTTGCACTTAATCAATGAGCCATTTCTACGTGCAATTTAATTAGTCATAATAATTACATCACTTTAATTTTTTGTCTTGTGTTTGTCAAGTTTAAATATGCTTTCAATATGATTTCTGATTTGCATATGTGTACTTCACTTTTATTCCTTAGACTCTTATTTTAATAACTTTTTGGTTTATATAGATATCATCAATGAATTTATATATATCGATAGAAAAGGGCTTATATACAACAGGAAAATCTGTATATTTGACCTAGTCGAGGTTGAATATGTAGGGTCATGATGCACATGACTGACATGACTGACATGACACAACTTGGTCAATGATAATAATTATACGACGTATAATGGCAGATTTTAACGTTACTTTAAAGAAAAAGGATTTCCAAAAGCCTCATGATTTTATATGCTCTCCTGCTTAGCCCCACTGCTCAATGTCTTCTGCGGGAAAGAAACCCATGTTCACGGAATGTTCTCATGGAACTCATTTTCAGTTACGGCTTCAATTCATAAAGCACTTTCTTGAAATTTTGACAAATAACGAGTTGTGAGGTCACGAGCCTAACTGATTGTCAACGTTTGGAAGGAAATGTCGATATTTCGTAAATTCCCAAGTGCCCTGAGATTTAGTACCAGTAGAAATAACAACGTGCCGCACTACCATCACAATCGAAATAGTAGCAGCAATTTTACGAATTCAACAAAGTTTGAACATTATTTGAATTTGCGTAGGAGTCAGGCAGAAAAATCTATATTGATTCAGGTAATTTGTGAATAGATTTGTTAACAAAGTGGTGAGTGATCTGAATTTTCTTGAATATTGTTTGATTGAATAAATTTCCAGATTAATGGATTAAGTGCATGTCCCCAGGTGAGGGATCACCTATCCAGTAAATATGGTCCATTATTGTCAGTTTACCACTACAGTATTCCAAGTAAAGGAAAGTCTGGGCCACCGGCATGTCCTATTGCACCAACGGGGGGTGAATTCCACTGGCTATTGGCTGAATTTGAACGCAAAGAAGACTTTGCAAAGGCGATAACATCATGTGGAAATGTAGAAGGGACGGTGCCATACACGTCACCCATGACCTGGTTCAAAAACTCAACTGCAAGTCAGAAGGATGACAGAAAATCGACAATAGGAACGAAGGGAAAGAAGAAGACTACAAGTGAAGTTTCTCGAGATATGGATGGTATCGAGTCGGAGAAGCTGATTGCATGTACGAGTCTAGATTTTGGTACCGGAAATAATGTAAGAATGAAAGAAGTTTTTAATATTCTGTGATTGTGGTTTGAGCTAGTTTGAAATATTTTGTCTTTGCAGTTAAACCAACAATTGGGAATCTTGGAGAAGTCGTTACGATTGTCAGATCTTGGAATTAGACTTAGATTTCTTATTGCACATCAACTCGAATTCACACTCCAGTCTCTGTTTCCACAAGGGTGTGTTCTGCCATTTGGTTCAACTGTTTCTGGAATTGGGAGACAATCTGGGGATTTGGATTTAGTACTCTTGCCAGACAAGGTGATGTGCAAAGTTATTATACATTATGATGTGATACTATTGTTGTATGCAAATATGTAACTTTTTAAATATTTTTTCCTAAATGTAGAATGAGATTTTTTCGTCTAGTCAAGGTGATGAGGCCAAGGAGACTGAAAACAAGTTAATGCTTCAATCAAAAATGCATACGAGTGGAAACAGTTCCAATGCTAGATTTCAGGTTCAGAGGGTAATGGAAACGATTGCAGATATAATTCAGTTATGTACACCCGGCTGTACCCACGTCCAAAGAATACTTCAAGCAAGAATACCTATTCTGAGGTTTTGGAGTGATTACACAGAGCTTCAATGTGATTTGTCTATGACAAATGCGTAAGGGCATTACTGACTGACTGACAATCTATGATGTACAATTAGATGTTCCATCTGTTTTTACTTATTTGTTGACTGTCGTCTTTTGTAATTTTTTTCAGGAGTGGAGTACACATGTCCGAGCTCATTTATATAATGACTAAACTGGATTCAAGATTCTCGACCCTCTTATTTGCCATTAGATCTTGGGCATCAGCAAGAAAGATAACAAATCCCGTTCCTGGTCGACAGCCCACAAATTTCATGTTTGTATTGCTGTTGATGTATTTTCTACAACACAAGAGCATTCTTCCAACCTTGGATATTTTGTTTAATAATCCTGGTAATTAATTTAAACTTGCAACTTGTACGCATCACAAATCATACAGTTAATTGATTGAAACCTGAATTCTTAGATGCATCAGACCTGCGGATAACTACCGATGGAATAGACTGCACATTTTTACGACGGACTGACAAAATTTCAAAACATTTTAGTCCTCAATGTCAAACAGAGTCAGTGGCCGAACTGTTATTTCAATTTTTTGAATTCTACTCGGAATTTGACTTCAACACCAAAGGGGTCTCATTATTAACTGGAAGTGCTTGGGGAAAGCCAGACGCAGGACCACTGTACATTCAAAATCCACTTGAAAGACACCTTAACGTAGCGAGAAATGTATCAAAGGAGGAGGTTACCAGATTTAAAAGTAAGGCCAAAGAATTTCTTTACACAGGGAAAGGGCTCAGCCTCCCAAGTCAATATCTCAAGTCCCTTAGTTAGCTATTCAGACATGTTTTAGAAATTAAAGTTACTTCACATTAAATCACCGAAATGTTCATGTTTATAAATCATAGAAACGGTCAATCTCCATTTTGTAATACATGTGACTGTGTGTAGAGTGTAGTGAAATATCAAATCGTTAAACTTAAGAGACAAGTTCTTTTGTATGCATTTATTCTATACAATTGGTGGACAAAATCCAGAATAAAAATTGCCATTATAATTTTTTTCGTGTACATTTCCACTTATTATTGACAATGGGAGCTAAGATTCATTTCACTAGTCCTATAACTTATCAATTCCAATTTTCTGATGGAACCCAACTCACGCATAATTATATATTATAGTGCATAATAATGTAACGTTATTTTCTACTTTTTAGGCGAATGCTGCTCAGCTCTGTGGAAATTAGAAACAGCTTCTTCAGACAAACATCAAGTTTCTCTTAAAGATCTCTTGCTTACCCCAGTGTACGATTCGAGACGACCAGAAGAGAATAGAATTAAGATCAAAGAGTTATTTTCAGAGTGACAAAATATGTAGTAATTCTTGTTTTTCTATGCAATTGAAACGGAATAAAGATCATTTTCCTAGATTTTCACAAATAAATAAGCAAAACCATTGTCATTTCATCATTATAAATGCATTTAGTCATGTAATGTTGGTCCTCCCATCGCTCTTCGTCGTTTAATTTACTTTCAATTGAAAAATATTTAAAACGAAACAAAAACTCAAAATCTAACTCCAAATCCAACTTATTAAACCATCAGATTGCATGTTTAGTCATGGAGAAAGCAATTCTTAATTCTCAATCTCTAGTTCCCCAAACCAACTTTCTCCACTCGCTATAATATATTCTTGAGTGATGTTGATGCCCATTCCTACTTTTTTTGCCTCCGTTTAATCTGTGCATTTGTTGTGTCTCTTTTATACTGAACCAAGTGTAGCTTGTAAAGCATTTTGGTGGGACTCGGTTCTCCTCCTCTCATTCTCACCATCCAATTTTTCCCTTCGCTTAATATCGACTACTCTTACTTTTACTTTTAATCAAAATCATGAAGAAAGCCAGGAGCAGATTAATAATGAGGTTGTAAAATCCTTACTTTATATTTGTTCCAAATATCGTGAAAATTGTACAGTTTTCCATGTCATATTTTTAAATGAGTTAAAAACTTAACAATTAATTAGTTTGTAGTTCATGTTAATACCCTGTAAATAGGTGACCTGTGCGCTATAAAGGAGTCATTTACTTAATATATCAACATACAAGATTCGGATTAGTAAACTAGTTTTGCGTAGCTTTTTAGTTGAAAAGGTAGCTGAAAATGTCACTCCCTGTTGACGATGAAGCCGCAAGTAGCTCGGACGACGAGGAGATACCAACTCGTCGCTGTGTCGTTTGCCTTCGGAGGAGGAGATTTACAGAGGATATCTTTGATTCCTCAAAGCAACTTTATTACAACATTGACGTTCTTATAGCTCACTTGAATATTGAGGTATTCAATTATAAAGATAAAATTTGTGTGTTGGTAGATTTGCTCATTAAACGTTTTTTTGTGGTTTATATCTAAGGTGAAAGGAACTCCTGCAAACACTGGCCTTTGTCCCGACTGTATGAACCACCTCCAACGATGGCACGTATTTAATTGTGCAATAGCTAAGCGACACGAGGAGGCTAAGAACACAGGGGCAAAAGTGATTGAGGAGAAAGTCAATCTAAAATCTTTTGAGGGGAAAGTGTATAAAAACTATAAGAAAATTGGGAGAGGTATGAATTTCTGGTTAAAGTGGAAAACCACTTTATTAGTGATGACTCAAGTACATAACTGATATTTTTTTGCATTCTTTCTAAATTTTTAGTGAAAACGGTGTATAACGAAGCGACACACGCCTACTATGCTAAGAGACATTTAACCGAGAAGGATTGGGATTTTTTCTGTGATCATCTCTTTCATTCGAACTCCGTCAAATCTGAAAAGTCTAAGGAGCTAGAAAAGTTCTTGACGAGCAGGGACAGACTTTCGAAAATGTTTTGTATCACGTGTCTAAAATTAATTCCAAGTAAGACTTATTCACAACAAAAAAATATGGATTTTTTTTGTATAAATTATGTATGTTGGTTTAATGTGACTACGTTATACATAGATGGGAAACGAGGATATGAAAAACACATGGAGACGGATCATCAGCAGAGCCCTGTACTGTACCCTTGTGATATTTGTGGAAATACATTTCCTGAAAAAGACATGACAGCCTCTACGGAAGATTACTATCCACATTGGATTTCGCATTTTTATTTTAACAAGTACGTCCCTCTTTAAAGTTGATTGGTTGGAATTATAATGTTTTTTTTTGTATTTTTACAGGTGTGACGATTGTGGAAAACGATTTCCTACCAAGCGTGCCTTGGGTCAACATCGACACGCCGTTCATAAGAATAGACAAGTAAAATGTGATAAGTGTGGAAAAGTTTTGGCCAATAAGATGAGTTTAGATCTACATTTACTTCGGCATTTACCAGAGAACGAAAAGAAAAAATACATGATAAAATGTAAAGTTTGTAAGAAAAAGTAAGTTTAACCAGTTATTGATTATTCGTTATTTTTACTATATTTGTGTTAGTACTAAATCAATCAATGGTAAATAATTAATTTTCTTTGTTAGAATTGCTCAGTGGAATTTAAAGTCTCACTTAGCCACCCATAATGATGACAGACCTTGGAAATGTGATCATTGTGATGCAACGTTTAAGATGAAAGGAGCACTCGTTTCTCACAGGGACGTTGTTCATTTTAATTTAAAAAACCATGTTTGCGGAACTTGTGGGGATGCGTAAGTACTTGCCATGTAGTAACTTTCATTTAACAGGTATTTTACATAATTTTATGTTGCAGCTTCAAAAGTGCTAGCTCTCTTCGTGGCCACGTCCGAAGACATGAAGGAAGAAAAGATTATAAATGTGAAGTTTGCCTAAAAGAGTATTACACTTATTCCGCCCTTAAAGGTCATAAAGTTGTTCATCAAACAGTTCGGAATCACATATGTGTTACATGTGGGAAAGCCTTCAAAAAGAAGAAAGCGTTAGATGTAAGTTTGCGAAAAATGTCTAACGTTTCATTTATCAAGTTGAACCTTTCCTTTTGTCTTATCTTAGGAACATGTAACAATCCATACTGGCGAAAAACCCCATAGGTGCCCAATATGTGGTCGCGAGATTCGAGTAAAGTCCAATTTGTATAAACATATGAAAATTCATAAGAAATCTCAGGGCACGTCAGTCATAACCGACCCACCAGAAGACCAAACCTCTAATGCAATAACAAAAAGACCAATTTCTCCTCACGTCAACGAAGAAGAAGTGCACCATCATCAAGATAACCATCGTACCGCTATCCTTACTGGCGAATGCGATTCTTCCTCTTGGCCAGCAAATGGAACAATGATGGTCACCCTTGACAATGGGACCGTAGTCAGCGATGTCACCCCACTCGTCGTTAGCTTTGTTACCGCAGACTCCGATGGAATGCACCACCCCGGTGGCTCAGTCCTGGAGTTAAACAGTGACGAACATGTTCAACTAATTAACGACGTTGCCCACCAGTCTTCTGGAGTAAATGTGACAAGATCAAGTCATGGGGGCGAGACGACCTACATCCTCTCCATAATATAATGCTCAGAGTTTATAACTTCAATAAAATATATAATATCGCTGTTCGCTAATTGTGTTCCATTCTACATCATGTTTCTGTATCATGTTTTATATTGTAATTCAATGCAAATTATATAAAAAATGTGATATGATTTTAAAGCTTTTCCAAAACTTCATTTGCCATCAAATAAGATGCATGTCATACACAAACCATATCATTTACAGTGCATAAGGGAAACATGAGATGGAGAAATTTTGCTTTCACTTGATTAATTTCCTTACTACATCTTCTTATCAGAGAATACCCTCAGATTTTTCCATTTGAGAAAGTTGAATTTTTATATTTCCTGAAATTTAGCATTTTCCATGAAATATGAAATGACTTTCTTGTAAAACACATACATATTTGAGTCAAGTTTAACCAAGCATACAATTGCGTACTCCTTGTGTACTCTATTTATGAGGATGGAACCCTCTTTAAACGAAACTCTACTTCCCGTAGTTTCACTTTAAGCAAAAGCAATTCACACACTTTACATTTAAGAGAATTATATTTTACTCACACAAATAATTTTTAATCTAAGTCAAAGAATAGTCTGTGAAAATTTTGACAGTTAGATCTTAATTAACCAATAAGTATTTTTAGCAGATTTTAAGTTAAACGTCCTGATTATTTTTACAAATTTTATCACGAGAAAAACGAATAAAATTAAGCAACGTCAACTTCATTTAATGACTTAATGGGCTGCCTGTGCCTGTTACATGGGATACATATTATAACCTGGATATAACTTTAAGTGTTTAGTACTTTCTCCTCTTTCTCCCCATAAGTGTGAAGGTATGTAAAGGCATACAATTGTACAATAAATGATGTTTTACGACATTTTTCTAACACATGTCAGCATGTGGAATGTTATCAATATTAACATGGTCCTGTTGAATTAAGCTAATTTTGTGCATATGTACATTATAGGTATGTGTACGAACATCCAGAATATTCTGTCATACATATTCATTTAAGGAGAGGAATTTAATCAAATGAAAGGAAAATGATAAATGAAACAACTTGTTCCAAGGAATGAATGGAAATGGAATCTGGAAAACTTGGTCTTATCTCCTGCACTACAAATCCTGTTTTGGAGGAAGGCGATAATTCTACCACGAGCGAGATAACGATTAAAATTAAGCATGAGGGTCAAGGCACTACTAGTTCTTCCCAAGGCCATGAGGAGATTCATACCATGCTACAGTCCCCTGGGGGCAGTTCCCATTTCATCAAAGGTCTGGTCGTAGCTAATGCAGCCTCAGAAACAATTTCGTCCTCCCAACTTCAAACTGTAAGACTTTGTTATTTAAAAAAAAAATATTTGCAGTATTTAAGAAAAACACGAGTACATAAAATATTTTTTATGATCCTTTCGAAATTCAGACAATTATGGACCACGATGAAATTTACCTCCCAGACCGTGATGGTACCACCCTGGTCGAATCGCTCGCTGGAGCAGACGCTACCGGTCATATTCTTCAAATGGTCAGACTGGCTACGGATGAGAATGGTGAAACCATAATATTTGTCCAACCTCAAGATAAAAATGACTGCAATTCCGCCCCAGTCGTCGTTCTTAATTCGGAAGGACATCCGAGCATTGATGCACTCCAATCTCCTCTGACTCTCAATACATTTCATGACCATTCTTCATCCCCAACGAGTGAGGATATCCCTGATTTTAGTAATGGAAAAATTATGGGTGGCGAGGATGAAGATATGACGGCATTAACTCGTCGCTGTGTAGTCTGTCTGCGAAGGAGGAAATTTACTGAAGAAATTTTCGACGATGACAATAATCCGTATTACCACATCAGGGTCATTTTCGCTCATTTGAATATGCAGGTAGTTATACAACATTATGAAGAATGGGACTTCTTATTTTAACGCACAAAACATATTGCATTGTGTTTCTATACATATAATAATTGTGAAATGCTAATTTAACAATGCAAGGTGGAAGGCACACCCACCGACTCGGGAGTTTGTCTTGAGTGTCTACACTACCTTCAACAATGGCATATTTTCCATTCCACAATTGCTGAGCGACACGATTATGCGAGGAACACAGGGACCTCAGTGGTGCCAGGACCACTCAACTTTCACTCACTTGAAGCTCAGATTTACAAACAGTACACCAAACTTTTGGAAGGTATTTGTGTGCAAAATTTTACCCCTTCTATCTGAGAGTGAATACTCAATTTGTCCAATTTATATTTCAGCAAAAGAAATATTCCACGCTGCAACCCATGCCCATTACGTTAGACGGCACTTAACGGACAAGGACTGGGACTTCTTCTCTGACCAACTAACTCTAGCGTTGACTGATACCACAAAGTTCGACGAGTTAAAGGATTTTATAATGGGTGGAGAAAAACTGTCAAAATTCCTTTGTACAATATGTTCAGTTCTCATTCCTGGTTCGTTCGAGACTAAAATCATTAAATGTGGTTGAAAATATTGGATACCTGTTTTTTAATAGTCTAAAACTCATTTTCAGATGGAACATCAGGATACATCGAGCATATGAAGAAGGAACATGGCCAGTGTCCAGTTTTATTCCCTTGTGATATGTGTGGAAAGATTTTTCCTGGAAAATCCCCCGATACCAACGCCTGCATGGTAGACTACTTTGACCACTGGGTTTCCCACTTTCACCTTAAAATGTGAGTACAGTTATTGAATACAACAAACTCGGAAACTCGTTAAACTGATATGAATTATAGTTGGGACCGTATACCGGTTGTGGAAGATTGTACAAATCCTGTAGTAGAAAATGACGGAGTAACCTTATCTCAGGAAAATAGCGATATAATTGATGAAGAAAGCACTCAAAAGGAGAAGGAACAAACGTACTCCAACAAACGGAGAAAAATGGGGAGTGAAGTTAAACGTCAAAAATATCAGCACAAAATCAATCAAAGTATGTATACCTAATAAGCAATCAATCAATCCGTTAATTGCTTCTTTCCCACTGATTAACCACATATGCATACATTAATTTTAATTATAGTAAAGAACGTACTCAACAACTCCTCCTATCAACATCTAATTCGTCGCGACCTTGATGAAGAAAGCTTTGAATTTATAGCAGAACGACTTCTCACCACTAAATCAAATTCTTCTGCAAAGATGAAGGAAATCGAAAATATGACTTTCTCCAAGGAGAGAATGCGCAACATTTTCTGCGAAGACTGCCGTAAAACTATTTCTGGTATGTTTTCGTTGTACATGAATTTACTTACTTTTTACACCAAACATTTAAACGTTATACTACTCGATTAGGTGGGAAGGATGGATATCATGAGCACAGAAAAACAATACACAATGATACCGACGAATATTTAACCATTCCATGTGATATTTGTGGAAACTTTTATCCTGAAAAAGACTTGACTGGTTTAAGTGAACATTATTTTACTCATTGGATATTTCACTTCTACTTTGAAGAGTAAGTGCAAGATACTTTTGCAATTAAAAATTTTTCAAAAGCTTTTCATGAATATAAATTTCCAAAAGCAATTTATCCATAAATTTCTAATGTTCGACAACTTTGAATTTCAGATGCCGAACTTGCCAGGAAAAATGCCCTAATGTGAATCTACTCAAGAAGCACAATCTGTTACACGAGAAACGCACAGGATACCCGTGTCCACAATGTGATAAGGTGTTGGCAAAGAAAATTACTTTGGAACATCACATAAAAACCCATCTTTCGGAAGAGGAAAAAATGAAAAATGCTCTGACTTGTCATATTTGTGGCAAAACGTAAATAAGATAATACCGTTTCTGCTATTGTTGAAAAATTATGCAATACGTAATAATACTATCTTTTTCCATTTTTAGCATTACTGCACCCACATTGAAAGCTCACATGTTTTCTGTCCATTCCGATGAGCGTCCCTGGAAATGTGAAGTATGCGGAGCTCGATTCAAACACAAGAGCGACTTGAACGGTCACCGAAACGCTGTACATCTCAAAATCAAGAATTTCACTTGCAATATATGCGGAAAATCGTGAGCTGTTCACTATACAAAACAATATCACATGTATGATAACATAATACAACCTGATTTTGGTATCTAAATGCAGATTCGGACATCAGTGTGGTCTCCGCGTCCACATAATGTCACACGAAGATAAGCGCAACTATTCGTGTCCAACTTGTAACAAGAGGTTCTTGACAATGTGGCATCTTAAAAAGCACATTGTCACTCACAAGGAAGATAAAGATATACTTTGCCCTACGTGTGGGAAGGGGTTTAAAAAACAGGAATCTTTACAGGTAAATAGACGCCTGTTTACTATGTAGATCTACATATATATATTTACATATGCAAATTTAAAGAAACTATAAACATCAATGACATCTAAATTTTTAATGTATGCAGGAGCACATGACCATCCACACTGGAGAAATGCCACACGAGTGTCACATTTGCGGTCGCAAAGTTCGTGTCCTTTCCAATCTATACAAACACTTTCTGGTTCACAAGAAGAACAAGACGTACTACAGTAAAAAAGACGGTCTTCCTGACCCTTTAGATGCCTATATCGTGGAACAACAAAAGAAAAAATCGGTCAACAAAATCCTTCTGGCCGCAGAAAGTCGGTCCTTCGCAAAAAACGATAACAACATTGACTCTAGTTCGTCCGACTACATTCTTGAGGATGGGATGGAAAATGATCCCGATATTGACAATATTATCGGACTTGGAGACGCAGATTTACAAGTGAACCGATCTGTGAACAACAAGGTCGTAACTTATCGGCGTAAATCCAACCGTATTAATTCTACTGCCAACACCACTATCCCGTCAACAGAAAACAGTCAAAATGCCTCATTTTCATCACCTACTCTTCAACAAAATAGCCTGATCGAAATTGTTTCGGACGAAAGTCAGCAAGGTTTTTATGTGTCGTCAGAATCCGAGGAAGCCTTGTCCCTTAACCACCACGTTGAGTCTGGAGAAAGCATGAAAAATGAATCCGGAAGACCGACAGAAGAATACCACTTGATGCAACAAAACAATGTCACCTCTTGGCCAAAATTAAGCCCTGTAGTAATGATGGACATAGGTCAACCTAATTCTAGTTCAAGGCCAATATCGTAGCATAACCTAAATGTAAAAAATATCTGACCGTGACCATACTTTTCCCGCTCAACGTCAACATATCTACGTATTTACATTTTTTGAAAGCCTAAACAATGTCTAAAGATGACTGTTATTATGTATATTAATTGTAAGATGTGATTAAGCACTCCTATCCGTGCCGTGCCGTTCTTGTTGAACGTTATGCCGCAGATTTGTAAAATTAATTTACAGGTAGAAAATGTGAACTATTAAAAAAGAGGAATAAAGCTATAAAGTAAAGTCTCATAGACTATGCTTACCTTTACAAATCACCAGCAAGCATATTGAAGCAGGATTAGTTAGGCAAAATGATAAGGCAAGACCATGATTGACTAAAGACAATAAAATAAACAGAGGACATGGAGGAAAAAATTGGCCGGCGAACTGAAATCTCGACCAGAGCAGAGGCAGAGTTTTGTTGCCCTGTTGTGAATTTGGGAATGTGAGACGGGCGGAAAGTCGGCTCAAAATCCACGTGCAACTCATATTTGTTTCCAATTGACTACTCTTTAATCTTTCTTTAGTAATTAAAATCCTATAAAATTTAAATACCTAGTTTAATTTTTGAACTTTGTTTAACTTTGATTCATTTTAAAAATGTCGTCTTTCAAAAATGCATCAAAGTCTTTTCAAAAATCTCACAAGGAGAGACACCAGGTACGAATTATTGTTATTATTAACTGAACTATAGCAGTCAACGCTGCTTTACTAATTTTAATAGTTTCATTTAATTAGTTGTAAATAATAATGGTTTTGTAACTTTCAGCCCAATGCCAGACAACATCTTGGACATTTGGAAAAGAAGAAGGACTACAAGGAACGGGCTGAGTGAGTAGAAATAAATTAAATATTATGACTACTTATCTAAAGCTATTTATGAATTTGAAACTAATACCAAACTTTCAATATCAGCGACTACAATGCAAAAAAGATACAGTTACAATATTTACAAAAGAAAGCGTTGGATCGTAATCCAGATGAGTTTTACTATCACATGATCAATGCTGAAGTGAAGGTACCTAATAGTTCATTTCAAAGTATTTCAATTTCAATCATTAGTTTTAAATTTTAAAATCTTAATTTAAAAAATCATTTATGAACAACAGGATGGTATTCATCTCGACAAAGCAAAGACCGTGGAACTGACCGATGAACAGATAAAATTGATGCAAACACAGGACAAACGTTACATTGCGGCAAGACACGTAATGGAAACGCGAAAGGTGGCCCGACTAAACGAAACCTTGCAGAGGTTGGAGGAGGCCCCCTCAAATAAACACACATTTTTTGTCGACGACGAAAAAGAGTTGAAACGATTCAATCTAGCAAAGCGATTAGACACTCCTGCCTCCCTTCTTTCTCGACGTTACAACCGACCTCGAACAGCAGATCTGACGAAAACTCTGCTAAATGTCAAAGATCCTGCAACTATCGAAGCCTGCAGTAAACTCAGGGGGAAAGGTTATAAAGAATTGCAAAGGCGAATGGAACGACAGCAGAAACTTATTACTTTGGAAAAGAAAATGGAAATCAAGAAAACGTTGCAAGTAAATATAAATAGCTTTCACTCGACATTCCCCTTTGATTTGTACTAATTTCTATCTTATTTTTATAGAATAAGAAACGAACTGTTAAAGAACGCATTGCTCCAGAAACTAAGGATGCTGCACCAATCTACCTATTTAAACAAGAAAGATGCAAATAATGGCACCGTTTTATCAGGATCAGGACCAAAGCGACTACAAGTTGTTAGTTATGATATTTTTTATTTTATTATTTATACGTACATGTCCATATTTTCGGTATTGATTCAATCTCATAAAATGAAATAAGTTTGACAATTGAGTTAATGATGATGACGAGTCATAATACTGATTCCGTTGCATTCAAATTAGCGTGTGCATCCGTTTTTTGAAACTTTCATAAAATAAACCTGAAACGTGTTACATAACATAATCCATACCCGAACAAGCGGCAAATGTTGGTTTCAAGTTTAGCAACACCTGTAATCTTCATATTCCGGCCATATTTTTGTTAAACAACACCCTAATTCTTGCCAATGTTTACCACTACATAAATTGTTCACAACAATTAATAAGAACTATTATGTCACGTCCACCACCCTCCTCCACATCCGGTGGGGGAAAGCAATTCCGTGCTGGGATTGTTGGTATTGAACGCCAACTGGAAAAACAGGCGAGAGATACTGAGAAAAATATATCCGAAGCCTTTCAAGACCTAAATTCCCTCATTGACATGGCAAAGCCTATGGTCAAATTAGTTACCACAATCTCAAATAAATTAAAGGTTTGTTTCTACAAGTTTAAAGAAATTTGCATAAACTAACAGTCAATATTGTAAACATGACAAAATATTGTTTGCTCATATTACTAGGAAAAACAAGGAAGTATAACGGACGATGAGACGGTTATATTTCGACAACAATTGCTCAGCTTAGGTATAAAAGATCCAGTTACCAAGGCCAAATTCGGATCTGGTCACGTTTACTATAAAAATTTAGCTGTAGAAATATCCAAAGCGCTAGAAGGACAAGTGAAAGTGAGTCAGGGAAAGCAACTTTAAATACAATTATTATGGCAGATGATTTATCTTAATGCATCACAATTTTAGGAGTCTGGAGGAATGATGAGCATGGTCGAAGCATATTGTCGACTAAATCGTGCTCGTGGGGTGGAACTCGTCTCTCCAGAGGATTTGATGAATGCCTGCCTAATGCTGGACAAACTAAAATTACCTTTACAACTTAGAGAATTTGATACTAAAGTGAAAGTGTTACAGCATGAATCTTTCGATGACGATACGTGCATTGCAGTCACCGTCTCATTAGTAAGTTGAAATTAATATAATGATATGTATGCGTAGTCATTTGCAATACTTCATTGTCATTTGGGATTTAAATTTTGCAGGTCGAACAGTATTTATCCTTAACTCCAGAAGAACACGCCCGCATAGCAGGAATTCCCTTTATCCTCGCCAAACAAAGTTTGATACTATCCGAAAATTGTGGAAAACTATGCCGTGATGAATCCATTGAAGGGTTAAGGTTTTATCCTAACTATATTCTGGAGGGTTTTCCTACGTGAGGACATTCGTGATCTTATCTTGACACTTATATTAACTTCACACAGGACAATGCATGCATAAAATATTATTTTATTTCGTTTTAATCTAAATAGTTAAGTATCGCATGATTTTAATTTGACGTTTTAAAAGTTTTATTACCGATAGGTTATAAAAATCATATAGTTTGCAAATAATACAATATATGTATATTACGGTATAATGATCATGTATTATTATATTTCATTATAATGTAGCACGATATAATGAGGAATTATTTCAGCGTATAAACGAATTATTCCAATTTTTCCTTTACAATGTTGCATCAATTTCATACAAATTGTCATACTGAACCCACTCGGTCTCTGGGTATCAGGCGCAGTTCAGACCCGTGCTTTAAAAACACGTTACCTATTGTCAGAACATACAAAAATTTAGATTTAGTGAATTTAATTATAATGTTACGCAAGGTTATTAATTATATGCATTCGTTTAATTATTAATTACCCGCCGTTTGCTGGGGATTAATACCGATTCCATCATCAGTGATAATTGCTGAAGTTGCTGGAGGGACCTTAAATTCTTCTGCAGCAAACTTTAGAACTGCCGTGAAAGGGGTGTTTTCCGGTACACTAAGTCTGTACTCAAAGAAACCGAAATATATAAATATTGCATAAATTGCTACTCTATATACAAACAATATTCTAAGTAACAGGTACAATGTGTAATATAAACTGATCCACTGCTTTCTTTAAGGACGCTATTTATGTGTATACAACCTGTAGTTCCTTTAAGGTAACAATAAATCTTCCCAAAATAAACTATTGCAAACAGCTAAACTAGTCAAATGGGCGGTGATTGCATTTGTTATCATCCCACGAGATGTTTCTTTCTTTCTAAAATCTTTAATCAAATCTCGAATGCTCATAAAATTCACTCCGTAGACATCAATTTCCCATTCATACTGTGTAGAATTCTGCTCCACAAATGAAGCATTTCCAGAAATTTGATTGACAAATTGGACAAAGATTTTTAATAAGTTATCTTCTTCGGATGACGCTGTAGCAACAATGGCTTTGCAGAACTTGGTGGCATCCGTGTTGAAGAATAGTGTGACTATGACGTTGTCCCTTGGTGCTGGATTACCTTTGTCGTTGTTTTCATTAAATTCCATCATTTGAGGAATAGGTAGAGGCTTAAAATTTAAGTCAAATTCGTCTAGTTCCTTCCTTATTGTTTCAACAATGCTGTCTTTAAATGTGCAATCTCCCCATCCCAATAGATACAAAACAATGCAACGATACTTATATCCTGCATCAAGTAGAGATCGTATTTTGGTTACAAGTTTCTCTTTATCTTCTAAATTCTCCAATTTCTCCGCAATTAGCTGAGCCTCCACTTGCATCACAGTTTCAGAAGGACACATGTTGAGAAAATTTGAGATTTCTTCGTACTGCTCAAACAAATCCCCCGTCTTTTCCTGGAAAGTTAGGAGCGTCGTCAATCCAACACGCGCCTCAAATACGTCATTGACCTTTTTCAGGGTGTCTGGTGGGGTCAGACTATTTTGAGCGAAGTTTATGTAGAGCTGTTCCAACCCATTTTTAAATAGATCAGTCGTCAATTCTACTCCAAATGAGAATCCTGGTTTCTTCTTCATCAGGACAGCCAACTGAGAATCCAGCAAATCTTGGGGTATTTTTGAAGCGCAATCTTGGCAAAATAGGGCTTGATCGACAGCTTTTTTTATTGTCCCTTCACACCAAAACGATTCCGACATAGCTGAGGGCAGAGTAGTTCCGGCGAAATGGTACATTTGACTCAAGGCTGACTCCAATTGGGATTTTGCATGTAATGCCTGTGTTGGCTTTCCAAATCTCTCCATGTTTCTAAATTTGTTAACTTCGTTCTTGTTGTTAAATCGTTTTCATCAGTGTAGAAATGTGTCAGCCAGATATTCTTGATTCAATAAAGTCACCACGTTTGTATTACCTTATATTCAGAGCAGAATAACGACAGTCTAAATTATTATCCGACTAAATATGTGTAACACAAACTTTAATTTTGAATTTTTCCTAACTTAGAGTTTAAACATATGCCCTCAATCCGTTAAAAAGAAATTATGCAGTAGCAAAAAAAATGACTCACACTTTAAACGGAAGTTTGGGATCCGAAGTTAGCACGATTTTGAACGTTACTTTATTCGATCTAAAATAAAGCAGTTAAAATTGTTAAAGTTTGGTTAAAATCTTACTTACTCGATATATATGTAACAGTGACTTACGCCATATCAGATTTCTTTTGACTCTTTTAGGGTCTTATAAAAATACGTTTGTCGTAAGGTTCCAAACTCGGAAATCAAGTCAATCACCGAGTACCAGTGCCAGATGGAAAGTAGAAAGTGAAATAGTTGAACGTTTCTTTTAGTGAGGAACCACCACGATGGGCAAGTTGATACTGAACAGCCTTATTCACAATCAAGTTATGCTTTTGCCAAGCATCGAGTCGTCCACGTTTCTTTGCTCACGTTCACATTTGAATTAGTAGATCCCTCGATCAGAAGTGGCAGCATTGCACATTGATACCGGAAATAAAAGCAGGATTGGAGGAGGGCCGCATTTCTGAGAAATTTAGGTAATTAATACGGTTTTATAAAAATGTTCATCGTGCTATATTCATAATGTAGGGCTTTTGTTTTTGAAGAGTTTGAATTAATTTTTTCGGCCCTTAACTTTATATATGTAAATTATGCAAATTCCATTCGAGGTTCACAGGCAAATTCTTGCTGCTCGAATTCATTTATTACGCATTTGAGTAATAAAGAAAAGAGAGAAGCAGTTCTGCTCATTTGTTTTGTAAGCAGTTCTATTAGTCATAATTGACTTCCTTTTCTAATTTTAGAATTCAACGTTACTGGTAGCTCGTACGATTTGTGAAAATTAATAAAAACAATTATTGGTTCTAGGTCTTTTTTGTAGAACAATCATCCACGTCAAATAACGGAATTGTACAAAGACTAAAGAAGGATGATTTTTGGTGAGTTATTTCATGATTACAACTTGAAGTTGATAATTTCAAATACTTTGTAACTTATCCTGCAACACGTATAACCAATTTTGTTTCTAGACGAAAGACGAAAGTCGGGAGGAAAATGCAAAATGAAATCAGCAACCCTCACACTTCCTACCGTGAGGGTTGTTGAACATCTGTGGACCAATGAAGAAATCGTATTTCAGATTACATAGGACGATGACCGTGGTCGTCTATCTACATATTATCTGCATTTTGCCCTTATTTCTGTTTCCTATGTTATACTTAATCTCATTAATTACCGAGTTTTACTATTTCCTTGAATTTGCGATGTAAACCTAATGAGTAGTATTTATATCTTTATACGATGCATAATTTATCTACGGAGCTTTTTAAAACTAAATAATTTGGCAACCAAATTTGGTATCATTTTTTTGTTAATAACAATTCTCATTTCCAAAATTTGTTGAAAAGTTTACAGTCCACTAGGTATTCTAATAAATGACTTAGTTTATGCAAAAACAACCTCGGATATCATCCAATTTTTTGCATAACATTCACGCAAACAAAAATCATTATCTATCAGTTATACAAATAAATTATTAGGCTGTCACTCCTGCATGGCAATGTTGAATCGTCCTTCTACAATTTCTGGTTCTTTTTCAACGACTTCAGTAAGAGAGGAGATTGGATATATTAGTTCGACCATGTTGATGCGGAGCATTGTGTAAGGGTCCCTGCTGACTGTAAAACCAGTAATAGGATGTATTAATAATCTAGTAGTTCATTCATATACCTACATTTACTATTACAAATCAACATACATTTAAGTCTTCTAAAATTTTTTCGCTTCTTGAGCCTAAAATGTAGCTTTGTATAGGAGAGTTTCTTCTCAATTACGGTTCCCTCCACTCGAAACAAGCTGTTATCTAATATAGGTCGACCTAGCAATGTAAAATCACTCCCACCTAATAGCAGCACCTGAAAATTCAAGAAACGATACGTGAAATGCACAATCATCCATCATACTTTGCATACATCGTAATGCTTCATACTTTATGTAAACGCAATCTATCCCCAATATCGGGAGCCCAGTAGCCTTGAATAATGATAATGTCTTCCGGCGTAACTTTAAATTGTTTTCCTTTAATGTTGATGATGGCGAAAAGTCTTTGTTTCTGTTCCATTTGTCGATTGATTTCCGCAACTACTCCTACAATGATGAAAAACAATATTTATTACAACAAATTTTGATTCGTCTCGGAGTATTATCGCAAATACCTCTCTTTTCTTCCTCCTCCTTGGCATAATCTTTAACTTGCTCCATCCCTTCTTCTGGAAATAAATTAGGTGGATATCTTCCTTCATTCGTTTGGGGGAGTGGATCTTGATGTTCGATAACTGGAGAGGAGGGGTTGAGCACTTTCAGCCGTTGTTGCATCGCCTTACGTCGTCTCCGATACCAGAGGACACTTAAGTCCTGTACGACATACTTGTGACCATGTCGAACCTGCTGAACCTGAAGGCCGGTCCTCCCTTCATAATTAAAACGACCACCCGTTCTATTATAATCAGCATTTCCCCAACTGCTAAAAATTCCACCACCACCACCCCCACCATGAACAAATCGACTACAAATGGGCCCCACGTTTAGGTTAGAAAAACACTCCAAAAGTCCCTTTTGTTTCAATAAACTTAAACTGGACCGAAGCATTGTTTTACCGACAAGCGTCAAACTTTAAACTTTATAAACCCACACGGCTAGGTGTAGCCGTGTTTTATAATCACCACAAAATTCCAGATACAAATAATGACAAGACAAGAATGTTCAAAAATTTAAAACAAGTTCCAAGTTCCAAAGTTTTGCAAATCAAAAATCAAAATCAGAGATCCCATCCATGTGAAACCTCTGAAAGAAGAAGGGTTGAAAGTGTTGAAACAGCCTTGTTAGATTTTGGGGCATTGGGCTCGACGCGGCTGGCTACTCGTTCGTAAACTAAAAATACAATTTTCCAAGTTGGTCGTGCTGCTGTCTTGTTTTTTGTTAAAATTTTGAAATTTCCATTAAAAAATAAATTTTGGCCTTTATCATCATTTCGAGGAGGGAGGTGAAGGTAGTTCACTTCTGAATAGGTTATTGTTTCAAAAATGGTGAGCTACAAACCCTTCATTTGTTCGGATTTGTTGCGGTTTAATGAAGTGAATGTGGATGCGTTCACGGAAACGTATGGAATTTCATTTTATATGAGCTATATGGCGAAATGGCCAGAGTATTTTTTGAAAGCGGAGGACATGGACGGGAAAATTGTGGGATATAGTAAGTGAATAAATAAATGTATATAGTTGTTCATGATGGATTTCATAATTAAATAACCTGGTTGGATTAATTTCAGTTATGGGGAAAGCAGAGGGCACTGGAGAGAACTGGCATGGTCACGTGACCGCGGTGAGTGTCTGCCCGGCGTATCGACATGGAGGAGTCGCTGCTAAATTGATGAAGTATTTGGAAGAAGTTTCCGAACAGTGAGGATAATTTTATTATCATACAAAGATATCAAGACCATTTTGTGTTATTAAATCATTAATACGATTTTTGTAAATTGATATTATTAGGAAGGAATGCTATTTCGTGGATCTCTTTGTTCGCAAGTCCAACACAGCTGCGATTAATTTTTACAAAAGCCTAGGGTATATAGTTTATCGAACGGTGTTAGATTATTACTCTGGAGAACCAGATGAGGATGCATATGGTAAGTAAAATTCAGGGGTATTTACGCCAAAATGTGTAGCTCTCGAAAACCATGAGATTTTTCACATAACCTTAAGAAATGACGCGTTCTTATTTTTCAATTGACAAATCTATTTCAAAAAATTATAAATTATTTTGGCGTGAGACCTCCCAGTACATTTTTATTTTATTTTCCAAGATAATAAGACGACAATGGAGTAATGAGGTTTACTAAGGTATGTGTTTTGTTTAATTGCAGATATGCGAAAAGCTCTATCTCGTGATGTGGAGAAGACATCTGTTATACCGTTAAAGCAACCTGTCCGACCGGAGGACATCGAATAGCCTTTAGATTTTTTAAATTACATTGCATCAAGTCATTTGTATAACTGAATTTGTAATACAATTTTATCATTTTAACATGTGGATGCATATATAGTAGGTGCAGCAACTGCATTATTTCGTGGCCTTGTAACATCTATTAGTCAAGCCCACCCAGTTGAATATTGTAAAAGGTTTTGCACAATTAATATGTAAGATTTATAGCCAATAGTTGCTTAAATCTCAGTACTCAATGTTTTGACTGAGGCAGCAAATTCTTGTATCTGTATCTGTCTGAACCTGCAATCAACTTGGTTTCTCCGTTGTTCAAAGGGGTGCCGATAAGTGTAAAGGAGCAGTAAATTGATAGGTGTGGGTCCTGTGATCACTTCCGAGATTAGAGGATCCAATACTTCAAGTGCACAAAGGTGGAAAATTTAACAATGCGAAGGTCTAAAACATCGCTACAGGGTTGTACTAGTAGTGCGACAGATGAGTAGTATACTTCTTCCCTGTAATGATCCAATGCTCACGTTTTCCCAAGCTGGCAATGCAATGTTCATAACTTCCTCCTAGCAATAAATCCTGTTTGTTTGTTGACTTAACATTTGCCGAAATTCCAACATCAAGTTAAGACAACCTAAGCTGAGTTGGGGAAGGTACGGTAAATCACATCTCGTCAAAATTTGAAATCCACTCGTCTCGACTTTCTCATAATTCTCAACCAGACAGTTTACGTCAATCTCTTCCAACAATTTTGTGGCCAGCTACTGCTTGTTTAAACCACCATGAGATGTTTGATGGAATGATTATGGTGGCATTTTTCATGGTTTTATAATATTTTGGGATAATTCCACATTCTTTCAGCACTTTGATCGATTTTTCAACTTTGTTCTCGAGTCGATGTCTCACTTTGTGCTGGATAAGTACAAAAATACATATATAAACAATTTACGAAAAGATCATCGTTCCACCACAAAATTAATAAGATTCACTTCTTGGTCATCCCTTGACACTTTGTTAACCATCATCCCACAAAGTCTTTCTTGTAAACCAAACTGCATAACAATAAGAGCGACTAACTAAAGCAAGAGACGGAATTAAAGAATTAGGAGCCCTTTGGATTAATGGCTCCAGACAGGAAGACAAGATGCAGAAAAGGGTTGCTTCTTGCCTTCTCGGTTGGTGTTGTGGGCCCTGTGCCTCGGGATGCTTTCATGGCATTGTGTTCCCTTGATGATGAGACGACTAATGAATCTTCAGTCCAGTCAAAATGCAATTAATTATCTTTCACACATCTTATCTCCTCATCACTCAGCAGCATAGCAGCTTCCTTATTATGCCACCAAGCAGCTCATACCGCCCTGCTACGAGTTAACTAATCTACATCTCATCATGGGATTGGGATTTTATCATCACACTTTCTCAAATCCATTCTTCTCCTACATTGATTTACACTGCATCCATTGCATACCAAACCTGACAGATTTCAATACATGAAACATGCATTATAAAAATAAAAGTTGTGGTATACCTTTCTCCGCAAGATTCTTATTATGACGTGACGATCATCTTCATACAAGACGAAGACGAGATCGTTTCTTTGAATATTTCGAATAGCTACGGCCCATCTGTAACTATCCATCCATCCACTAAACCAAACTTCATCAAGCTTCCTCACAATTACAGTTAATGCTGTTTTATTAGAACATAATTATTGAATTCTTATTCCTCTCCTTCAGGCTCTTCTATTTCCAGTAGTCCTTCGTGAATGTTGTTCAACTTCATCACTTACAGATATTCATTTGGATGGACACATGCAATATAGGATGACGTCCGTCAGTCAGTAGCCCGTCGTCGGATTTTCTTTATCCTTTAAGCCCCGATCACGGCACAAAAGCCACAAGTCCATGAGTATGTTCCATATATGTAATAATACTAATACATCATCCTCGTCTTCCTGTCAATACTAAAGTTCATTTGGTTTTGAGCCATTGTCTATCGCTCATGTCAAAAGTCTTCTTCTCTTATTAACCAAGATAAATATTAACTCCATATCCAGACAACCACAAATACATAAGCGACGCTATGAATACACCCCTCAAGTCCAATTAAGCATGAGAGCTAGATTGACTGACGGAATGTCTTGGACACAAGCGCCTGTGGGAACTGTGTGGGGTGACCATTTGACCATTCCAATGAATGTTGTGACTTTGGGATTTCATGCGTTCAGTCAAAATTATTTCATTCTGGTCACAACGCGTACAGTATTATGCAAGGTTTCCGCAAGATAGATAGTTAGCAATTAGTTTATAATAGAACCAAGTTGGTCATGCATGCTTTTCTTGCGGGTAATAAACATGGCAGTTTGTCAGTATTGATGCGATATCTGCTGGTGGTTTCCTACCGTATGTAATGTCAATGTCACCAAAGTATTTCTCTCTCCGCCTCCCTTGGCTTACTTTGCTTTTGCTACTTGGCAGAGTAGTTTGCATGTCAAGAAACATGATTTTCGCTTCGATACATTTCCCATGTACACAGAAGGACTTGACAGATAAATGTTTCGTGGAAAACCTTGGGTGATAAATTTCTCTGCCAATTGAATAAATGACCGACGTATGTAGAAACATCCATACAAATCTTAACGTACAAAAATTTACATGACAAGTTAAATTTCATCTTTTGGTCATTTTTAAATGGAATGCTAAAACGCAGTTGAACCTACAATTCAATATATTCTAATCAGGCCTGAAAGTGAAAGGAATTTTACGCCGTTTATTTTTGGGAATACTTTTCATTACAACCTCATTTTAAGAATCTAAACCAGCAATTGCTATCATAATTTGGTGCATTTCGATGGAAGGGAAAATACAGTTGTTAGAAGACCTTTATTACTATTTTGGTACATTTCCGAATCGTAGAATTCAATGGTGCAATGAAATAGAAGCAAATGCATGTACGTTGAGGAGAAGGGCTATTGTTGATAGATCAGAAAGGGTTGATTGAGTCAGACTCCAAGATTTAATTGAAATTAGTACCTGGGCAATAATACAGTTCGACACAATAGTTAATAATAAGAGAGCATCGCTTTATTCTGTGGTGGGGGAATTGATGAGCAGTCTCCAGTCTGCGAACAGATAACTTGTGTCGTCGACGGAAAACAGAAATAGAAAAGTATATACCTACGCCTTAGAATCTCAATCTCTCATCCATCCGCCTGCAAACATAACCCTCTACCTGCCTCACTTAGGATTAGCTTTGGTATGCTCCTTAGCGTTTCAGATTAGTTCCCCAGAATCAGAATCAAGCAGAAGAAGAAGGTGGCTTTGCCTCCTTCTGGAGAATCTTCCTTCTCCACTTGCTTGGCCATTAGTCATTCTGTTGAATAAAAGAAAAGCATCAGAGGTTTTGAATGGAAAGTGATGAGCATTGGACTTTAACCAGACCTGCAGCACCGACAAGATGAAAGAATGTTAACGTTGGTTTTTATTTCAGAAAATCCGAGTGAGCTTATTTATACCATTCCTGTAATGTGAGATACGTATTATGAGATGATATCTGAAATAGGAGAACTTTGGTTGTTAACAAGTCAAGTTTGCACATTGTCATCAGATGATCTGTTTGCAAATTACGAGAGAAGTATTTGAAAATTGAGACTAATCCTTGCCTAATTGTTGCCTAACTCTCAGGTAAGGATGCTATGAAACAGTTTTATAACAGTATTTCTAGGATTCATTCATCTCATCGTTCAAAAATTAAGTACGCGTCATAAACTAATCTTCTGCTCCTGCTCTCCTACACACAACAATAGCTCCCACAGAAATTAACTCCCTGTGTTGACCAAGATTTGTTATATAGACAGACAGACACGTCCCATGGCCGTCCGTGGTCAGGAGGATGCCAAGCTGCTAAATACCCCTTCGGCTCGAGAATTCAATGGACAATACATTATTTACTGGAAGCTTCGGTATTGTGCATTGAATCGCATTGTTGACGTTTACATTTGTTGGATTTGTAGTGAATGCGAATGGCTTTCACGCCGCAATAAAGTGAAGAATGCGAAGCAAAGGGTACAATTTGACTAGTCGACTGAATCTCCACAAACACGGCCCACAATATATTCTTCAATTCTTATTTTCTTTCGTCAAAAGCATGAATACGTAAAGCTCATCAGCCAAGCACAATTTCTAATTCCGACCGGAACTAATTCCAATGTCAAAACAAGGATTCTTGTGATTTTTTTAAAACTTTTATTTGGTAAAGGATTGATCGTGTTTGAGTTCTTAAAAATGATTTTACGTATAAGATATGTATAAAACCATCTGCATATCAGTGTTAATTGCTGCATAACACTTTTACTAACTTTTGGCTCCTTGGTTAAAAAGGACATGCATATGTCTGGACTTGCTTACCTGTTTGCACTTATCTGCATGAATCCAACTATTTTAGAATCAATGAAGGTATTTTTTTAATCAGTTGGAAAGGGCCATGTTATAAATTTTTTATCCTCCTGGAGGAAAATTCACTTAAGACCTGCAGAAGAAATATATGCGATCATTCAGTCTGTAGTTATGTGTAGTCACTCCTCAGTCAACGTGCATACCTTCAACCAGAAGAGGGAGGAATGATGGAAATCAGGACCCTTGTCTCCCTTTTTTTCGTGTGCTAGTGAAATAATTACAGAGGGCTGGGTTGATCACCACCTAATAATTATCATTAGAGTCTTGGACACAATCGTATTATTAAACCCTCATGATTATGCACTTATGGCTAATGAATTATTTTGCCTTTCCACTGATGTTTAAGAATTAGATGAAAACAAGCGTCATGCCACTAAATATAGCCAGCTAAGAGGTAAACTAGTCCCTCGCTCCTTGTCAAACATCAACAAGTAGTTTTGTAATATAATTACTGGAAAACTACTTGTTTGTGCGAGAGAAAGAAAGTACCTGAAAATAGGGTGAAAATGATGTGACGCAAATTATTGGGTTTGTCCGAAATAGTTGTTGTTGTTGCATACCTGGTTTTATTTCTGGAATTTGCGTCATAAATATTTCAAATTATTAGTGTCTGTCTGCATAGTTTTCATTTCTTAAGAGATTGGATGTGGAAGAGATTTCATTTTGCAATGATGACTATATGGGTTTTTAATGGATTTCGATCCCAATTAATTTAAATCGTTCAAACATCGAGTACATGTTCAAAAATGTAAAATCCTCTGTCCCCATGACGTCACAAGGGGGTGAATGCATAAAGGAAAGCTTATTAATCGTAACCAAACTCTTGAAGAGGACGCTCCAAGCAAACCACCCACACACACTCCCATGGGACACACATTACATAATAATAATACAGAGGCTTCTTAAAAAGTCGGAAGCACACGTACCTTCACTTTTCTCACCCTTTTTCACTCCGTTTGTTAACAGCCCGTGAAATGTAGTGCAGGCAGCGACCCGAGAACCCGACCCTCCCAAGCCTAACACAACATTGGATATGTTGCATCCAGAGAGAAACTCTTGGCGTTTATTCGTGTAAAGTAAAAAGGGTTGATAAATCCAGTCGAGATGAACACCAAGTTTGTTCGAAGGGAGTAAAAAGAGCCAGATTTTAAATGATGAAAAGAAAGTTCCCACGTTGCCGGAGAGTCTTCTTGGTTGCTTGATACTTTAGATGACCAAATTTCACAACCCTTCAAATATTTTCATAACTTAACTTCATTTTGTGCAATGAACGAAATAGTGATGCTCAACAATTGTGATGATGGATTAGTATGTAAATACATGGATGATGATGATGCTTTCACCGAGGAAAATGACGCATGTGAATGTGAATATGAAATTGAAAAGTAGTTACACAGATTTTGATTTTTTTATATATGTATATATATTTTTCAGGTATTTTAAGTGTATTCAACATTTATTCGTACTTTAGTAACTTAACTATATATATATATACGTTTACAATAAAATGTATAAATGTGTTACTTACATGTAAGCGAGCTATAAATATGCGACTGATGTTTCTATCTCCAATTATATCTTATTCTAAATAGGATAACTAGTACGTACTAGGTTTCGCGAGTTGTATCTCTTTTTTCTTTATTTTTTAGCGAGTTTCGAGTTATTGTATGTAATTTGTGTAATAGGTCGAGCATATATCTTGTATAATTTTTTAAATTTTAGTTAAAGCTAATGAAGTTGCCTTACATAGAATATTTGACGACGGAGAAAAAACTTTTGTCATACAAGAGGAGGCACAAAAGTCTTTGTTGCGGCGATAATTTTTATAACACACCAACAAACCGGAAGGCACTGTGTGTAAGTGTACAACGTAATAAGTTTTTTTAATATAAATTCACAGTATATAAAATCTCAAAGAGAGAAATCAGTAACTTTGCCTTTAAACTTAAGCAAATCGATTTTTCCAGTCTTTATCAATACAGACCAGAAGTCAGATTGGTATACAAATCTGAATCTTGGCGTAAAATGTAAAACACTAAAAATAACCCACACACACACACAAATTGTTCGTTTGCATACCCAATATTTATTTAACACACAAAAAGACAAATGTTGTACAAAAAAATTTTGATTCACTCTCCCACTTTCGAAAATTTAAAGCGGAATTATTTGAAAGAAAGTCGGTATGTACCTAATTATATAATATGTAATAATGTGATATTGTTAACCTTTGGTATTTACATACACCAACTTATAAGCTTACAGTTTCTGTGTGATGATAGTGAATCGTTGTAGCAGACGCAACATGTAACATAAGATAATCTGGTACTTAAAAATAATAGTATGCACTAATTTTGTTTGTTTCAAAGCTGAATTAACTGATTGTCCTTAGCGTTGTTGTTGTTAATAGGATGACTAATAATGCAGTGTTTCTTACTTTTTTCTGTCTTTTTTTCCTAACTATATATAAATGTGTGGAGGTACGTGTAATTAAAAAATTATAAACATTCAGAGTTCACACATCCTAAGTAGCACATAATGCCATAATTGCATAAAGTGTATATAATCAGTCCGCGTCAAAACATGTCAGCCTTCGGACATGTGACGATATTTCTGCTGTTTTTTTTTCTTCTCGAAATATGACGACGATGAAGGCAATCACATTCACCCCTCTTAAATTTTCGACATGCAACCATCAAATTGGTTTTTAGGAGAGGCTAGCACGTGCACGATGACAAATTAATGTTTCATGCAAAACAGTCGATTATTTAAATTCAGTCTAATAATTTCAGTATCAGTTACCAGTCTTCTTTACTCAACTCCAAGGCTATTAAGAAGTATTTAGAGAAATCAAGAGAATATGAATGATAACGCTTGAGCAAGATAATATGCTGAAAATTTCTACTCCTTTTTTCCCGTCGCTCCTTCGAGTTTAGTTGAATGTTTACTATAAATTCAAAAATATTTTTAGGCACCGTAACTTGAAGGAAGGAAGACGACGACAAAAAAATCATTAAAAATATTTATACGAGTTGGACGAAAAGGCACCAAAAGCAACAATTAAGATACACCTGAATGAATAAGAACTTGAAGGAAAAGTTTACAATATACAACAGACGACATGTATAATGAATGGATAAATTGACGAAATATTTATAATACACGGTCAAAATACTACTGCCACCATATGCCTTACTCTAATAAATATACAAGGTTTGTGTATGTTTACACTGTACAATAAATTATTTACTAAATGACTGTGGATGACTATCAGTATACATTTGTTTTAAAATGCATTTAAATTCCCTGCGGAGCCGAAATTAGCCACGTGCCAAAATCAAAGATAAGTTAATCGATAACTTTTGAAGACCAATTAAGTACTTGGCATATTCTGTACCTGCATGAGATTTCATTATTCAAATATTGACTTTATATTGCAGAAGATATGAAATTAATTTTTTGCAATTCTGCCGTTTCATGACTCTCGACTAAATAGTAATAAGTAAATATGAAATAATAGTAACTTAATAATAATGAGCCTAAAAACTGTGCAAGCTATAATATATTAATAGTAATAATCTACACAAAATGTTAACAATTAGTGAATTAATTGTTTTAACTAACCAAAATAAGCGTTGAAGGCTTTCCCCTCGTTGGGCAATTGAAGTAGGGCTTAATGACTTTCGGAATTTCACCAAAAGTCACCCATCATGCCAAACATTAAAAAATTCATACTTACAAAAAACAACTTACATATATACTACATATATATGTATGTCCAGTTCTGGTAGACGCATTAGTGCGCTTCCATACATTTTATCCCCTCATTTTTTAATTATTTTATATTAAGTGAGTTGCGTTAGCATTATTTATCTCAAACGATGCGCAAGTAAACTGCTCGACACATTGAATTGTGAAAAATATGAGCAACTCTATACCCTATTATTTAGCTTAGTGAACTAGTAGTAATGTTAAAAAAGTTGAGTCAGTTATTTAATGATATGTGTGTGTGTATATGAATATATATGAATACGTGCTACTATTTTTCTGGTGTAATGGTTTGACTAATTATCAGTGCAATGAATGAAAGTAATTTAGAGGTACGTTAGTTTTCTTACAACTGAGGTAGATCGCTAGGTTTAGACTGAATTGGAATTGACAAGATGAAATCTGCGACTTCTTGGTTCCAATAGTCAGTGAAGTTAAAGATTTCGTGCTTAACTCTGTCATAAGAATAATCTACTTAAAGTATTGTATCAAACTATTCCTATGTAATCATACAATATATATAAAAAACAGGTAGTCAATTGTGCTATGTTATGGTATTTAGAAGGAGTGGGAGTTTGAAGGGTGAGAGAGACAAGTCAGAGGTAATTTCTATGTTGGTTGACTGATGTTACAGCGTTGAATAATCAACAATTTCATGTGCATAAAGATCAATGGTAGCAGCAGCAGGCATTGGAGAAAGAGCAGTTACAGCAGCAGGTTCTGTTCGCACGTGAATTTGGATTTGACTCTGACTCTATAAATGAAAAGCAAACAAGAAAAAATACATTATAAAACATTCACGTAAATTAAAACCCTTTCAGCAATTTAGCAACCATAAAAAAACGTCAAAAAATAAGCAAAGTAATACGAAATCCAATATGCAAAACATTAGCATTTCGTTTTCCCCAAATAAATTTAGCAAAAGGATAATCAGCTATGTTAGAATTAGCTAAGGTTATCAATAACAATGAAATATCTATACAAACGTTGAAATACAAATTTAGAAACTCTTAAGATTAAAATCAAAGGTCATGGAAAAAGAAAAATTTGGAGTCTAATGTAGTCTTCATCTTGCTATGAAATTCTACTCGTCGATAATCTAATATCAAACATTAAGTAATAAACTAAAAAAATAAGTCGTTTACATCTGTTGGCGTTTCCGCTTGACACAACTCCTCAATTTTGTCTAGCGTCATGGGCTCATCGTTGTGGAATTGAATTACGTTATGTTTGTTGATCACTTTGTTGTTGTTGTTCAAACCCGGGTCGCAATCCGTCGTCAGGTTTTCCTCTGGAATTATAGACTGAGCTAGTTTTATCTGAATCTTCTCCATTACACTGCGGATTACGTCCTGAAAAAAAACGTAAACAAAATTAGGACTACACTTTTGCCAATGCATATGTACTTATTTACGACGGGGAAATGTGGGGTGATAAAGAACTACATAACAATGCTTGAAAAAGTCAGTGAAATGTTTGTCCCAATTTTGACAGGGAATTGACGCCTCATTTATCCTACTCGCACAGGCCTTCCCACCCACATACAACAGCACATGTAACATTATGGTCACGTCGTCACTCATTTTCCTACTCTAGGCTCGAAAAAAGGACCATAAGAAGAATTTTTTCAAATTAATGAATGAAGTGGAACACTATGTTTACGAGTGGGATGCAATATGCAGTAAACATTGGTGGCAATAAGTCTTGTAAGTAGACATTTGTTGAAGGAGGCAAAGAACAACAACAGAGTTCAAAATACAATGAGGCACCGCCGCCACGGTTTCGTTGGACGACGACGGAAGTAGTACATAAGTCCAGAACTGAAGTCATGTCATCAAGTATAGGCAAGCATGTGTAGGGGAAAGACCACTTTAAGGCCAAGATGTGACAAAAGAGCCATTATACTTCAACACCAATCCAAATCTTGGTCTAATTAGAGTAAATGAACTTGCACGATAACAACAGCTAATGGGCTGTCAACTATTTCGGGAAATTTTCTCACCCATTCTCTCCAGTTGTATGTACGTATAAGGTTTAATAGCATATTATAAGTTTGTGTGTCCTCTACTGCACAAATAAAAATCTTTCCCTTTACTACCGTAAGACAAAGCCAAGTGACCCCTGGACCCTTTCGCCTTGCCATATATACAAGTTTAACGGAGAGAAAGAGGACCTGCTTAAATATCATCGGTCAACTAAATAAGCATTTCCCACCACTTCAGCACATAACTCAGAGACCAGCCTAATTTTTAAAAGTTGTTATTACATTGGAGTGGTGGACCTTTTCTTGTGCCACGCTCGAACTTAAACATTGTTAACTTGTTCGCATCTTAACCTACTCACTTTTATTTCTGGGGAAACATCTTGGGAGGTAGGCAAAGAGCGAACAAGTTGACGATCACCAAGGACCATAGGGCTAATAAAACAACGGGTCTTAAAGAAACAAATTTTTATAGATCATATATATAGTTTGTTTCCTCTCCGACTGCTACAATTCCGTTTTACTCCCATGTTTTAAAACATGGGATTTTACCCAGAAATCATTGGTACACCATATTTTACCCTCCTCGTTCTCCCTCCATAATGTGTGTGCTAAAGGAACCTCGATGGATCACCAAAGTCATGGGCAGAAACATAACGCAATCACATCGTCATCAACAAGTTCCATGCAACAATTCCCACCTAAAACATTCCCTTTCCTAGCCTAGTTCTCACAGGCTGAGTCAAGTCCTCCTCATCAACACCAATTTCCCTACAAACAGTTAAACTGCTCCTGAGGATGCTTAGATTCTGATGTAAGTATGTGTGAAATGGGTGTCCATGTATGATGAGTCCCCTTTATACACATAGATTATATTTATGCGTATGGAGAGATTTCTATATCGAGTAGCAGAACAACTACCTCCACTTATGTGAATGTTGATACTGCTGTATCCAACTACTCAGCCTTCATAATTTAAGAAGGGCCCTTTGCCGATACACCGAAGCATACTGTCTCAAGTTTCAAATCACTTTTTTTAGCTCAAAAATGAATGTTTCCCAGGGCCCTCGTGACTCTACGCCACGCTACCCACAATGAGCTACCAACGGTATTAAGGGCCACCACTACCTCTTCTTATGGAGCAATCATTATTAGCTCTGTCCTATTTTAAAATATTGTTACACTTGCTACCAGTTAGTCACAGCTTGAAATGATGTTTACTAATAATAGAATAAAAATAACAACATAAATAATCATGTGAAACAGGACCAACTCAAGTACTCAAACATTTTCACATCATTTTTCTATTATTCCTCATCTCCGCTTGCTCGATGAGAGATGCGATTATACATAAAATGTGATTGTCACACTCTATTTACTCCTTGCACATAAAATTATACAATTTGACCAACTCACAAGTCACATCACCACATCATCAAACAAAATAGAAGAAAAAACATGTATCGGCTCCAATTCTAGACTGTATAAAGTTTTGTATAAAAGTTAAACTAAAATGCACCCAATTCTAGGCTAAAGTATGTTATGAATGAAGTACACAAAAATCTAGTGATTACTAACAAGTCGTAAGTCATACTTATGTAAATATGTGAAACATAAAGCAGCAAACAAGCAAATATAGTGGTATTGAGTTGCCTGCTTCCTTTGCTTCGAATTTTTCACCGTCAACAAATAAATACTTTCACACTTATCAACATTTATTTAACTTGAGGGGAAGACGAGATTCGAAATTCCACGGGATGACTTTAACAAAAAGGTGAGGCCTTCTCTACTGCTGCTCAAAACCTGACTCTGGACAAAACAGACCGCTTTCTTTTCATCCTTTACTAAATAAGCCTTCAATGCTCTTCTTGATCATCTGCTGAGTGAACAAGTTGACAAAGATGACAACATTTATTCTGAGCCCACAGGACGAATCTGAAATTCCTTCTTTTCTTAACGTGGACGCATTTTTTAGCATAACAAGATCCCACATAGTATGATGAGCATGTTATTATGCAACCATACATTACAACCACACATTAATATGAATCAAATAATAAACATCTCAACATTAGTTGAAAAGGGGAATGTAATGTGCTTCTCTAACAACAACAAATATGTCGTCGGCGACACAAAACAGCTTATACATATGTGCATATCTTACACACACATAAAATCAAGGAGTGTATTTTGTGGAAAGTGAAAGGTTCTCTAAAGGACAGTAACGAGATCAAATGGTCACCAAATTAGGTTTTGGGGAAGTCATAAGTCATCAGTGGGAAAACGTTTGCCAAGTCCAAAGTGGTCTGGTCTGGCCCGTTGTTTTAATAATAATTCCAAGAAATGTGGATGAAAAGGCTCCACAAGAAAAAAAGGTTTGAGCTCAGACGACTCGAAACAAACTCATTCGTGTGAAAAAGTTGTTGAAATATGCATGAAACAAAAACCCATATAATTTTTTAAGTCACTTGTTTCATGCCACATAAATAAACTATAATGTAATTTTTTCTGGATTGATCAAATATATTTCAATCTGATTGGCGTTCTGTGGTTCGAGTGAATTGCATTCATCTCTTTTTGTTTGAAGCAACCAACTATACATAGCTTTTGTCCCTCACGTCTTTTTAGGCCCATTATGTCATACAATTGACAATGGAGAGATTGTCACACACTACCAATATTCAGGAAAAGTGAGACTTGAGTAACTAACAAACAACACCAACAAAGAAGAATGTGTAAGGACTGGCGGAGCCTGAGATGTATTGCGTTGGGAGAGAACCTGTGTATTTTGGCGAAAAGACAAGGAACCCAACGTGAAAACTGCAGGGGTGGCCCCAATAACCAAAACGCTTCAAAATCAGGAACCAAGTAATCAGCCACCAGGTCCCATAAGAAGAATAATGCATGGTGCCATACGACAACTTACTGGACTCTCTTTTGTGTATCCTTCGCATGCAGACTTGTACCGTCGTGGGATGATGAGGTACGAGAATGCAACAAAAAGAGAATATAAAGGGGACAGTTTCATACACACAGCGAGGTGCCGGCGACAGGAATCTTAGACCATTTTATGTATTTCTGCTCAGAGAAATCAGCAGCCGTTTACACGTCTTTGATACGCCACAAACTAATACGGAAAGAATGTATATTGCAATATTTCATACATGGTGAGAAATTCAATACATAAATAAGCTCAGCACTTGGGAGATATTAAATGTCATAATTAACCTTAACGAAGACAAAGTCACGAAGACATGATTATTGACAAATTGCAAAGCGTGTACATGTAAATGTGTTTAGAGTTCCATTCAGCTATCGAGAAGGATTACTTCATAAACACCCAATGGCACCGCACCGTACAAAGTTCAGTTATTTATTTGTTCTCCACTCCAAAAGAGAAACAATTGCACTTCCCTGGAACTTTAGCCCTCATTTCTTTCATATATGCATACTAAATAAGTACAGTTGAGAGCACAATTTCTGGCCACACAACTGTAAATCTCACAGCAAAGACAAAATTTCCGCAATCCATCCATCCACAAATATATATCAGGAGCCACGTCTACTCCAAAATCGTAAATGGCACTAATAATGAGATGAAGAAGGCGACAGAAGGTTCTGGGATCCACATCCACAAACAAGACATGGTCATTCATATGTTCGACCTTTCCTCCATTCGGATATTAAATGAGATGATACTAATAACCACCACACCATGCATCTCCAGAAGAATCTATACGCAACACTTGTACATCGGCATGCAAAGGTATATTGTTAGCAATAAAGTTTGTTGGTCGTGGGAAAAGAGAACGGATTTGCTCGATGGAACCAGCCCCCTGCTCAAATGCCGTATACCTACATACTTCTTCATACACGTTCCATACGCACATGCATCTCGCATAATAATAATCTATCAGGGTTACATATTGAAATTGGAAGAACTTAACCAGCATGAAGTAACGTAACGTAACCTTTGGCAAATATTACATCCAGAGTGTAAATACCAAAACCTACTGTGAAATCCTTGTTGTTGTTCTTCCAGAGAGTGAAGTCCTCCTACCTTCCAGCAGCAAGTAACATATTTGAGGGCTATCCCAGACTAGCAACTCATTCATGAAATTCATTCATTATTCTCTCCCACAACCAAGCACAAAACATCTTGCATCGCTTCATTCTCAAGAAGCATATTATATTGTACCGTAGATTTCCATGGAATGGAAACCGATCTTTGGGAACATTCTTCAAACGCCCGGCAAGAAGACTGATTAGTTGAAAAATGGGGACGGCGTCTGCTGTCTAGCTCATCATCTCAAATATTACTCATTCATACCAGTGACGACTGCCCTCATACAGTTTTGCTCCAATACGGAGACATATTTTTGCTGAATGGTTCATCTTTCACCTTCATAATCCGCACAAATGTCCATATAAATGTATGTACGTACCATCACATACTTTGACTGATTCCTACACGAGATAACACACATCTCCAAGAACAACTCCACCCACATTGTTACCGTCCTTTTCAGTCGCCTCTTTCCTTCGTCCCTATCGCTACTTTCCCACATTTGTGTGTGTGTGTAAAAGACATCACACGACGACGATGGCAATCCATTTTAAGGTGGCCGTGGTTTCATGAAGCAAAACTGTGGAATTTGGTAAACCAACACCACAACTTTTTTGCATTCAACCTACCAAACCACTCACTCAACTCACAATTGTTATTTTCATTATTCTCCACAAAACTTGGGCTAAAAACTTTGAACTTATTTCCTACTCATTAATACAAGAACAACCAATCAAGCATACATCCTTTGAGACTGACCTACCCTTAGGAACTTGACGTTGCGTACTGTTATTGTGTTTCAATTTGAGTACTCAAAGGGCTACAAGGAGCTTGTTCAGTACACTTATAATTTACTAAGATCCACTGGAAATTCCAAAGCACGACAGTCACACACACAGCATCATAGTTTGACGTTGTGCTAAAGGAAATGCGAAGCAATCACAATACAATGACGAATTTTTATGAGCTGCAACTTCAACAACAATGGACAATCAAATTAAAGTGTATAATAAAAAGCGATCCAATCCTTCTTGACACAGCGTAACAATTTCGAATCAACTATTCCAACTTTTCAGGGGGTGGTTACAACAAAATAAATGGTGACTGGGGTCAGGCATTTCTGAATTGATAAGATTTTTTTCATCTTCTTGGAGAATTTTTTATGCTGCCTATCTCATCTCCCCATATTCTTCAAGTGTCATTCTCTATTCCCACTTTTCAAACTCTCTCTCACTCCTGATCCTTGATAATAAACTCACTTATTTCCATTTGAAATCGAAAGTTCAGCTGAAGTGCATGAATATGTATGTGCGCACTATTATTTAAGTATTGAAGCATCTCTAACACATACATATTCTTTCACCGTCTCAATTGAACGAAACACTTATTAATGAAACCCGGCATCCTCCTTCTCCCCACTTCTCTATCGTCATCTTTCCAAGACGGTATTAGAGAATTTTAATCGCTGTCCACATCTAATGCATCTTCCACCAAATTCCTCACTAAATTATAGAACTGCATGTGTACAATAGGAAGTAGGTTAACAAACAATGCACGCCCGAGTATAACAATTGGAGGGGAAAGTCTAGATTGCATTATTGCTAGGAGGACGGACGAGGAGATGACGATGATTCCTACTTCAAGATCATGGATGTAAACTGAGAATGCACAAATTCCTTGCGCTGTTGCTGTAATGCATAACTAGGCATTTATTCAAGGGTTTTACTTGACAAAACCAAAAAAGTCAGTGGAGGGATGATATCTCCGAGATAAAAAAAACGTCTCTCATGCCTAAAAGCTATTGGATATCGGGTAACACAATGCAGGTACATACACATGACGAAGATGATGATGTCGAGTTGAACTTTCGGCAACCACAGTGAATTCCTCATCCGAAAAATAGAGAGACCAAGTCAAGTGGGAAAACCAATCAATTTTGGTGACTCTAAAATCATAACGAGGAGATTAAATTGGTAGGATGGGGGATATGTTTACCAACCTGCTTCATCATTTTTTGAACAGACTGTTGTTAGTTCTGACTGGGTGACTGATGGATGAGATTTTTCATAAAAGTGGTCTCACAGAAAACAACTCATTTTACCGATCCTGGAACCTCGGCCAAGCCAAGTCAACCCAGCATATGTATGTATACGAAAATGAAGAAAGAGCCAACTAAAGTTTATTCCTGGCGTAACGTGTGGTATGACAAGACAATAGTTATGGGATGACAACGGTGAAATCACTAGTAAAGTTGTCAACCTACATGACCCATGAAAAATTGCCGAATTGCAACCATTTCAAAGATGTGTCAAACCACCATATTGACTTGATTGGTCCATCCATATGCGTCTTGTACAATTTTGTACAACGATGAGGTGATGCAAGTTGTATACAGTAAGCAGCCAAAAATATATGTTATCATGGATGAAGGTATGCTGAGTCGAAATAAGTTTAAATGAAGGAAAGCAAAGTAACGACAGGACTGGAAGTTCATCATCATCATCCACTGAGGCAGCACCATTTGTTGTCAGTAATACTTACCTTGTCGATATGTGTAAGTTGATGAAATCGCTCTAAAACTTCTTCTCCAACCTCTTTGGAGATGAGATGACTGATTGCGACTGACAGAGAGGCAACTGCAATGGTGCTCGGGGTGTGGAGCATGAAGCTACAATCTGTGGAAGTAAAGGGAAACCAAGATGTTTTAAAACTTTGACAGATAAGATGAAGAAGATTTTTAATGTGTTTTATTTATCCGGTAGTAGCGGTAGTGGTGTGCTAGATGCAAGGCAAAAAAATTGTGTCTCACATGAAAATCATGCATAGCAGTATATGGAATATATGCAGTTTAGTGGTAATAAAGAAACCAGAGCAGAAATGCAAAGCAGTATAAAACTTTTCGCCATACAGCAAAGCACAGAGTGAGCATGTATGCAGTGGTTTATAGAAATATGAATCTAGAGCTTTCCGACAAAGGACACTTCCATGGCGTCGTTCTGTTTAGAATTTGCATGCAAAATGAGGCAAAGAAGAATACAAGAAATCTAAATGAAAGACTTCAGTCATACATATTAAGCAACCAAAACTCAGTCCAGTGCTCATTCACACCCATGCATGGAACTCGTACAAGATCACAAAGAGCATTTTGGTTCGGGTACATACATTCAAATTTTCAAATCACTCCTCCAAGCAACAGGCTGCAGCCATGTATGCACTTATACCATTTTCAACATGTAGCAGGAGAGTTGCTTATACTTTATTTCCTCGCATTGACATATTGAGGAATAATCGGAGAAGGGAATCTTAAATTACCATACGACTAACTAAAGTAAACTGAGTTAAACATAATTTTCCCTTGCACGCAACCCAACCAAAACCCATCATCAACTAGCTCAACTATGCCATAGCATCCAATAATCACCATGTAAAGTAAAGTAAAAGTAGTTTGGTGTATATAGTTAGTTAAACTTGAAGTGAGTTAGTTATGTGCTGTGCGAATGGAGCTAAACTCACGAGAAACCCTAGTCTCAGCACAAGGTACTTCAGGAGGCCGTAGGTTTAAGCTCCACCCGCACAGTACATAACTCGTTCACTTTATGTATAGTCAGTAGTAGTGGCCTTTTGATGCAGATGTGGTGGTTGGTGAGAGCAATTATCAGCAGAGTGAGGAGCAGTCTTCAGCAGCCTGGAATAAGTGTGTATAAACTGCAAGTGTGCTATTATCATAGTCTATCCATCCGATCCGATGATGATATTATGCACGTCTTTCTTTCGTAAATATGCAGAAACATAACATAACACAACGCGCATAATATAGAGCACATTTCACATTAGAATAGAACACGAGTGATGGAATAGAAGACAGGGAACGACCATTATTATTATTCAAATTAAGTTGCCCTCCTTAAATTGCACTAGACTGAGAATTATGAGTAGCATGTTACAACGGTCACATAGTAGTCAATCAAACCAAGCAGGCACAATACTCGTCGTAATTACTTTAGTCACAGCCAGGTTTACGTTACTTGAGCTGGCTGAACTGTCTGCACATGAGAAGACATTGAGTTACATTATTGACTGATTCAAATTATCTTTGTCAACAGACATCCCTGGACGACGACTGCTGAGCATGAGGCAACAAGACAGTAATTCCATGGATGAAGAAACACAAAACTTGTGAGCGGAAAGGTGTGCGTACACGACGAGGGGAATACGAAAGAAAGGAAGGAAAAGGTCTTTCTTTTATTTCCTTTCATAAATTCAAGTTTTGATTATTTCCGATTCAAGGATTGAAAGAGAGGTACGTAGGTTACTGACTACTGCTGAGACCGGTCACGACCACTGCATAGGTATGCGTGTGGTGATGGGTCGTAGTTATATAAGATCCTCTGACTTCGTTCCCAGAGGATATACGTATATCCACGCATGTGGGAAAAAAGATATTAAACTCAGATCCAAGACCGGGTCATCACTTGAGCCGTATATAACGTGAAACATGAAGGGAGGAAGAAAAAGGAAGGAAGGAAGGAAGGAAGGAAGGAGGGTGAACAAGTCATAAGTGGTGGGGAAAGGAAAGTGAAAGAAGTTTGTCAATTCTATTTCTTTGCACACCTGGCCCATTTTTCGTCCCCGTTTTTATAAAACTGACTGCCTCACTGACTCAAGTAATCGCAAGAATGGCAGACGTGAGAGCAGTATTAATACTATTCCATTTAAACCAACAACCGTCCTGCTACATACACCTCGTAGTTCCTTCCCTATGGGATGGTTTCTTATACAGAAGAGGGTAATCGTAAAAATACACGCATTTTAATACCATTCGGCTTGAGCGAATTTGGCACTGTAGAATTTATCTCGTACAACTGGAGAATTGAATTGAAAAAGGTTGGTTCTTATTCTTCAGATGCTTATTATTACCACTACTATTATGGTCATGACATTAGCTGATGGAGGAATAGAACAGACGACTTTTGTGGCACGGGTCAGCTTCCTTGGCACGCGACAACTGCAAATATAGGAAATCGTCTATTCTAAATGCACTTCTTCTCTTGCACCCGGCCGGCCTTCCCTCTCTTTCTCTCTAGATTATAGAAACATCGAAGCCACCCTCAATTTCATTCGATTCGAGATGAATGGGTGCATAACAATATTGGAAATGTACACTTTTCTTCTCAGAAAGAAGAAAATGTGGATAATCGCACAAAATTTAATACATACATCTTCAATAATTTTTGCTATGTGCATGCTTAACATCACCTATAATATTTCTTACCATGAAGAATGTATACTGTTTAAACCATTGGAGGGAGAGACCTCCAATATCTATCAAGGGTACTTGGTGCAGGTACTTGGCATTAATCACCAACATGCAACGGTGCTCCTCGCACCTTCAAGAAGAAGAACTTTCTTTCCATTTTTTCTCTCTACGGCAAGAAAGCAATCAAGAGTTCTCCCGTGGTGAGCTCCCGTGTTAATCATTCATTTCATAAAAAAAACATAGGAAAGAATTTCCACGGGCGCTGGAAGAAATTACAAAATTTCATGTGATGTAAGATGTACGAGATGATACTGGTATCAGCAGTGAATCAGAGATGTTGTACAGTGTGTCACTGGTGCAACACATTATGTAATACCTCCGCATGCAGGACCCGGTATGCAACAATCTCACAAGATTCCTTACAGACAAGATTCATTTTCGATTCTCAAAACATCTCAACATGTGTCCCCGTTAAATGAACTTTACAGCACAAGTAAGACACACGATAATAATCTTATTAGTATATTAGCTCGGATGTTTTTATAGTGTTCGCACATAACCAAGGACCGACAAGGGCGAAAAGATTTATTCCCTTTGCTGATATCATACCTGTCCAATGCTCTTTGGTTGTGGTTGGTTGGATGGAATTATTTCCATTTTTTATTTCAGGGGAGGAATGCAGAGCAATAAAATACCTTGGAGAACAGCTAATTAAAATCTCTTAAACCATGAAATAGAGACGACGACTACGGGGAAGAAGTAACGGTAACTTTGACATTTTTTCATGAATTATGTTAATTCGCTATATTTATGCACCCCTAACAAAACCTTGGGTCAGATTTGTAGACAAAGTTTGCAAAACTTGCATTCATTTTACACTTTATTTTGTAAAAACGAAACTGAAAGTGAATCTCCTCTTTTCAGGTAGGTATGTACACGGAAGAGATCCGAGAGAGAAACCATTTTTGATTAGTATTCTATCCACATCATAAAGCATCAACGAGGTTTTCTGCTCTTTATTTCCCAGGTATGAAATCTAAACGGAGAAGAAGGGTCAGAATCAAAGCTGCAGATAGAAACATCCCCACTCTTCCCAGATCTTGGCCCTCCAGTTCCATTCGAATCCCATTGAGATGAGATTGTGTCTAATTGACAACTGTAACTATCAGATGCAGTAGAGGTACATGGATAGATCAAGGTTCCTTCCTTTTTCCATCAACTCGATGAGAATTTCAATTTGAACACGATTTTTTGTTGAGCCTGTTCCCATTATTCTTCTGACAATCCAAGCTTGATTTCGCTCAACCTGAACTTCAAAGAAGGGTCAGGACCCCTTGTTTGCTATGTGTATACAGCATATAGAGCATACTCGTAGTAGCACATGACCACGACGACGAGGGATGGAAGATTTCGTGAAGGAAACGACTTTTCACCCCTTATCCCATCAACATGAAGAAAATATTTGATTCAATCCCCTGTTTCGCAGAACCAAGAGCTTATAGCATTATGACATGATGTGCTGAATTTTAATTAGATACGACCTAGCAAACCCAAGTGCTCACTACTACTGCTACTCCTGCAGCGAACTGGAACAGTCAGTCACACACAGCCAAGGGGTAACAGTTCCCACCATTACTTTGGATAAATAAAACCAGGGCACTTTTCTACTGCTCAACTTCATGCATTAAAAATCATACTTGTACCAAAGTGTTGTTCTTGTAAACAAGATGAGGGGGATATCATATCATATGAAAATAGACACATTGCGACTTTTCGCATGCCTTCTGTCCCCCTTTATATTCACAAGACATCAAAAATTTAAGATTTTGATGATAAGTAGTAGCAAAGAAAACTATTATCCAAGGTATGATCTCATCCATCCCATCCTAATCATGCTACAAGTTCAAGTCGGTTCAAAATTAAATTGTGACATGTACCCTTTACTTTCATAATACATTGTCTGTAAGGAACCAGACGACGAAGGCTTATGATAAGTATGAATGCAAAGTACGAGACAAAAAAGTTGAAAATTGGCAGCTGACCACGAGCTAAAATGCGACAGGTGTGATGTGGAGTGATAAATACATGAGAGCAAACATAGAAGAAAGAAAGAAGGTCCGACCTTCAATCACCTTGCAAAACTATTACGAGAATTAAACAGCTTCCATCAGAATATGTAGTTCTTAGTAATCAGCATGGATAAAATCTGGACTGTCCCCCAGTCAGCCTGATGAATATAGGCTGGCTGAATACTGGATATATAGAGAAATAAGCAATAAATGCCTGAATTTATAGATATTCGCAAATAATTAAGCAGACGCCATTCTTCAGACATACTGTTTTTTTGGAGCACAAGCCAGGCAATAAAGAGCACGGAACAAAACATTATATTTCACATCATTACATACACCAAGTAGTGACGACTCGACCTCCCCTTGCCACCTGTTGCATCCAGAAGATACCCCAAACTTCTTCATAATTTGCACAACCTAATGATAATATATGCGCATCTCGTCCACTCCACGTCAGCCATCTTGTATACTAACAATATGTCGAACAATTGGATTTAAGTTAGTGTGTCATCCTACATATTCCTATACGACAAGTTAGCAAGGTCTCGATCATCAAATAAAAAATTTTCACTTTCTCCACCATTTTCACTTTGATAAAACGATGATATAATTTATAGAGGATCAAAATAGATTATTTCTGTAAATTTGCAGGAATTGAAATGTAAGAATGGTTGACAAAGGCGAATACCAGGTGCATAAACATAGATACAACAACTCAAGTAAGACTGTATCGCCATATGGCCTAATTGATTCAACTTTCGTCTACAAGGCTGTACAAACCTCACTGGCATCAAATTATGAGACAACTGCTTAGAAGGCCAATCAAGACATGAGTAGGTATACAACATACATATATAGCATGCATGAGATACATAAAAGTCAACGTGTCCGAGAAAATTGAGTGAACCTTTTTTGCAACAAGGAGAACATTTTGCAGAAATTTACAACATGGCGTACTTCGACATTAAGTGGGATACAGAATTCCATGACACTTTGGGAATAACGAGACTAGAGTTTCTATATTTTATTAGATCTGTGTGTGCCTACAGAGATATCACAAATTATTGGATTTTATGCGCAAACATACGATCTATTATTTGACCTTCTTTAAAAATATAAGCCAAACTCAGTGATAATCAGGTTAGTGAAAATAAATTAAGAAGCCAAACCAACAAACTGGAATTTAGTGCAGGAAATTGCAAATAAACCCGATCCATGTCTCGATTATTGCGATGACCTCAATACTTTTACAAAATTTGAGAACTTTCTAGGTTTATCACGTGTCATATTGCATCCTCAATTCTCATACTTTGGATGGCGTCATTCATACATTCTTATCTGCATACATGCATTATTATAGTGTTCTGCTGAAAATGTGATTATGATATGAATAAGTTAATGACCGCGCAACAACATCAAAGCAGGCATTCAAGGATTGAAAGCAATACAAATTGTGCAAGCTGCGGAATAAGAAAAAAAATCGATCCCTAAAGTGAGATTGATTCGAATTGTTTAAAGTTAAGTTTGTGGGTGCAAGTGGACCAAGAGCAAGATAAGGAGTTTGAAAAAGTTGTGATAATCTTACCCGTTGCACAAAGAGATAAGTAGGCTGAGACTTGTTGGTGCATCACTTTGTCTTCGAACCAGGAACTGGGCAGGATCGCTTCAAACATTTGAATAAAATCGGTAGGAATTATTGTGGCCATGTCCCACTTCAACCCGTACAATACCATAAGCTCCCAATCCTAAAAAGAAAAAGAAACAAATCAAGTCAAGTCAATTTCATTAATATTTACAAACAATGCTTATACTATATTCAAATTAGTAATAATCCCAAGAAAAATTACAAATATATATTTTTTTGTCGTTCATGATGAGCTCAATGAGCTGGCCTCCACTCGACTGAATGATTGACTGACTGTGGAGAAGGAATGATGAGGTGGAGTGTGTGGGTATAATAATCACTTTGGCGACTGGCCTACGAGCGCCGACCGATAAGTAAACTAAACTGTTATCATCACAAATTTGATATGATATGACTTTAGTTGTCGTCCGTACTCACAACAACATTGAACCAAAACTGCAATACAATCTAATCCACTTTAAAGTTAGCAAGTACTAAGTCAATAAAATTTAGATGGGTGGACATTATGAGCAAAACCTCCACACCAACCATACTAATTTGTTATATATTTATCTCTCTGAGAACTCTCGGTGGAGTTTGCACGCAAAACGTAATTGCGCATATCACCATACAGTTTTAGAACAAACAAAATACAGTCGTCTCATCTCATCCTAACCCCTGATGAACACATGACGACAAAAGTTTAAAACCTGTCTACAATGTCTCACTACTGCCTGCCTACTCCTGCGTATCAGCAACAACATAATGTATTGGCATCATTTAACTAACTTTACGTATGTACATACTTCAAGTCAATTTCTGGATGAATTATTAATCATGAGAGTAATAAGCTTAGATATATTATATATCAGTGCATTAACCCGATCGGTGGCTATCAATGAATGTGCTTATGCTTGCTAACCATAATTACACTTTGCACTTATCTCACTGTTGAATGATGAGATTTTCGTCCTCATCTACTTCAAACAAATAGCAACTTTTTACTCGAATCAAATGTTTCTTTCATAAGAAAGAAAAAACAATTTAGTCAGATCGTCGAAATAATAACCATCAAAATTAATTACACAAGGAATGAGTCAATGTGGCTAAAATTCAGGCTTGAACTTTGGTTTCACTTAAAAATCAAACTTTCTCAAAAAATTCCAACGATGAAATGGGAATATGTAATGAATTTAACGAGTTAAACTTGAAAATACTTGAAATATGACATTCTTCTTTTCCTAACTCAACCCTCTGTAGAGGGATCCTTGCTTGAGCTAAGGTTGCATAATTGATTGAATTTTGTCTGACAATCCTTCCAGTTTCAAATCTAGCTGCAATTGTTATAGATTACAGAGATTTTTGAACATAAGGATGATATTAACAACCTAACATCTAAATACATGCTTAGCAAGAAGAAATACTAAGATTTAGTTACTTTGAAGCCATCAAAAAATGTGTGTATTCTTCGAAACTAAATAATATACTGGTTGATCGAGGGTGGTGTATATTTGTCAATAATGGCCTGCTCGTGCTTCCGTTTACTTAAACAAAGTGTTTCGGACAAATTTACACACAAGATTCACCTATCGATGAGCCACACTAGTTTTCCCCGATCATTATTATGCCACCATCCACGAATCTCGAGGTGTATTTTCATGTCTTAATAGTTGCATCGTGAGTGATCATCACCACCCTTACACCTTAAAGGTGGGCCTGGAGATTTTTCTCACTTTGACCATCATCATGTCCATTCAAGATTACTCATATTTCTTAAATCTATGCCAAGATCAATTACATTGAAGATAGATTGAGGTCAACCATTCTTGTGTGGTCAGTTTGGTTTTTTCCACGGGGTGATACATATAATCTAAGCCCCCTAATCAAATCACACTGCTAGAATGTAATGGCGATTACGTGAACCGAAATAATTTGGTTTGGTTGTCTCACAGAGAAAACTGCGGTCAGAAATTGGCAAGTGTTTGAGAAAAGTATTGGATTCCCAGAACTCAAGAAATGTCTTACATATCTACCAAGCTGTACGGTACATGCTTAGTCCGACAGAATTACCAGGGCTTTCTTGAATTGTAGTGCTCTCTCATTGAATCAATAGTACAAACTCATGTCTTGATAACAATTGATACCAGATAATTAAAAATATAGAATTAAAATTTAAAATGTATATTGAACTAATTCATTCGTGTTAAGACAAGCGGAACCAAAACCACAGTCTTCCTCCTGTTTCAGTTCAAATCTGTACAGATTTCTGGCTTTCATTCAACTTCTTCTCCACTCTACTCTACGAACTCTGTCTATCACAGAACCATTCTCTCAGACTACTGACGACGCTTTTGGTGGTGAGATATTCCGTTTCCGTCCTCAGTAGGATTTTGTACATTTAGTTCTATTTCCATATCTTGCGTATGTACTTATGTCAATGTGTGACAAAGAGAATGGATAAGCAAAAGGGAGGAGGAGGAGGAGGAATGCATGTTGTAGTGTACAAGTTGGTTGTGCTGGGCGATATGTATGAAAAATCCGGCCAGATCTCTCCACTTAATTGAAATTAAGGATGATACAAGAAAAAACTGTCTTAAAACAGGGGGTGGGTTAAAGTATTGTTTTGCAACTTACCGAAATCAGGTTCTTAGGAACTGAATTTGCCGTGTAGTAAAGGAGCTTGTCCATTTTGAAATTAATTCCATGGAATTTCAAACTAATACTTATACAAACAACTCCAAGAAGTTGCAACTGATTAGGTACGAGTGTATAAACACTGAGGATTCGATCAATGTAGCTACAAGTGCGTAAAAACACCTCCTCCGGATATCCCTCTGCTTCGCAAACCTAGAACAAGAAGACAAAACATTAAATTGGCAATTAGGAGAGGTTAAAGAGTTCAACTTGCTACAAGACAAAATCAATCATGGCATCTTTTTTATATCCCATGATACCCCACCCGTCCATTAAGTGAATCATCCCCTCAAATCAATCAATCTAGTTCATGTTGAAATTAAATTACGAGACTAGCAGTTAATGAAAACCATCGCTATTCAACCCATCTATACGCAATATTCCTTCAACAAAGCAATCTTCCCACCAAACTAGAATGAAATAAACCGCATAATATACAACATACATTCACACAATGATTCTCTGGCTGTCTGCATGTCTGCACTTCATTCCAAATATATTTACCATCACAATCCCGGTATAAATGAATAGCAAACACTATAAACGCTCCTGCTTTGCTTTGCTTCTTCTTAATAGTAGTTTAGCACCATTAACTAACTAACTCTTTTCTCGACTTGTTTAACATTGATTGCTGCATCCACATCGTCATCGGCCCGATGATCAAGCCAAGATTATTTCAAGTTCAAAAAGAAACCATCATCTCTCCAACGCCATGCTCCAGGAGAAGAGAGAGAGAGAGAGCAACTCTTTAAAGTTGGCAAAAAGTGCAGGGAGGTATGTTTATGCATCCAATAATGCAATTCTGCAATCCCAGAGAACTGCTTCATCCTCGTCGTCTCAGCCCAGAGCACAGGATAGACAGTCAGACATTTAAAGCCGGTATACATACATACCGGACTGACTAGCCTTACTAAAAATCTGCACCACTGACGACGAGGCATTTAAACGTGTTGTGAATCTAATATGCAATACGTTTGCATGTGGATATTATTGTAGGTGAAGTCTGGCCTTGAAGCAAATCATTGACATTTTGCATCTTCCCAGTAAAACCCAAATTACCTACAACATAGATAGCTCTGCCTTCAACTTGGCTCACTCTAACGCCGTGCAAGCACAAAAACAATTTTGCACAACCTCCACACTTGCCTACACCATATTATCCAGCACATAATTCATGCCCCATGAATTCCCCCATTCCACTAAACTTGAAAGTCCTTCATCCCGACACTGTGACACATGACGAAGAGGAAACTTTAAAAAAAGTAACAATCCAAAAATTAAACCTACCTCATACAGCCAGCAGAGAGTGTCTTGCCGCATTCTGGGTGTCACTTGGTCCTGCAGGTAGGTGAACATGATGGGAGAGAGCTGTTCGTGCAAAACTTCCTCCATCTTTAACATGTGGTGTAACATTCTGGGGTCGAGGAGGTTGCGATCCGTGTGACCGAGGGGACCAGGCTCATCGTTCGAAAACTTTAAGTCGCACGAGAGTTGACGACGGGCGAGGATTTCACTCATGTTGCCTGGCCCTTGAATTACCCCTTCTGGAGTTTCCGGCATCATGTCCTCGCTACACATGAGTAAATCCATCCTGATCTCTTTTGCTCTTCACGAACACTGGAAAAAACTAAGTAACAAGTCTCTAACGATTATTTTAAAAAAATGGCGACAATGGCGACGACTTGGAACAACTCTTGGTGGTGGTGACGAAAAAGAAGAAGACGTGACGAGGACGATGGACGAGAGCTTTCGGTGTGATCCTCTCGCAGCGAGAGACGAAGCACTACTGAACTCGCACTGGCTGAATAACCAGGATGGCATATACTTTTAGTAGAGAGCACCTTGCTAACTCAACCACTACCACCATCACTGGTCCATACAGTGAGTGAGGATTTGTGGAGGGATGCAGCAGCTTTTCGGCTTTATCACCGTCGTCGTCCCACTTGTTGAGCTCCTTCTTCTCAGCCATCCACACATTTTTGCAAACTTCCATCCTATACATTCAAGCCCACTTCGTCTTCTTCCCAGCACATTGTTCATGTTTCGCACAAAAAATCAGGGGGGGAAAAAATGCGCAGAAATACATTCATCCTTGAAAAATATTCACGCGTTTCCAAGTCGGAGAAGCTTTCGGAGATGAAGAAAATCAAATTGGTTTCAGGTTAACATGTGTAAAATGTCCACACCCACTTGTTGCATGTTTTTTTTATTAAAATGCATGTAGCTGACTGCATTTCAGCCTCGGACTTTGTTATTGTTGTTGCTGTGAAATAATGAAGTTTGAGATGATCTTGAGGGAGGAGTAGCGCCTCGCAACAATTGAAGAACCATCAAGTTCATGCGGGCCGTAGTTTCTTTGTTCTCGGATAACCTTCCAAGGTGGAACTGGAAATGATAATAATAATGAACAAGGTGCCAAACATGGTGAAAGAAGGCTCTGATGATGCCAGAATCGATACGTGGTCTGGTGGTTTTTATTGTTGTCGAATCTCTGTATAATAGGGATCGGTCGGTGGACTAAATGAAAACACAACAGGTAGTCAAAAAAGTCAAAAGAAGAAGAAAAGTGCCTTAGCTGGAGTTAGGTGAGAGTTTTAGGTCTTGACAATGTTGGGGCAGGTCTTGAAAGTTAATAACTACTTTATAATTTTACGGATTCTCAGAATTTGTCAGAGAGAGAGAGAGACCATCCATACCGTTTTTTAAAATTGTATATATGTAAGCACAATCTACAACTTATCTTGCGGAAGTTGCAGTGGAGTTTGTACCTAGTATACATATTTATAATATGTATTCTGTATAGAAAATGATTTGATGTGAGCAAGTATTTGCACAACTGGAGCCGTTTTCAATTCATATGCCATCAATGACCAACAGTTAAAGAATTGAAATGATGATAGAGTTTTTTTAGATAAAATTTCTTAACGGTTTCGTTCCACTTCCAGAATACTTCCAGATAAATAATAATAATATTTCACCTCAGCAGGTTTAAAATACTCAATTGATAAAATGAAGACTCACCGCACAGTGTCTAATTTTGTTCAGATCTCTCTCTTCAGAAAATTTGAGACCTCGCTACAACAAAATCTAAGGCTCTCTTCAATACATAAAAAACTTTACAAATAGCTTAGATTTCCACCACATTTTTCCTCAAACTAAATGTTTTGAAGCTCGATTCAAATAATAATAATAATTGTAATGCTTCAAAGCATTCAAGCCCCTGTCGTTCTCATTCTAGGACCATTATCGTCAGAGGAAAAAGTGAAACACACACGATGGCCTGATTCCAGCCCTTCTGGAGACCCACCAGCTCTCTGGTAGCACAATGTAGCAATTTCATATTATTATTACAAGCGTTCGAAATACTCAGCACTTTTGACGGTAAAGCCGAGTCAATCCAAGTAATACGTATTTCTGAGGAGGATTCCCATTTTTTTGGTGTGAAAGCACACTTGACTTTCTGTCTACGAGATTTAGTCAACCGAACTGATGATGCTGGCAGAGGATCCGGAATCATAATGATGCCATACCGATCAAGTCAAGTAATGTTTTCCATTCATTTTGAATTGAAGTTACAGCATTGATGTAGAACTTAAAAAATTTGAATTTACGGCATAACACAGTGCTCGGGTCTCTTTTAGATATAAAACTCCCAGTACGTTACGTGGTCTTGTGTGCATTGTTGATAAGGTAAAGTGGAGATGACACAGCAAAAACGCGGGTCTCTTTCCATTCTTCGAAGACCTAAAGAAGTTAAGAGTTAAGTATTTTGAGGTGTGAAAGATGTGTGTACTGTATCTGGAGCTGATGCTGCTGTTGGTGGTAGAAATACATATAAAAACATATTGGTTTGCATGCGTTTGACTTTTACTCTGTGGGAATGAAATAGCGAAACAACTGACAATCAGTAAAAATTTCGGTCGCACTCAATCAAAACTGAATAAGACCAAGTACAATGATAATCTAACAAATAGAGGAAAAAAATTAGGCAAAGACGAGACTTTTCAAAAAAAGAAAGCAGCGTTTCTCGTAGACTTTTAGATATGTGCAGGTATTTGTAAATAGGTACATTTACTACTATTTGGCGTAGTGACTGTGAATCTTTGTGGCAGATCAGGTTGATCTGCTTTATTAGTGTTTTGTTCAGTGTCGGAAAAGTTCTAAAGCTCAGCAGCTCCATGTCTGCGGAGCTGAGCTTATTGTTCTTAATTGTCTCAGATTTTCAAAAATGTGTGTAAAACTTATATAAAATTCTTTACTGAAGCTCTTTATAATGCCTTTCTACCCAAACACCCCTTGGTGTGAAGTGACTGCTTAAAGACAACATATAACGTACATATATATGTATATGTAGATATGTGCACTACTGTCATACAACAATGTCCCAGTAAAAGTGGACCATGTACAGAGACGCAGGTAAGTATATGTAACAGCTCAATTCAGATCAGTCAGTCTGGTGCACCATTTTACAACTTTATTTGGATGAGATTTAAAGCTTTGCCGACGGAGGATGAGACAAAATCTGACGATATCATTGATCAGTCAGACGCACCTTTGTTTGTCACTTGTCTTGTGGGTTTGCGTGCATAATACCCTCACAGGCACAGCATCTCTCATTCCCTCCCTCCCTTCTTCTTCTTCGTCTTGGTAAGGTTTATAAATAAAAGACAATAGTGATCGACATGACTCTCTTATTATTGCTCTTGCAGCCGTGGTAGTGATTTTAGCCGCTTGGCGATGGAGATAGCGGTATGAAAACTTTATTAGACACTCTCAAGCCCGCTTCCCTTCTCCGTCTTCCTAGAAATTGCACAAATATAAAATATTTTTGTTTTTAATTGTGGTCTCACAATGCCGGACTTTCTGGCTGCGGACAAAGCCCAGAGACGGGCGAGCCTGTTACACACAATAAAATAAAGTTACACACGAATCGACGTGAATCCTGGGGAAGAATTTTTCAGAAATCTTTTAAATCTTAAAATCCTTCGGAAAGGACATTCCTCACCGCACCACGAACAATTGACGGCTCATTACAAAACTCTCATGTACTATACGGAACTAAATGCGATGGTTAACTTAACTCCACCTAATTCGGTTCGACCTTACAGCTGGTTAAGTAAGCAGGTCATAAAATAAGTACGAGCTTGTTCTGTCCTCTCTCAGCCTTACATAAACTAAATATACACTCAACAATCCATCCATCTCTGGCCGTCTTAGAGAGAAATAGAGGGTGGAATAGGTGTGTGTTTATACGTATGTATGTAGATAACCATGTATATATACCACCGCGGTACAGTGCGGGTAATAATAATAATGGTAGTATCCCAATTACAACCGCTATTTCCAACCTTATCATATATCAATCGCATAGCATCAGTCTCTCCCATCCATCCAGCGAGGAACCCTTTTACAGCGGAATAATAAGACTGAGACAATTTCATTGTTTCAATTTCAATTCGCTCCTTTTCCAATGGAATGGAAGGGCAATTGTCACTCAGTCGCAAGGCAAATAAAGACTCGGTGTCCGACTTGTTCGTCCCATTACACCGAGAAGATAAGAAGAAGAGACGAAAACCTATCATGTTCTATTACAACACATCGTCCTGGTCGTGCATGGTATGTAGAATCATTTGTGATTGAATGGGTTTGTGATTTCACTGAGATTTTTCAGCTCAAGCACAAAGTTGGCCTCGCCTTGATTCTTGATTTGATTTGATCAGTGCTTAAAGTTGATGAGAACATTAGTACCGAGAAGACAAGGGAATGAATGAGTTTAATCAGTTGGAGCGGATCGGTGAAAAGGATTCAATGATTTTCATGACAAAGTTTTGGGCATGTTACCAAACCATCACCTTTCAATCAAGTGTCGTTCTCCTTGCTTAGCTATTTCACCTTCCTCTTTCTCTCCCTCTAAAATATGCCACTCGTCGATACATTCATGGAGGTACGTATTTATTTGGAGATTCAAGTTTGACAACCGGTTGGTCAGTGGTGATTATTCAAAGATGAGTGGCAATTACTGTGCTTACAGAAGAAAACTTGTCCCTCATTACTCTGACCGGGTGGTGAAAGTTATGCAAAGGTTTTGGAGCAATTCAGCTCGCTTTAAGGGTTCGCTTGGTTGGAGACTTGTCTCAAGTGCACTTTAAATATGACACTGAAACAAAACCAACCAAAACTTCATCACTGCATAAAAACTTTAAACTTTCATCCCATTTCGTTTATCGACCCGTAAGGTCGAACTTACAGCTGATTTTGTACCCATCTCGCATTGTTGTGTGACCAATAGCAAGTACCTTTTATTACAATACGACGGTACACAGGCCAACCTCATTTTGCTTGGGTTTGTTTGGGTCAAAATAAATTTTATGTCTTTTCCAGGAAGATTATTTTTGGAAAGAGGTGAATGTTGTTCGAGCCAAAAGTACGCAAATGGTGGGAAACGGATTTGTGAGGTCGGTGGTGGTAGAGTGTTATCTCTTCAATTATTGTACCAGTAATTTCAGAAATTTTCCCTTTCCTTCGGTATCTTTGAAACAAATGTTGCTACAGAAAAAAGAACAAAGCTGTTCCCAGAATAAAACTCTATAGCTAAAACTAAAAATGTCGATTGGAAATTAAATAGTGACCAAATGGGAGAAATGTTACAAAGAATGCAATGGAATCTCTCTCAGGAGAGATGATTCCTCCGACATGTTTGGTTTTAACGTCTCGTTGTCATCCTTTATTTTACAGAACTCGTAAAGTGCTGATTATTGTAGATCTTGTTTAACCTTTTAATAGCTACAAGATGAACCAACACAGAACTATCGGTATGGTCAACTTTATGGAAAGACTGCTG